GTGTGTGTGTGTGTGTGTCACTCACTGTCAGTGATGAGGGAGTGCACGGCGGTGACGTGTCTCCGGCCCAGGCCGTGGCTCCTGGACAGCACACAGTCCACGTAGATGTCCCAGAAGACCCGGGCCAGGTCCCAGAAGAGATCCGTGTGTTTGCTCTTGTCTGACGCCCTGAGGAACACCATCAGGTCCCAGAAGGCGGGCACCGTGTCTGCGATCCTCGGGGAGCGCATCTCCAGCACCAGCGCCGAGGAGGAGTCCCAGCACTGCGGGTTGGAGCGATGGGCCGCCAGAGGGTCCACCTGACCCGGCTTCTGACCCCGGAGCGGCACGGCACACATGGAGCTCAGTATAAACACTGCGGCCAACGGTGCGTTCAGGAGCACAGGGACCATCTGGACACAACGCAGGTCAGATCTCTCTGGAAGTTCACTTTAATATTGAGCAGCATGCAGATAATTGATCAGGTTTGATTCTTCACAAAACACTCAAAATATCACATACATCACTTGTAAATAGTTTTTTAAGAGTGAAAACTTTTGACATTTCTTTATCTCAATTCCTTTTAAAGGCAATAATGTGCAGATTATACCTAAATACAAACAATACAATGTACCTTAATAAAAAGCAGTAACTAGTTTTTTATAATAAAATACTGTACTTACCACTAAAGCTGGGCGCACTGACCACACTATAATGTTGATTGGAGTTTGGTAAATATCTGTTGGCTGTTAATTGACGTCAGTGCCTCCCTCCTTTGCGCAGAGTTAGTGTAACAATGCTGCTCCGTGCTTTCACTCACTGGTTTGATAAGCTACTGCACTTATATTACGTCTCAGTCCTTGTCATGTTTTTGTTGCATTTCATTCACAGAGAAATATACCAGTTAATCACAGGATCGTAATGAATGCACTTGTTGTAATGGGATGCACATTTCTAAGGTTCGTTCTGCACACAATGAAAAAACAAAAACAAGAAATTGGGGGATTCTAGTTTTTCAGATCCTGCTCACTAAGACAAATTGTGTTTTACTTTCTGGACTAATTTTGATGCCACAAAGATAAACTCTTGATTCAAAGGATGAATAGGGCTTTAACTAATGCTTATTTTAATAACATAATTATTTTGCTGGTTATTTTCTTCATTAATCTATTTGTTGTTCTTTACAACAATCTTTACAATGAAAATGTGCTAATCCCTATTCACCTAATTCCTATTCACCTAACCTAATCTTCAGGTTTCTTTTTATTACCGGCCGACAGCCTAAATACCAAAGAAGTTTGTTATGTAAGAAAAGGACAATCAGTAAGTCGTCACTTTCTGGACACTTGTAGATGATTTAAATGAGGATCAATTACAAAAATAGTTTCCGTTTGATTTGTTGTTATCGATTAATAAGATAGCCAGTTAATTTTAGTGGTTCATCATCTTCACATTGTCCTCTCAGAGATCACTTGCAGCTCCTCTGACATGGGGAACAAAATCCTCTGTATTCTGTGCAAAATGCTTTCCAGACTTCACATTTATGTCTTCTCCAGTCTGTGCTGGACAAATTTAATTTGACTCAAATAAAGAACAAATGTCCTTTTTATGACTGCATCCTCCACCAAGATCTGCTGTTCTTTTGAAGTATTATTACAGTCTTTATTCAGAGGTTTAATGCAATGTGTTATGTTGAGCTTAACGTAAGGACTTACATTTTCAGTTCAGGATGAAGAACAAGCACAAAACATAAGCAGTCGGACCCCAGAAACTTGCACAGGTCTCCTGTCTGTAAAAACAAGCTCAGTGATGGATGGTGTTCCAGAGAACAGTGCACAAGTTACATTTCTATGCTTTTACTGAAATGTCACATGCATAGTTGATCTCAAATATAATTACCTAAGCAGTGGGGGGCTGACGCTAAATGTACAGGGTGGGTTTCTTATGCAGTCATTCACAATTTCTGCTACAAGGCCTAAATTATAACTTTAAAAGAAAAACCATTTTCATATTGAGACATAAAATGTAATGCTAGGAAGTCTCTGGACAGGAAGTGAGGCATTAAGGTACAAATTATTGTGATTAAATGAGAGAAATTTGAAATTATTATTGTTCAGAGGATGTTATGGATGAAAAAACATTTCAAAGATGGGCAATCTTTTCTCTACACTCCAATAGGTCATATCAGTACCAACCAGGGGTATTAATAATTTGAAACAGTGCTTAATATAAAAATAATAAGCATTATCTAAGCGTACAGGATTATCAGTTGAGATAAAAAAAGACGATAAAAAGTTCAAATTGGTTTTCCAAGTTTAAAGCTAAATTGCTGAAATAATAATCCCATAGACGCTCAGAAAACATTCACTTTCTTTTTATCACTGGTTTGGTCTCCTCCACTTGTTGATTTACCTGCCATTTTATCTGCAAATGATCAGTTGATGTATTCTCTAGTGCAGCTAGGACAGTGTCTCTGTGGATACAAGTCTGAAAGGTATCGGCCCTGACTGAGCCATGAACAATGCAGTAATATATACTGTGTCAAATAATGTGTCTGTAAATTAAGATTACTTTATTTTGGTAATTGTTGGGGAGTACAACTCAAATACACTTATTCACTTTATTTATTTTATTAATCTTGGTTATGAGTCCTTTTGGTTTTGGAAGCAAAGAAAAGGTGTAGAGCAAAGCTTCAATCTTATTACTCTTAACTTGTTAGATTAATTGTTTTGAAGTCCCTTTTGATTTAATCCCTGGATATATAAATTGTTATATTGCTGTGTATTATAGCCCCCTAACAAATTTCATGTGTTCATATATTTATTAAACATTTTAAATTCTAATGTAATTTTCTTTTTTAATGTAAAAATGTAACATATCACTCCTTTTAATTTTATTTTCAAAACTATTCCAGAAATCAATACATTTAATGGATCATCTTTAGCCTGTAGGCATCTTATAGTTTATGTTATTATACATCAACTGAGTGTTTTTGGAATCATCTCTAAATTTTTGAAAAAGGAGATCATAAATATAGTAATAAACCTAATCTATAACTTTGCGAAGATCATGAATTGTATCAATTCTGCTGCAGGTTTCTGTCTTCAGCTTGGATCGTGTTTGTCATGTGTCACAGCAGTGCGACTCCAGCAGATGAAATCATGTCAGTGGAAATTTGACGGAGAAAGAAAGCGAAGCTCAGATAAAATTTGTCAGTCGTTTATTCATCGGTCCAACTGTACATGATGCAGTGAGAGAGGGACACCAGACAATGAGTAACATGGAGGATTACAACGATGCCAGTGCTATGGCAGCACCTGGAACACACCAACCATCAGCTGGAAGGGAAATAATAGCCCTGCACAAGGAAACTGTTCAGGCCTCGATATGTACAGGCACCATACAGTGTGTTGTGTGTATATGTGTGTGTGTGTGTGTGTGTGTGTGTGTGTGTGTGTGTATACACGTGTGTGATTAAAAACATCAGACTGAATGAAAAACACACAAAAATGATTTTTCAGTTCCACAAATGTAAAAGGGTGCTCTCTCGTTTATCATTTGAAATATTATTCCAGTGTTTTTCTCTTTTTTTTTTTTTAATGTTATTTGTTCATTCATTGTGTATGTTGAAGCGAAATGAAACAAGACGTGTGGGAGGGGCCAGATACAAAAGATAGTAGCTGATTAGCAGACGTTTTCTTGTAATTCCATGTCTACATCAATATCATTATTACCCATACTTTTTGTGCAATATCTCTCTTTGCATAGTAAATAAAAGTTAAATGTTTTCTGTTGTTGACATGCACCTACTTTTTTGTAGCATATTTTTGTTGCAGATTTTGGGGACTCCCATATAGAATTATAAGCCCACTATAGTGATTGCATGCAGCGTTACCAGTAGAGCGGATCTTGATCTTCTATTAAGAGTTAATGAGAGCGAAAGGCTAAGCCAGTATAGTGGGTGTTGATGAGGACTGTTAAGTAAGACCTGGCTGGACAGGTGAGCGCCTGCGTGGACAGACTTCATGCCCTCAGCAGTAGGAGAGGCACCGCTGGCTGCAGACAGAGAGGGGAAAGTGCTCTGTGTGCAACAACATCCATATGTTCAGGTGATTGGATCTTTGGCTTTTGAGACACTGTTGAAGATACTTGAGGGGGGGGGGGGGGGGGGGGGAGGGGGAGGGGAATCTCATGATCGTGATCTCAGTCCAAATCCCTCTAGAACTGACATGCTTCTCCTCCACACCACAGCCGCTTTGTCCACTGAGGTGTGATCTGACCTTTGACCTCATCCCAGACAATCCCAGCAGGCTGTGCAGCGAAAACTTTAAGCCCAAATCATAAGCGCAGTTTTTCTTTTCTTTTTTCTGTAACATTGCCAAAAACACCCGCTATACAACATGCTAAGATAAAAACAGAAGCAATTGATGTCCTTTGAAAATATGCTGATAATTCCAAACCTGAACTCCTTATTTATGTACAATATTGTGTGTGTGTGTGTTTGTGTGTGTGTGTGTGTGCATTTACTCACTATGTGGTCTGCACTGCCCTTATAGGTCCACACATGCAGCTTTCTTTATTCATCTACAGCACCTAGTGAACTATAGGAGCTTCGACCAGCCTTCCACTGAGTTTGGTTTTTAACGAGGCTATCTCCTCTGTTGGATTTTTTTCTCTTTGTATGTTTTTTTGTTGTTTTTTTGCAGTATATTCGTAGCTTTCGTAGCCATGCAGAGCCCTGTAAAAAGGACTCTTCATGCCGGGGGGGCCAGCAAGCAGCACACTTTGTGCGGATAGTCATGCCAGGTGAGAGAGTGGTGTGGATTCCGCCTGAACGCCTGTGCACTGGCACTAAAAGGATGGAAGAGGAGCTCTGTCACTCTAGAGATCAGGGTGGGTGGTTGGGTGGGTGGGTGGGGTCGTTACATGAGTGAGGTGATGTCGAAAAAGGCTGCGTTTCTTATGTCACTACGATGGAATTTGTTCAAATGTCCACTATGTCTGGTTCAAGTAAATCTAATGCCAAAGATCAGCAGCAGTAAGTGCAGTCCAGCTGTCAGGTAGCCAACTAAGGAAGCCTTGGAGCAGTCCGTCAGTGATAGCCATCTCTCCCTGGGTTAAATGGCTGAGGCGTTGGGGTCGTACCTCCGTTTCTTCACATTTCTTATTGGGAGACAAGAAACAGGAGTCAGTGCGTGCGATGGTCACATCTGTCAACACAGCTAGTGCAACCTGGACAAGCAACCGCACTCATCTCTTCAGTTCACAGTCGTACTCACAAGCAAATGCTTTAAACATTTCTGTTACATTCAGTGAAATGAGATGACAACATTCACTGTTGTTATCTATTCTATGCAATTTCTTTTTTGAGGACTTCCAAGATCAAGATGCTGAAGACACTGAAGTGAGGAAAGGCTGGTCCACGTTGGCCAGTTCGACCTTGACTGCAGAGACGGACAAAGGTATTTACATTCACAAACTTTGTATGGTTTTCTCTTTATATTGCAAAACCACGCTGAAGACCAAGAGATTATATCAGGCTAGGATCCAATTCTTCTGTTCAAACAATGAATAGAAGTAACCTACATAAAAACCTCCACTCAATTTAGTGAGATCGAAATGAATCTGAACTTTGAATATTGAAGCTTCGTGAAGATAAATATCCTTTGTTGCCCTCTGGTAGACAAGTGCTGCCTGGCTCGTGCGTGCAACATCAGGTTACAAGGTGAAGAAGTGTCGGCGACATGTCTCATCACCACTTTTGATGGGAAAGACATTAGTTCCACGCAAAAAACATAACCATCTGGGAGGATAGAGCTAACATAAAATATACTCTATAAAAGGAGGGAAAGAGGAGACAACCACATAAACGACAACCACAGCAGCAGAAGCAACAATAACTACTACCACAACAGTGGAACGACAACGAATACGACAACAGGAGTGATGTATAACCTCCCCGTACTGTGGCTTGTTGTGGGGCTTCTATCACTCTGTCATGCACCAGTTCCAATAGTAGGCCAGTTGAGGGTGGCACTATTGCTGTGCGTGGTTCATGCAGTGCGATGCGCTGTGTCTGTACCAGGTCTGTGAAGCAGGCAGCAATGGCAGCCGGTGTGGGCGGGTCCGAGAGAGGTCCTGCTCTGCTCTAGGGGTGCAGCCTGGCCCTCCAGGTGGGTGTGGCTAGCCATGGCACAAAGGCTGCGACCAACAAAAACGTCCTGGCTTCTCTCTGTGTGAGTGTCTCTCTCTCTCTCTCTCTCTCTCCCTCTGTCGCTCTCACCACTCCATTTAAAGTCTCACCCTCAAACAGTAACGGACTGAGGAAAAGATCATGGAAGTGATGAGAGCACGACAACCCTGGACCAAATCACTGTGGGTTTGGCTCAGCCTTTGTGCAATGAACTGACCTCCTCCGAGTCAACAAGTCAACATGCAGAAATGTTTTGTTTCTTCGTCTTTTTTTTTTGTGTCAAACATGATGCTTTGCTACCTGGCATGCTTTGGTGGCTGCATGATTATATTTCTCTTTTACTCCTTTGGCCTTTTTATAATTAAAATGTGTAACACCCCTGTTGCTCAAGACATCAGGCTAATAATTGGTAGATTGGAACTTATTGAACATAATCTATTGTACAATTAAGTACAAATCCTAGCTACACAGAGATATGTTAGACCTACTGTTGCATTTAAGAGGGGAAGTACAATTTTTACTTAATTATTTAATACTCTCATACACAATCTTTTTTAACCCATTAGCTGTTAACAATATTACTCCCCCTTCATCTCTGTTATTAGTTCCTTCACTGAACATGCACGTCAAGCATTGAGCTCTGCCCGTCCAATCAGTTTGAGGTTCTGCTACAGATGCACAGACGACACCTAGTGTCTCTCCAAATGTACACGTCGATACCCCGCCCTCTTCAGGAAAAACACCAGGAGTTTACGCTGGATGAAGAAACATGATCAGAAACATGTCAAACATGTTCGTCTCAGTGCTTTCACACTTTTAGGAAATATTATTCAATACAAAATGCTTTTGCGTTGTCCACCCGGGTGTCCATATTCAATAGCAGAAGCTCAAACCCTGGTGTCTAGAAGCAGCAGGGATGCTAGAGTTAGAGCAGGAGAGGCATGCGGCGTGTTGCTTACTTAAAGCCCCATCCAGTCCCCCCCAGCACTATGGCAGCCACAAGGATGGCTCCGGCGATGGAGCCTATTATTAGATTGGTGGCACTAGGACCTGTAAAGGGTTATGGGGAAAAAGACATGAGTTTCTGCACTCACTTACTGTATCAATAACACGTAACTGTACAATGACGATTTCACATGGAACAGAAAACATAACCAGAAGTATACTATCACAGTAACATGACTTGAGTCTGAAGAATTGTTTGTTGCATGCTTTTCAGACCCCTTTTATCTTGAAGATAATGAAGTTAGAGGCGCTGGGATTATTTTACATCTATCAGGTGTCAGTTGACATAGGGATTATCAGTGGTCTGTTTGTTGAGGTTGTGCAGGAGACTAGATCCTGGGTATCCATCACTGTAGAGGTGTATTTAAGCAGAGATCGGCAGGTGCTGTGTATGTGTGGCAGTAGAAAAATGTTTTTAGGGGTCCCAGTCACCACACAGCCTACCACTGACTGACAAGCCAGGTCACTAACTGGACACTTCTCGGGACTGTTTTCCACTTAAATGCCCCACATGCCCCAGAAAGGAGAGGATCACAGGAGCAACCACATAACGACTAAGAAGAAGAGAAAGAAACGGGATAAGAAGAGGAGGAAGGAGGATGAGAGAGAGGCTTGTAGTAATGGGGAACGACAGGAAGTGGTAGGAGAGGAGGAGGAGGAGGCAGGAGGGGGAATCCATCAATCAATCACACAACATTGAAAACATCCAATTACATGACAATTATATGGTCATCACCAACACACAAGAAAAACACAAAGCCACCGGGACGCACACACAGGCTCAGGCCGGCTCACGAGACCGCCCGCACACTGAGGCACCACTATGAGAGGAAGAGCTGTGAAAGGGTTAAAGATGCTTACTCTATTCCCCACCCTGTGCCTCCAAAAATCACCCCCAGGGCCAGAATGGTCCCTGCTACTGCCCCTATCAGCCTGTTAGTGGCCACGCTCACTGTGCAGAGGGGAAAAGGAGCAATTATTACCACCCTGTCAAAAACAAACAGCAGGCTTCTGCTTCAGAGGCAAGGATGAAGTGAAACGGTTCCCCTCGGTGACACGTCCCACCCCCTTAACCACCTCCCGTCTCCCCCTGTAAGCAAACCATCAGGTGTACAGCTGAATTGTGTGTTTTGTCATCATCTGGGTCAAACTAGTCAAATGCAACACTGCTTTCATATTCACCTTCGGCTGCTACGTTACATGTAAAGTCTCGAGTTCACCTGAGAAACTCACACATCTAGGAATCTGTGCTGACTCGGCTCTAGCCGTGTGACTGAGGAGGACAAAATATACAGTATTTACTCATATGTCAGGGTGAATCTTCGCTGAATTAAATGAGTGCATATGAACTTTTGTGTTATTCATTATTCTATCAGATGTCAGAGGTTGAAAGAGGTGGAAACCGACCCTTGGGCGTTTCGTCCTGAGAGGACTGAGGCTCTTTAGGCGGGTCAGGCATGCTACAGTCTGTCCCTGCCCAGGTGGTGTCGCACGTGCACGTGGCTTCATTGTTGCACACCTGTACAAATGGAACAGAAACAGATGAGGTGATGACGGGATGCAAGAGCTTTAAATAAAGTTGCTGACACACAAACCCCAGGAGCTGTCTTAACACTGGACATGTTTAGGTTTTCGTTCATCCACAGTTAACACATGCCTCCACATACACACGTATAACCATAGACTGTATATAAAGATGGATGACATGACGGCCCCCTAAAAGGAAAGCTGCAGTAAAGGTCGTAAACCTCCACTCTTGGTTGTAATTAGTAATTTGATGCTTTACACACACGGTGAAACATTATGAACGACAGCTGAGACTGACTCGTGATCGTCGAGTGCAGGACCTCGATACTGCGAAGACAAGATGGCAGCCTTCATATCTGGGATATTTTGGCTTCATTTCTGGATAGAGTGAGGAAGTGGAGACGTGTCGTCTATTTTTATATAAAGTCCATGGTCTTAACCAACAGTACAAGATCAAGATGTGTGGCGAGTTAGCCAACTGAGAGCTACTATGGAGTTAATATTTCCCACATCACCTTTCACTAGGTGTACAAACTGTGATTGGCTGATGGTGCAGAAACTCAGTCTGTCAGGAAGTCGCAGTTATCTTAACATCCTGTTTGATCAAATGTTAAAATGTCAGCTGTGAGTAAGGACAATACAAATGAGCTGTGGAAGGTTAGATACAGAACTGACTGATGATGGGACAAATCACTGTGCCAATTATCTATTTTGAAGACTTTGGGGTAGTTTAGAGTAAATTTGTCATCTGCAGAACATCTGCCATCAGACCACAGTGGGTGCAGCGTGTAAACTGGGACTCACCCCATGGGCAGAGCACACCTGTCCATTAGGTCCACTGGGGCAGGTGCTCATGTTGAGTGACTGGATGGGCAGACACTTGCGATCAAGGCACATCATTGACGGACCACAGGGAGTCCCATCCTCCACGTAGCCTAAATCAGTGTCATCGTCCAGAAGGACGTGGCCACCACTACGAGAGGAGGGAGAGAAGGAAATAGGGAGAAGGACGGAGGAGAGGTGTGAAAGGAATTTCAAGTACATGAACAGCTTTGGTGATAAAGTAAAGATAAGTTTACCTGCAATCTATCTGCCCATTTTTATGGTTAAAGAAAGTGGTGGTTATTTCCCCTTTCATCATTCCGATGCGTGGGTTGCGGCCAGTGTTTGTACACAAAAGGTATCCGCAGAACACGTCACTGCAAGAGACAAGCAAACATACATCTGTATTGATAACGGTGTTCCACTTTGTATAAATTATGACTTGTCAGGTTTTTATCCCTCTGTTGCCACTTTTAAATTCTGTGTTAAGACCCATCTTTGTACAATCAGCTCTCTAATTAAAAAACATCTAGCTATACTTTATTTTTATGGTTCTCTGATTTGAAATTTCACTTTTTATATACTACATCTTAAAGCACTATTCCTGTCATTTGGAATGGTCAATATAAATAAACAACATTATCATATTTAACTTTGATACAGCTATTTATTTTCATTTTAATCATTTTATTTAATGTTACACGTCTTTGTATTTCAACATTTGCTGTAAGTAAATATGCTACATGTACAAAATGGACTACTTTTACTGGATGGTCCCTTCATGGTAAACCGAACCAGAATCACTTCTGCTGTCAAAAACATAACATACAACACAATACTGCTCCAGCTGCAGTATCATATGTGTGAAGATAGTAACAATGTAAACTCTTTGGTCCGGGCCTGCAGGTTCAGCATTAATGTACATTTGCATTCAAACATTCAAGTAGTAAGTAATACAAGAAATAATAATAACAATAATAATATATATAAAGAATACCATAATATTAAATAAGAATGCTCAATATGAGGACATAATAATACTGTACATGATACAGCACACATAGGCATAATAAGGACAAATACGTATATAGTAACAGTGAGAGGCTGAATACTTGTATTACTAGGTGACATTAAAAGAAAACTGTAGGAGGGAAAACATTTAGATGAACATCTTTCATTCTCCCTGTTGCCCTCTACTGGTTGATTTCAAAACAACTTCTCTCCTCACTTGTTACTAATAAAATATCATATCATAGTCATTAAGGTAATTTGATCTTTCTTTGAAACTCACTGTTTGCTACACTGGGTCCATTTCTCTCCATCTTTCCCACAGTTGCCCTTCTCTGTGCCCTCCGTGTTGAGCTTCTCGTAGCAGAACTTCTCCGAGCCTCCGGCCTCTGAGGAACAGAGAAGAGGGCTGAACTGCTGCGCGACCCCCGACCCCACCAGTGATACTGACCTAAAGTGAAGTGTTAATCTTACTTGACCCCCAGATGTATTTACACTGGTTCTCTCTGGTCTTGCACTCTCCGTTGTAGCAGCGACCCTTCAGATGGTTAGAGGAGAAATGAAATGAATTATTTACATTTTCTGTCTGCTGCTTCCAAACTGCTATTCTGGTACATGGGGGCTCTTGTTTGGATAAAGTAAAAAGCTCCATCAGTCTGCGTACCTGGTTGACCTGGCAGAGGTAACCATCCTGTTTATGTAGGTTGGGAGGGCACTGGAAAAAAAAGGGATAAACAAGTGACTTTTTAACCATGCACATTAATGTAAAAAATGCAAAGAATTACGGAGATGAACTGAAATAAAGAAATGTGAGAGTGCTACATAAGAACACCTGTCCAGAGTCTCCAGAGCACGTCTCTGAGATATCACAGTCGTTCACAGCGTAGCGGCAACTGTAACCTCGTGGATAGAACTGGCAAGAAAAGATAAGATAACCCTAAATTCATGTTTTGGAAAAACATATTTTGTGCTTCAGATCTCTGAGAAAATGCAAAGCTTATACCAGGCATGTGTTATTGCAGCAGGGGCCATCGCTGCAGTGAGCCCCGTTGGCGAGAGAACACTTCTTGCAGCATTCCTTGTAGCACTCCTGCAAATAAACAGGGAACAAGCTTCAACCATCTGAGCAAACACGATGACAGCAAACAGACGTGAGTCGCTGAAGTAAAAAAACACTCACCGCTCTGCCTCCGCAGTCACACTCCTCTCCCACCTCGACAAATCCATTCCCACACTCTGTTGTCTCAAACAGCTGCACAAGGCGAGACGAGAGCGTTTGGAGGATACAGAAAGAAAAAGGTGAGATTTATGTCATGTGACACGTGAAGAAAGGAGCAGAGAAGTGCAGCCTCTGACCTTTGTCGGCCTGTTAAACAGACAAGAGCCTCCACCTTTCAAGAGGAACTCCTTGTAGTCTGAAATACTGCATTTGGAGAATCTCCGTGGTTGTTGGACACTGAGAGAGAATATCAGGTGATCATTAACCAGAACAGTATGTGTGTACAGAGGAAACTAATTAATTAAAGACAACCTCAAATAAATACAATTTGATAGAGCAATTTAATGCCTTCATGTACCAGGAAGTTTAAAGATTCCGTTTTTTGTGTTGGACTGATCCTATCTATACCTGGTGTAAACATAAGCAGCTTTCAGAAATGCACTGATAATCTCCTGACATTCTCCAGAGAACTTGTATGTGTGAAGGCAAATGTCCGAGTGGCTCTGGACCTTCTGCGTACTTTCTCCCGCCAGGCCCCCTCATAAAAACTCAGCAGAAAGTCCAAAGAAGCCGATGTGAGAAAAAACTGCAGGAAATCCTCAACAGGATTCACGGCGAGTGGGTGGGTGTGTTGATGATATTTCTTACCCACGACGGGATGAAAAAAACAACCAAAAAAGAAACATCATGAAAAAGAGGGGCTTTACAAGTAGAAGACACCAAGAAGAGCGTAGGTGTGTCCGTTTATCCTGCCTCTGCCTGATGCACCACCCCTCACCCAAACGCTCCAGAGTTGTTGTGGACGTGAGTGAATGCAGAATCTCCTGCTGCTGTTAATAATGTGTGAAAGGCAAATTCTGCAGAAAGTCCGAACCGGAGTTCATGTCTTAAAACAGTGATACTGTACATATCAATTCACTGGTTTACATGTTTGTTTGCTCACTGGATCCTTAAACTACTTCATCTGTTTATAACACTGCAAAACAACAAGGGTGACCATGTGCAGTGTTTCTAAAAATATGTCAATACATTTATCTACCACTTCTTCAGTTTTACAGTCTGATAACATCATTCCCACACTCCAGACTAAACTAATGAATGTGTGTGTGTGTGTGTGTGTGTGTATTACCCAGTATCCTCCATTATGCAGCCCGTCCATTGGTCAGCACAACCACATTCCTCTGCGAATACGAACGACAGAACAGTTAAAAACCACAGAGACGGAGATTGAGCACAAAAAAATTATATTAAAGATTGAACACTGAAATAAAGTATATTGAAATTATTATATTTCCACTAATAGAGAATCAGCATGAGCTAAATTCAGCACTTGATTTATGCAGCTTTCCGTGAAGATCATTTCTTTTCTAATACTTTCCAGTCAAGAATTTCCTACATGGCATCTGTTTGACGACACTGCCTCAATGAACACTTTGATCTTAAAAGCTGACATAAATAAATCCTGACTCAACTTCGTCTAACTCCTGGACCACTTCTTCAAGGACAATCAGTGCATCTCTCCATCTGTCACTCCTGGCATTCAGCTGTGAAGACGCACCTTTTATGTTTTACAGGCGCCATCTGCTGTTGTGAATGCCTTAAGACATTGAAATGTCTGAACTTTAAATATATATCAATCCCTCATTTGAGTTGGTATGTATCTAACCACATCAGCAATTTTTGTTTGTTTGCTGAAGTTTTGAGATATTTGCCGTCACACCAATACAATGGAAGCTAATCGAATGAACAGACCAGAGCTAATAAAGTCTGAAGAAACATTCCTCTTTAAACAACCATGTCTCCGATTAAACAGATCTAACCACAAACCTCTTGCGGACAATTAGAGAAATACTTTATACTGGATTTTTAAAAATATGGGGAAAAAAACAATAGAAACCTCAGAGACGTTTATCTCAAAACCTCAGGAAATTATATAACAGTCAATGGCAGAGAATTTTGGCCAAAACAACATAAAATAAGTGAATTCAAGAACTATGTTATCAAGGACTAATAGAGGACTAGAGTTCATTCCACCACAGTGGATGAAGGAGAAAGACGAGCATCTCCTGGATGAGTCCAAAGTTAAGGTGAGGGGATTCGTTTTGGAATTTGAGGGACCTGAACCTTGTGATGTTGGCTCTGAACAGACACCCTCCCTGGCTCACATATACTAGATAACAGTGTCTATTTCATGTATACTTCTCCGGGATACTGGGTCCCACTGGATGCCCAGATTCTGTGCCAGGCTCTGGCACAGAGACACTGCCATGGACCAGGTGGTGCCGTACTGTGGACACACACAACAGAGACCTGGAGATTATTCACTCGTAGTCACACGCTGTGATACCGGACTTTAAGGCAGCAAATCTGACCTCATTGACGCCGACTCCACGGCTCATAGAGCAGGTGCCCCCGAAGTACGCCGCGCTGCTTCTGCGGTAGTGGAAGGTCACATTTCTGCAAGAACAACAGAAAGATGTGAACAACAGACGAAAGAAAAGAAAGAAAAACATCAAAGAGAATCAGATCAGTTGAAAAAAGCTTAACTCAATATGTAACATAACTAAATGGGAACTTAGAGGGTGGTCACTTTATCACTATATTGTATATACATATATTATATATACACCATGTGTTGTGGAAAATCTGCTGATCAATGGTCAACTCATCAATGAAGAAAGCATTCAGGAGCCCTTTGACGTCTTACGCTGAAACATTTATTGAAACTTGGCCAAGGAGAGAATTCATCCATACAACATCTGTGCATGATGCTCTCTCATATTCTGACGTCTGCTTTCCTGCAGTCACACTTTAAACCCCAACAGATCATTTAATCTAATGGTGTGCTCGTTCCTAAACAATCAAATGTATTTACTAGTTATGGAAACAGTATTGCTGCTTATGCAGTCTCATATCTGCGATGTCTAGGGAGTTTGGCTTTGACCTTTGCCAAGCTCTCGCACTTTCCAAGCACATTAGCCTGTTGCACTCTGCCCCAGAGAGGACGAGAGACAGTGTCTATGAAAATTCCATAATACCATGGAACCAGATATTTTTTCCACAAACTGTTTACATTTAATGCATTTAATATAGTTGAAAGGAATACTAACTGAATACAAATAACCCCCCTAAAAAACTGGATCAACATATTTTATGTATATTATATTTTTAAGTGTCCGTCCTTTGCGCATACCCCACTTTTCAAGTTTCAAGATAATCCGTTGAGTAGTTTCAAACAAACAGTGATGAAAACATAACCTCCTTGGCAGAGGTAAATACCCATGCATGCAGACAGCACTGGTTGATGTACAAGTAGCTGCAGTGAGCACAGACAGACAGACTTACAAAGACAAACAAAGAGAATACTATGTGATCAAAGTGTGGATCAGGCCATGTTACGCTGAGAGTGAAGTATGAACAACACTATTATGCCAAGACAATGGTACCCAGGAAAAACATCAACCTCCTTCATAACAAGGAGGTTAGGGTTCGGCTTGGGTCTTTCTGTGTGGGGTTTGCATGTTCTCCCCGTGTCTGCGTGGGTTTTCTGGATAGATTGATGTATGTATGGATGTATGTATGTATGTATGTGTGGGTGGATGGATGGCTTTAACAGTTCTTCGCCATGTATGTTTTCATATTATTCCCTTTACATGCCTTTTTATATTCTAAATAATATTCTAAATATAACTAAATGCACTGAAAATCGTAATAAGTGTGTATTGTTTCACTTACGAGAAGAGGTGCACAGTGTCTGCGTGATGCTTGATGCTCTGCTGCCGGTACTTGGAGAAATCTCGCAACATTTCCAGCGGCCTCACGCTGATGGGGATCTGATCCTTGTCTGTCCAGATCTCCACGGCAACGAGCACCACACGTGTATGTAGCTGCTCTTTAAATATCTGCCATTGAAGCACGCCGTGAATGAAAGGAATACAGAAAGACAGAGAGGGAGGGAGAGAGAGGCAGAGAGACAGAAGTGACAGCACAGGAGGAGGATGAGAATTTTGATCTGAACTGTCGGAGCAGGACAGATGCAGGGATGCAGGAACAATAGGGACTGTTGATTGTGTAGATGAAATGGAATCTAGATCTGTTTTAAAGATCGGAGACACATTTCTCAATATGTAACTTAAGCATTTACTCACAGCATCCACAAGATTCACAACCGACTTGGCAAAAGTCTTCGTGTGCTGCTTGGTTTTGTGTCGTTTATACTGCAGACACAACGATGAGGAAGAGATAAATGAGTGATTCTTTAATGCAAACATAACATAGCATGACACTGCTCCCCGTTATGGGACAAAAGCAGTGAGGATGTAAAATATGAATTAGTTTGAAGATATATATGATAAACTAACATTTGTTATTGTTGTTATTGCATTTAATGGTAATATACATACCATACTGTGGTCACTGACAATCATGATCTCTAAATATTTGATCTCCTCAAACACACTGCGAGGCATCTGCAAATCAAAACCAGAGACAAGCGGCAATAATTAGTCCACTTCAAGCATAAACCTACATATTGTAAAGTTTGTTTTATAGTAAACTGGGTGTACAGCAAGTCAAGGGTGGTGGAACTGACATTTGTTGCATTAAGTGAGATCAGAGACTTACAGCTCGCTTTTTCCTACGCTTCAGCCAGGACAAGTCATCCAGCTCCGAGAAGAGCTGCCCCTCCTCCACTGCGAACACACACACACACACACACACACACACACACACACACACACACACANACACACACACACACACACACACACAAGGAAAGAGTGACAACACACATATTAAGCATTTTTACAAGTTTGGACGTTCAATATGCAACATGTTTTTCTGATTTACCTCTTGAAATTCAAGAGAGATAAGAAACTTGGCATAATGGTAAAAGCAGGAGCAACATAACATCTAATGCTAAAATGAGCTGGTCTGTTTTTTAACAACATCCATTTCTAACACTTTCAGGTGTTAACACTTTTGTCCTATATAAGGACGGTGATTGGTTTCTAGACACCTACTGGTTCTGGGCATGTATGTGTGTTTGCCCTGTCGTCGTATTGGCTCCTCTCCCTGTCTGTGCCCCATCTGCTAACCCACACCACCCCTGACAGCAGTATATAATGTCTGGTTGGATCACTACCTCCTTGCCAGAATATCGTGGTACTTGGTTCATGTGGTGTCGGAATAATTGGAGAAATTAGTCCCAGACTGGGATAATTCACGTGATCTGCATTTTAAGTCAGAACAACAACTCAGAAAGTCTGATAACATGTTGGTACATGAGTTGCTGTTGTCATAACTTGTAAACCAATTAACATATTTTACTTACAGCTCTAAATAGTAGATTCTAATGTGAACTTTTGTCACTTAAACTGCACGTCCATCTCTCAAAAGCATGTGACACCAGGCTTTTCAGACAATGTAGACGTTTTCATGATTAATGTGCATTAATAATTCTTTTTATAATTATTATCAGACCTGAATATTTTTCTTTGGCTCTTTGTTGTTCTGTCATGCAAATATTAAAAAAACGTGTCAGAATGTTTTTTAAATGCCCTTACCACATAAATACAACACATGTTTTTTTCCACATTCTGGCTTCAAGGCACATGAGCCCACAAAAATTTGGAACAAGAATTTCAGAGCAAGAGAAATGGGACCTTCTAAGAATCATGTGAACGCATAGTCACTCCTTGGCTGACTCTTGCTTGCTAGTATGATAATTGAATGCATTGCCTTCTTGTCCGTGTGCCAGGATGACCTACTCACACTCAGCCACTTCCTCAGATAAACCACCCTTCTGGATTCTCTGGAAATCCCCTGGATCCCTTCGAACCCTCTTTTTGCTCTGTGCCCCCTGGATTCTCCCTGTTCCTTCCACACCCTTGCTTTCATAGTTTCCCTTTGTTATGGGTCAGCCCTTCCCTGTGTACATTTTTCTGTTCAGCACATTTGTCATTGTCATTGATCTACTCAGCCATACCATCATACCACTAATCATAACAGACTAAAAAAAACTAGGATTACCGGCCTGAGATCGCACTGCTCCAGCCACCACTGCAGTTTCGGTCTACAAACATATTTTGTCCAGGCTCATGAGGTTACCATGACCTTTGACCAGTGAAATCGAATCCGTTAATCTTTGAATCCATGTGCCAACTGGTCAGAAAATAAATTCTCCACAGGCAGACTTGAGATATCATGATCAACTGGCCAAAAACATGTTCTGTGAGGCCATATGACCTTGAACTTTGACCACAACAATGACAACAGTTAATTATTGCTACAAAACTTCAACTCCAGGCATTCTTGGGCTGTTATGTTTACAAGGCAAAATAAATTTGCTTTTTGAAGTTACAATGTCATTTGAGCACCAAATCCTAGCCAGACTTTCTTGAGATACCACATTCACAAGAATGGCCCATACAGACATACAGACTACTTGAAAACATGATGCCCCGGAGGCATGTTAAAAAATTGAAAAACGTATTAAAGAATCTTTGTGTACATGCATGTTGTGTGCTGAACACTGACTTTCTAAGGGAAATGTAACTACGGGATGGAGCAGGGGTGTGGTGATAGTTCAAGGGAGGAGGATTGATGGAGGAAGTCATGAGAGATCATGACAGAGAGTGATGAAAACCCTTACCCTGCTCCTCTGTATCATTGTTCCAGTGAAGGGAGGCTGCTCTTCTTAGTTTGTGAGGCCTTGCAGCTGTATCCTGCAGGGGTGAGGCACACAAGTGTTACAAGACTGAAGAGGAGCTGGAGACAGAAACTGTTCACAGACACTGTTAAGTAAGATTCAAACATGAAGGTTGTGCCACACATGATGAGGTAGAAAAACAACAGTGATGACAGCAACACTGCTAATGAGGCCTGAAGGCTAATTCAACATTAAAAGTAAAAAAAAACAGTATAGTTTTGTTGAGACACATTTGTGCTACAAATGTCTATGCTCCAAATTACAATGACAATGTTCACATGCTAAGGTTTAGCAGGTATGTTTACCCATAGACTGTAAATAAAGATGGACGACTTGAGCCCCCTAAAGTAAAGCCAAACATCTCAATCGCCGCCTGGTGGCTGGAGGCAGTATTGGTCATGAACCGTGCTTGCTCCACGTTAGTGGATGGGAGATGGACCAAACTAAAATAATTTAAAAAATCATAGTATGCATCAAATTCATTTTCTGATGATTTTACGTAGTTGTTATCACACTGATATAAGTTCCAATAAATGTTGCATAATAGGTTTGGTCATTTGATGCGAAATAAACAGGGTGAAAATTCATAATTGACAGCTGAGCCTGAATAACTGATATCTATGAGTGTGTGCAAGTTGGGGAAGCTTGATTGAATTTTGATGAACTGTTGGGCCTTGGCAGAGGTATGTAATGTACTTATCTCGTCTCTCAGCTGCGTGTGGTGATGCTACATGAGCAGAAAGTAACAAAAAAACAACATCTGAGTGATACATATTTGGGTTCAAGGTGAAGGGAATAACTTACGATTGAATGAGTCTGTTCTAAGGGCTCAATTAGATACACATAGACTCCATCGTCAAACATCCCGCTGCCGTCCAGAGAGAGAAGAAAAGGGAGAGAAGCCATTCGATACTTAGTCAATAGGAGGCGAGGAGCAGAGATGAGTGCATCCACAGATATTCTCACACACACAGCGAGGAGTGCACACAACCCTGCTGTTCACTTACTGCAGCCCGTTGCAGGTAGATAAGGCCACGTGGGAGTTATCGTTCCCTCTCAACTGGCCGTGGTAGTAACAGTGCTCACCGCCCTGAGGGGAAGACAACACAGCGCTAAAGAAACATCACAGCAAACCAGGGCTATAAATAAAGCAGCCATACAACGCACAAAACTGCGTGTACCGTTCATTACACGGTGAATGTGTCACTTTCCTACTTAATTATCTTGAGCATTTCAGACGATGGAACAGCCTGTCTCACAGATGTTGGGTTCGGCCTTCATGCGGTTCATTCCTGCATTTCCATCTATTCTTGTTCACATGTGTGTGTGTTAAAACATTAAGGTGGTACTATCTGTGACTCAGCTGTCAGACATGGGGTGAACAGAGGACACCCTCCCACCCTCTCCCTCTCTCCCCCTCCCTCACACTTCATCCATCCCACGCTGCACTGCTACTGCAGAGTGCACTCTCTCCCTCGTCACATGACCAGAGCTACAGCAGGAGGCTGCAGGGGAGCGAAACCCTGCTGATTCAGCTACAGTACGCCCAGCCCAGCCCTCTGCCTGAATCAGCAGCAGCAGCAGCAGCAGCAGGAGCAGGAGCAGGAGCAGGAGCAGGAGCAGCAGGAGCCAGCTCTCATTCCTAACCTCTTTTCTTCTCTACCTCTGTCTATATGCTCTTATCTTTCTTTTTACCTTTTTATCTTTCTATTTATCTGCTCTTTATTTCTGCCTTGTAAAAATCATGCACTTCAAAAATCTATCTATATATCGATCTGTTCTGTCCTCCTGTTTTATAAAATTATATACTTCCATGTTCCTCTATCCATCCATCTGGAACATGGTTATCCACTCTCCTTCGATTTTATAAACATCATGTACTCCCATGTTCCACAATCTATGATCCATCCATCTACATGCATTGATCCATCTATCCATACGCTGTCCTTCTCTTTTCACGTTCAAATATCTATCTATCTATCTATCTATCTATCTATCTATCTATCTATCTATCTATCTATCTATCTATCTATCTATCTATCTGAGCCTTGTCTTGTACATTGTGTTCTTTTTCTCAGTCTAAATATATGTCCAGTTTTTTGGTTGACATGTGACAGTTGCAGTGTTAATTTGGTGACAGTTTTGCAGAGGGGTTAGCAATAAAACACAAAAGCAAACTAATTCACAGGCCGTCAACACACATCTGTCTTTAATTTCAAAAGGGTGAGCCTTTAGCTTTACCAACAATATACAAGACTGACTAAAGGAAACAGACAACCACACTCCAGCAACAAAAGAAGATAACGTGTATTTTAACATTTGTGTCAAAACTACAGAAGATGTTACCTTTGATAGAACAGGTTTGCCCCCTTCATAATGGATTTCAACATAATCTGAAGACAGCAAGCCACTGAAAAAAAAAAAACAGGGATTGAAGTTGGTTAAATCGGAAGGATATGATGCAGCGACAGTAAAAACAACACAACAGTCTGTCTATGTTTGCTTTCTCTGACTCACACAGTAGTGTGGTTTCAAACGAGCAGTGAGCGCTGCTTTGGTTGGAGTTTAAACAAGAACACTCATAACCACAGTGCCTGGATTAGTCTGCACAAACATGACATGGCTCATGGCATCTCAAAAGAGCACCGCAGATGTTAAATGTCCCCTGCCCTCTGGGAAAAATTAGGATGCACTTTACTTGTGAGAGGCTGCACAAACAAGACTGTATTGGATAAAATGACCAATCTTTCAAAAACATGCACATTCTGTTATAATAAGATGTTAAAAATAGACTCACACACAGTTACGCACTCATTCTAAAAGTGGATTTACAGTAATTCAAGTGATTTTAAAGAAATTGTAAAACATTGCTCTCACGAATATGCTTCTTCCTCAATTTTACCACATTTAGATCACTGGTTGAGAAACAGCACAAGTGATAGGAACCGAAACAAGTAACTATGTCTGAAATCTGCCTCGGCTTCACCTTGAACACAGCGGTCAAGTTCCCTCTGTTTGAGTCAGCATCCCTCACCGTTACACACACTCAATCTGTTAGCTGACATCTGATTTCAAGAGGCTGCCATTTTTGCCACAACTGCGCTTTTCTTCTTCTGAGTAACCTAGCAAATCAAAAAACACACCCTCCTCACTGTAAAGATGTGGTGGTGTTGCGGCATAAAAAAGAAAAACATTTTTTTAGAAAAAGAGATGCAAGTGAGGAAGTCTTGTGACACCGGCAGCGTGACGCCGTTAAGTGATGCTCGGGCAGGAAGTGCACTGGGATGAGGGGAAGAGTCGGGGCAGGGGCAGCGTGTGAAAGAGATTCCTGAGTGAGGGGCCTATTTTTAGTTGGACATAAGAGAGTAAGAGTGTATACGGATGTGTTAGTGTGTGTGGGTGGTGGGGAGCTCCGCAAAGTATGGAGGGGTAAAGCATTAGTGTTTCAAGATGTGTGTGTGTGAGTGAGTGTGTGTGTGTGAGAGATCTTTGAATCTGTGTGTGGAGGCAGCACTAGCCTGCCCTAAGGTTACTCTAGTCCAGAGGCAACTGAGTGCCTCAATGCAGCAGCAGCAGCAGCACAGGAAAGCGAGACAGAAGCAAGGCAGAGACATAAAATCAAAATGTTCTTGTGTCTGGCACCACATGAAATACAGCTCTAAATCCTGACGTGACGCACAGCTCCATCATATCACAATGTTTAAACTCTCAACAAATAGAATGAATCTGATACGTGTCCTAAAAGATGAAGACACTCCAAGGAAGAGTCAGCAGCGGAAAAGATATTCACAACAGGATATCTAAAAAAGAACTGAGGTCCATTACAGGGAAGCTACTGGTCCCATTCCTGATGCACTACATGAAAAAGGATGTGTTTTAAATCAATATACGTCCTCCAGTGGGAAAACCAGTTTCCTCAGTTTACAATCACAGGTACAGTGAGCGGCGAGGAGATAAAGAAGCGCCCATTGGCAGGTTGCAGACCCATCTATATTTAGACCCGCACTGTCGCAGCTACAACACCAAGCAGAATTCAAACCCCCTGTTCTCACATGAAAAGAGAGGAACACAGGGAAGTGAAGTTGGCTCATGTATCTCACAGATGACCTACAGTGCAGCCAAACAGCTGGGAATCAAGGTCACACTCCCGTCTCCCGTTGGGCCTCGAGCATCAGCCGCTCACTTCACATATGTGGCTTCTACAAAACAAATTCAACATAGATGGAATCTGTACCATGTAAATTGTATTTATATTATATTTATATTTATAGATTTATATAGATTTATAAGTGTATAAGTTATTCAGTGCCAGCCTCTATGTTGGCACTGAAATATGCTACAAACTCAAAATACTACAAAGATGGTGGAGTTACATTTGCAACATAATTCAGTTTAATGACTGTGTCAGCAGCTATCAAACCAAAATGAAAATGCTCTCAACTGAATGTGGAAATCTTTTCATAATTAGTTTTTTAGCTTGAGTCATAAAATTATGCATTGAATGTGGAATGGCAGCATTTTTGCAATATGAAAGTAGACAGTAAGATATATTTATGACATTTCCTCCTTGATGACTCAAAAACACTTTATCCATCTCAACATCTAACAGCACTCAGACGTGTGCAATATAAAATTACAACATTTGACTGCAGAATCCACAATCCAGTTTAAAATCCAACTGAAGGGCCTGAAATTCAATCAGGATTTCGAAATCCTTGTACTCATGCACATTAAGCCTTCGCATATGTAGACCAGCTACTTTGTGAGGGGAGTAAATCAATATTATTGAGTGTCCAGAGCCTCGTGTCTCTGAATGGACAGTGATCACAGAGCATAGCATATCTGCCACTCTGCTCCTTTATGATGAAAACCAATTAAAGATACAGACTCTGCTTTTTCAGAATGATTTTCCAAAAAAACTGTTTGTCCTTGTGTGTAAACTGGCAGCCGAACTAAGACGACTCTTAACATTTGCAGGATTCCTGAACCAGTAGTCTGCCCTATTTAGTTACAGCTTCCCTGAATACCTTCTCTTAGACTGACGCTGCGTTAATGACTAATCTGACATATAATAACACATATCAGTTACAAACAGCAGTCACCCACAGACAGGAATCACATGCTTGCTCATAAGTATCTTGCCCAGAAACACCCAAGGTTGATCTTGGTCATGTTGGCGCCTAAGGTCAGACAACCACTGTCGGCTTCACGGGATTTGATGTTTTCAACGTGAACATTAATGCTCTGATTTTGAGTCTCACTATGATCTTGATCATATTTTGCATGATTATTAAATTACCCACATAACTAATTATCACTTCTTCATATCCAGTGACCCATTTTTTTCCTCTAAATCCAATATTTATTTTAATTGTATTGTAGATTTTTTAAAAGCCCTGAATTAAAAAATAAATTCCATATCATAGCTTATCACAGAGTGTTTTCTATAACATCTTCAGTATCAGTGTGGGCCTGTTGTCGCATGGATGTTCAGACAGAGTTTGAGGTCTTAACCCTAAGATGAATACAGCTGCTGACGTTCTGCCATTTTCAACCATCTGTACAATAAAACATTACATCACGACCCTGACAGAGGACACTGCTGAACTACACATCCAAATCCCTCTCACAGGAAGTTAAACCACAGTCAAGCAGTTTGTTACAATTAACGACCACAGCGGCTTTGAGCTCTGAAATCAATCGTTTTAGTTTTAATGAATTACCGTCGTTGGTTAGTTAGATAAGGCGAGGAAGGACCTACTTGTTCAACTTTAGATCCAGGACAAATCTGGAACCAAACGCCTCTAACTGGAAACTGGCCTGGGCAAGGTGGACCGCCTGTTAATGAAGAAGAGAGTGGTCACTGCAGAGGATGATGGCGACTTCAGGGTAGAGGATCGATTATGTCACATCATCTACAGTACAGCGTGCAAAGAGAAGTGGTGGATAAAGGACAGATGGTAAAGTACAGTGGGAGAAATGCTTCCTTCAGCATGATCGCTCTGACGTGATGCACACAAAGCATGTCTGTGAATGTGCTGTGTGTGTGTCTGTGCAGCAAAATGGCCTCCAAGCCAGATTTACACAGGCTCAATTAAGGACTTACAACTTCAGAACCTCCACCAGACAGCAGGCTGTTAAGGGGCCGGACACTTGACATAAAATATCTTCCCACCACATCCTGGGATCACCTGTCTTGGCTTACCTGGCCCTCTGCGGCCTGACTCTTGACTCGCGTGTCCAGGTCATGGTAGGTGCTCTCTGAGTCCTCGTTCAGGTAGTAGATCAGCCGCGAGGGGTAGGTGATCTCATGCTCTGCTGCATGGTGTGTTGTGTTGTCTGTGGCAGGTGCTGCAGTTGCCTGTTGCTTCAGCAGCACTGGCACCGCATCCCTCTCAACCTTGTCCTCTACTCCTTGAGAAACTGCAAAGAGAAATCCCGTTGCACCGATGTGAGAAATGCACACACACACACATGCACACACACACAGAGTATTCAAAGAGCCAGCTATCATCCTTTATTCATGAAACGCATTGATAACACTGAGGCAAGTGGCCCCAGCTTCATTGCGATTCCTCAGGACACACTTCAGTAAGGTTGCACATTGAATAATAACATAGTGACAACCACAAATGGCTGTTAGGCCGACTGAGAATGAGGAAAATAAGATGCTTTAATTCACGGAAATCTACTTTTGATGTGCTAGAAGTGGAAAACTCTGCACCAGACGGATGAATGCAGTTCCTGTTATGCAATATGAATCCAAAAAGCCCCAGACAACAACAGCAGATTATATTATGCACGGATGGAAAAAACTGGTTTGCAGTGGTTGTTCATTCAGATGTGAAGATCATACATAATAGAGAGCACTGTTTCATATCAGGCTGAACAAGAGCTGCTGGAATGCTGTGGTGTGCCTCAATGCACCATCATGTTCGAGAACACCGCATATTCAACATTGCACAGCCCTGCGTTTTATCGTGGAGCGGAAACACAAAGCGATGCACCTGCAGTCCACCGTCAGTCAGTGTTTAAGTCAAAGTGGAGGGTGGAGGCTATTCCCTGACATCAAAGTGACAAAAAGGCAGCAGGACGCGGCCAGTACGTACCGGATGACGCTAGAGATGGATGAAGCCAAGGCGAGAGGACGCTGACGAGCAAAGTGGCCAGAAATATCAAATGCATGATTCATATTTGAATAAGTGGAATATCTCGATATCAACACAGCAACGCAGTGGAAGGCTTGCGGCCCATCGCGGCGGGGAGGGAGCCGTGCAGGAGGGAGTTCTTCATGGATCCGGGAGGCACCGGGATGCTGCTGCTGCAGTAGCTGCTGAGGAAGAGGAGAAGAAGGAGGAGGAGGAGGAGGAGGATGGACGATGGGTGGGGGGAGAGGCAGAGAGAAGGCGGCGGCCAGTCACAGCTACTGGAAGTCAAGCTGCAGGCTCCTCCTCGAACACACCAAACATGTCCTCCCTCCCCTTCAGGTGACTTCCACAGATCACAGGCATGGTCTGCAGATCACAACAAGCTGACAGGAGCGCGCGCACACAAACAAACATACTGACAAAAAAAAAACATGTGACATCAGAAACATCATTCAATTCCCACAACACAAAAAAACTACAGGGATGACTTATTAAAAAACAATAAAACATTGTTTTTATTATAGGAGCCTAATATAGGGGATATGGCCAGAAATTATAGATGCTATATGCTACAGATTAAGACACAATCGATATTTACCATGATAAATGTAAATGTCAAATTATTATTTATTTTATTTTTAAAGGGATAGTTCACCCAAAAATGAAAATTCACTCATTATCTACTCACCACTTACATTAATACATTAGCAAAAAAACTAACGGAGAAAAACTGAGTACTGAAGGTACAGGAAGTCATGAGCTATTTATCAGATTAATATTTAAGCATCAGCGGTTTAACTGAAAACAACATGTGGAAGCTGATGCAAAACTGAGCCATGAAAGAGTAAAATGTATAATAATTCCTTCTAAAATGTAGTGAAGCAAAATTTGCATTAAATAGAAATACTTGCATAAATATACAGGTCCTTTAAATTTATTAAAAACACAGGACAAAAAACACACGTCACAAGGGAGCATGCATAATGAAAATGAAACTAGAGCAGCTAAACACAATTCACCCACCATTAATTTTAGTATTTCCCTCTGTGCTTACATCTGTGAAAAAGACCTTCAGAGTATATCTGGTCAATGTTGACCTATTGACCCTTAATTTAAGGACATCATTCACCTCAGAATATAGGATTAGCATTCGTGTGCTAAAAAAGACCTACATTATGTATTAAAAGGCCAACTCCATCCCAGAGTTTCTATTATTTTGATGGTAAGGTAAGGTTCATGAATTCTAACCATGTGCAGATCAATTGTTATATGAAGAATGGCAGGAATGCAATGTTCTACGTTACATTTGCTCGACTGTTCCAATTTGAAAATAATGGCTTATTAAGGGGAACAGGAATTTAAATCATTGTTAATGTTGCTTAGGCACAAATCAGAATGTCATATTGACAATGTGGACTGGAGCATCATCAGTGGCTCAAACTGAATATGATAATCTTATAAAATGAATATAAAACAAATGTGGTAATTATAATGATAATTCCTTGCACAATCATTTGAAAACTTTTATAGCAGTGGTGTATGTAACTTCCAACCCGTGCATAAAGTAATGTGTTTAGGCGTAGAATAAAAAAGGAAGTGAGTGATTCATGGATAGGAACATAGTGTGTTGAGACATTACGTGAGGAAAAGCATGAGTGATGTTGGACAAGGGATGATGATTGTGACAGCGTTCGTGTCTTTCTGACAAAACAGCATATCTCCATGATAGACTGTGTTGTGTCACAGTGGCCAGAGTTTATAATCAGTGCTTGTCATGACTTGTCGGCATGAGTAAAGGCTACGCAGAACACACGCAGACAGACGTGCACAAGCAGCTGAGCTATTGAGGGATGTCACCCCCCCCCACAGAACTGAATGATCCACAGAGAGATTGGATGGTCACTATGGGGTCGCTGGAGATTGAGACGAGGGATGGGTGAGCAGCAGCGTCCACGCGTGTCTTTCTTACATCATCCTGCATCAGTTTGGAAAAAAAAAAGCATCTGTAAAATCAATTAATTAAATATGAAAACATCATAGCCTGTATGTAAAGATGGACTGCGTGACAGCGCCCCAAAAGTGAAACCAAAGTGCGTGGATCGCCACCTAGTGCACGGCTGCAGTACAGGTCTATTAACATGGAGAAGGCAGGAAGAAATAATAAATAAATAAATAACTTGACTTTGAATTTTACATATTTACGCATTTGACATGACAGACTTATACCAAGGACTAAATCTCCACATACAATGTTTTAATCAGCATTTTACAAGTCAACCAAGGTTAGGGGAATTCATTGGAAATCCAGTAAATCCAGCAAACGTTTTATAGTGTAATCAAGCTCGTCTGCACATCCACATTCAAAGCACGGAGGCCTGCCACGAGTTTACTCAGGTTTAATGAGCAGCAAAGTGCTGAATGAACGAGTTCAGAAAGTGGCTGGTGGGAAAGGAAGCAGATGAAGTTTCTGTTTTTGGGGGGGTGGGGCTGTCAACAACAAAACCTGCAACACTGAAAACAGTTTACTCACAGAGTAATCTGGATCGGCTTCTACTCGACAGCTTCTCTGAATGAAAGCTTTCTTCTGCTCCGAGCCGAGGACCAATAAGTTCTCTTCATTCCGTTGGTCCGTGTCTGACGCGTCAGCCTGGCGCGCCCACTGCACCGCGCCGCTCCTCCAGCCCTGGAACCACAGTTCACGGCTCAGTCTGGATGAGGACTGCACATGCAACACAGACACCGAGAGGAGAAGTCACGGATAAGACCAGGCCCAGCTCACCGGAGCTAACAGAGGCTAAGCAGCCGTGTGTTGATCCGGAAAAGTGGTTTCAGAAAAGGGGGCGCTCCAACTTTTAGGTGAGAAAGCTCTTCATGTTTATCCCATTAGTATTCAAACTGTGCATATGTGGCACCGAGTGACTGGTGAACTATGTCTGTTCCTGTGGTGTTAACTGATTATTAAATACAGATGCTGTTGTTTTGATAGTATAGGCGCTACTTTTTTTATCTGTTTGTTTGTTTTCAAGTCTCTAAAGTAGCTCTTTTTCTAAAGTCTATTGGTTCCATTCACCATAAATGTGTTGTTGTATACGTTTTCTCTTTTAAGGTTTTTTTCCTCCTATTTATCAGTTTGACATTGCACAGTATATAAGTCAATTTGATCTATATAGATGAATAGAAATTGAGTACAATAGAATAGAAAGTATTTATTGTCATTGTACAAAACAAAGCAGGACAACAAATTTAGAGGTGCTACTTAAAGAATACACAAACCTACTCATAAATAAAATATTTGATGGATGAATGTACTTAATGTACCTAAATACTGCAGGCTCTGTTATGTACATGGCAAGTTTCCTACCAAGACAATAAATACTGTAATCTTATCTTATTGAAATCCTATTCTAAATCCTATAAACGGACATCTTCCATTTTTTGTCGATTGCACTGATTGTTGCATTTAACATTGTGTCCATGTAGTCTTTAACAGTTTGTCAGTTTTTATCTTTGCAGCTATTCCTCTGCATTTGTAGATGTTCTTTTCATGACATTCCTTTTCAATGTAATTGTAGTGTAGAGTAGAGATAGAAGATAAAGACTGGAGTAGAATTGTGGTGGTGATGAGCTCTGTTTTGGCCTTGATGATGATACTGGTATTTCAGATATGTGCAAAAATATGACTCTTTGCTCTGTTTTTTTCTGATTTCGTCCCTGGGGAATATAAACAATGAGATACATGTGGTTTTTTTTGTGTTTTTTTTTTTTATTTTTATTATCACCCAGACAATAACATTGTGCCCCTGCATTCATAAATTATGTAACAATAAAGTGTGTGTCAGCTCTTCCATGTTTACTTACAGAACAAACATCATGAATCACACTACGAGGGTTCTTTGAGCCTCATCTGTGCGGCATTGCAATGTCCTGATTTGTTGATCTAGATGGATGTTGACTCTGTGTTCCAGGGTTTCTCGGGACACACCCTGTCCCAGCCTCAACACGCAGGAGCTGAGTGATTGGAAAAGAGGGGCGGGATACACAACTGGGTCCTTTTGAGGAGCATATATCCTAAAGGGTGTGAGGTAAGAACAAAGAGGGATTCTTTAAGATACTGCATCACCATATAGAAAATAAATCTGATCATAACATTTTTTTGTCTTCTCACAGAAAATCAATCATTGCAGTAATGGCTGACTATAGCGAGGACTATGGAAACTACAGTTATGAATATTACCTGGAGTATGGCGACTTAGAAGAGCTTAAAGTTGATCACAGGCAAAGGGAAACTATGCACATCATCTCAGTGGTGATCTATATTATTTCCTTTGTGCTTGGTCTGATTGGAAACGGGATTGTTATTTGGGTGACGGCATTCAAAAGCAAAAAGACTGTCAACAGCGTGTGGCTGCTCAATCTTGCCATGGCGGACTTTGTGTTTGTGCTTTTCTTGCCCCTCTACATCGATTACATTCTGCGAGACTTCCACTGGGACTTTGGTGTGGCCATGTGTAAGCTCAACTCATTTGTGTCCGTGATGAACATGTACGCCAGCGTGCTCTTCCTCACGGTGCTCAGCATAGACAGGTATGTGTCACTGGTCCACCTCAACTGGTCTCAGAGACATCGAACTGTAAAAAGAGCCTGGGTCATGTGTTGCTGCATATGGGTGCTAGCCGGCGCCATGAGCTGCCCTGCGCTGATTTTCCGTGACACCTTGCGCTTGCACGACAAGGTGGTGTGCTTCAACAACTTCCACACACAGGACTCACACACAGCAGCCATGAGACACATTGTAATAGTGGCCATCCGCACCACTGTGGGCTTCCTCCTGCCGTTTACCGCTATTTGTGTGACAGGCATACTTCTCACAGTCAAACTGAATCGATCTCAGAGCTCGTTCCGCCTATCTAGGTTCTCCAAAACAGTCTCTGCTGTAATCCTGGCCTTCTTTTTATGCTGGGCACCTTTTCATGCCTTTAGCTTAATGGAGTTATCAATACATTCCTCAGTGAACCTACAACACATGCTTAAAGCTGGATTTCCCCTTGCCACCAGCTTAGGTTTTTTCAACAGCTGCATTAACCCCCTGCTGTATATGCTCCTGGGTAAAAAGGTTCGTCACATCCTGAAGCGCGCATGTCTGAACATAACCAAGAGTTCACTAAGAGAGCTCAGCCAGTCAGTGTCTGCCACTGAGATGGAGTCTGTGCCAGAACATCATCAAGTCAGTGTCCCAGAGGAGCCTGTGGAGTCATCAACTCTATGATCGCAATCGTCCTCAGCCTCTTGTAGCAGACCATGAAAAATATGAGGGTGGCTGACTGTTACTTAAGCGCAGTGGAGGAGGATTATCACGCCCATTCTTTCCAGCTGTAATGTTCAGATTTTCCCTGTTGTGTTTCATTTGGATGGAGTTACACCTACTTCAGCTATTACTCCAAATGGAAAAACTGAGGGAAACGGTATAATGTGCACATAGTTAGCATCTTTGCATATATTTTTCATTTGCAAGAGATCTCTAGAGAAACAGGCAAGATCAAAATCTATCTCAATTAGTCAGTAGACAAATACAAATCCTGGCTTCTCTCTGGGTCCAGCTTCTCCACTGTGAGGATTTGCTGCTTTCCCTTGTATTCTGTGATAATAAACTGCATATCCTTGTGTGTTGGACAGCTGGTCAGAAAAACAAGCAATTTGCAGATGTGTCTTCAGGCTTTGGAAAATGTGATGGACATTCTTTTTAAACTATTTTTCAAACATTTTTGGGAAAATCATGAGTCATGGATCTCACACATTTGGATTGTACTCCTCTGCTCATCACTGCTTGATAGGCTGTTACAGATGTGCATATATCTGATAGTAGTTTAACATGATTATGTTTTTATACAGTTTGATACTACAGTCATCTATTAATGTATTGTTTGTTTAACTAGTTGAGAGTTGTACAAATGTTTTATTCTAATATATTACAAGTAAATAGCATATATGTCAATAAAATTGCTCCTCTGAGCACACACACCGTACTGTTTTATATTATTTGACTTGATGTCATCCTGGTTACCTCATGATAAGGCTTTGAAGTTTAACACACACACTCCAGGTTTCCAGCAGAACTTACACACTACTCACAACTATGCACAAGCCTGAGGAACGTCCAGATGTTGCATTTCCTTCCGCATTTTCCTCAGTGTCTGTTTACAAAGTGGCTCGTGTCCTGTTATTCATCCCCGGTGAACACTGATTTGTGAGGATTACTCACTGTAGAGGCACACAGAGACATCCTGTTGTGGTGACAAGTGTGAAAAATGGCACAGGAGGCATATTTCACCCTGATCTTCAACAGGGAAGCGAAGGCCTTGTGTCACTTCACGGACTGAACATCAGAACCTCTGACCCTCTTTGTTGTTGCTGTGAATAAATGGCACATTTAGGAGTGAGGATAATCCACCTTTGTATTCAAAGCAAATAGTGAATCAGAGGATAAAATCCCTGCAGTTGCTGCCACATCACCACAGACTGTCACAGTTAGGGTGTAGATGAGAATCTGCTGGGGAGATGCTACATTACTTCACCCGCTCAGTACTGATGGTGTAGTTACAGAGTGACGCAGCCCTCCTGCGTGGATTACGGCACACTGGATTACTTAATCTGTGACGCAGCAGAATAGCAACACAGTGCGCAATCTGCGTAGCACACAGTCTCCCGAGGACACCGGCAAGTAAGTGGCACCGCAATAATCTGTATCTGCTGAATAACGTTGATAACCTGGATGTTATAGTTCTATGTGGCACGAGTTAGCTAGTGAGGTTATCCTGTTGACGTTTGTCACTGTAGCTTGTTTTTAGCAACCATGCTAAGTAGTGGGTTTAGCGTGTGTATTGGTTGAAACTGTTTCACGCACTCTCAGTAAGTAACGTTAGAATATGAAGCGGCTACAGCAACATTTGCTCACGTTAACACACAGATTAGCGAGTGACGTTACGCAGAGTTTATGTTGATATCTAACGACGTTTGCAACCTTTTACGGGCTGTCAACACCCGACGTAAAGCACAGTGGGTCGCATAGACGTGTGCTTTATTTAGGAATTAGCCGCTCCTTCAGCCAACAGCTAGCTAACAGCTACTTCTGCTGTGTTGTGGTGTTGGAGCGTGTGTGAATCATTACGCACCAACTTTAAACGTGTTGTCAGACCCGCTGGAGCTCACACACGATGTCGCCTCTCTGCCTCCAGCATGCTGCGTTTGCCTGCTGTGAGTCGGAGTCTCTTTCCAGCAGCTGTTGCCAAAGGAGGTGCGGTTGCGACCAATCATGGTAAGTAAGCATATTTATATACACATGCCACTTCATCGTTTTACTAATTAATCATTTTGTTGCACGTCTCTCGCGTTTGTACACAGTGGCGTTCTGTTTGTTTTGTGCCAGAATATCCATGTAACCTTGTTCCACCGGTGGATTATAGGCAGGATTACAGATTTGCCTGGTACTAGCTTTGGTGCCAGGCTGCTGCCTGTAATGATCAGTGTCACTACTTTGCCATCACAATGAGATATCAGGATTTAATTATTGTAGCATAAATGATTCACTGTGTGTGGGATTTCTTTTTGAATGGTAACCGTCCCTGTTTTCTGCTTGAAGCTCGTACTGCAGCAACAGCAGCTGCCAGCAGCCTCCTGGAGGTGTTCGTGGATGGGGAGGCCGTCATGGTGGAGCCAGGAACCACTGTGTTGCAGGTAACTACAGCAATCCCTCGACATCTTGAGTCATAATGTTATATTTTACATTGTGTCTTATTCTATCGAAGGCGTGTGAGAAGGCAGGCATGCAAATTCCTCGCTTCTGCTACCATGAACGTCTGTCAGTAGCGGGAAACTGTCGCATGTGTCTTGTGGAGATTGAGAAAGTTCCTAAGGTAAAGTATTGAGATGCATGTTTCCACTTCAGTAATCAATGCATGTGTGTCAGTCTTGTGTTTCTTCTTCATAATTTTACTTTTACTTAGAGATGCCTGCTTAAAGTCATAATATGTACATTTTTTGCATGTACCTACCTTCTAGCCTGTGGCAGCATGTGCTATGCCTGTTATGAAGGGCTGGAACATTTTAACCAACTCTGACAAAACAAGGAAGGCAAGGTAGGATCAAACTCACAACTAACATCATTGTAGAGATCATATACATTTTATGTAAACATTGGTCTTTAATTATATCCAATTGTCTGATAGGAGGTGTTTAAGATTTTATGATTATGAAGCCCACTTTTATATTTGTGTTATTCTGGGCTACCTATATTTTTATTATATCAGCTTTCTCAGAAGCAAAAAAAAAGTGTATATTCTCTCTAGAAAGTAACCTGACACAATGTTATAAATAGTTGTTGTTTAATTTTCACAGAGAGGGAGTGATGGAGTTTCTGCTGGCTAACCACCCATTAGATTGTCCAATCTGTGATCAAGGAGGGGAGTGTGATCTGCAGGTAAATAAAAGATTACTGTGTTTTCATTAGTCTGTTGCTGAGTGTTTGTCTCATTGTTATTTGTAAGACTGATTAACAGTGTTGACTATGATTTTGTGTGAAGGACCAGTCCATGCAGTTTGGCAGTGACAGGAGTCGTTTCACAGAGGGCAAAAGAGCGGTGGAAGACAAAAATATTGGCCCACTCATCAAAACCATTATGACTCGCTGTATCCAGTGCACCCGCTGTGTGCGGTGAGTCACACCTGGATATCTTGAGTAAGCTGAGTTGTTATGGAAATTAAGAACATGAAGAATAATTACTTTTTTGACTTTTTACTTACTACAGCTTTGCCAGTGAGATAGCAGGGGTGGAGGATCTGGGCACCACCGGCAGAGGCAATGACCTGCAGATTGGGACTTATGTGGAGAAGATGTTCATGTCTGAGTTATCTGGGAATGTTATTGATATATGCCCAGTGGGAGCCCTGACTTCTAAACCATATGCATTCACTGCTCGCCCTTGGGAGACCAGGTTTCTTATTGTTCTCATTTTGTAATTAACTTACTAGGGTCTAAACTTTGTTCTCCTCTCATATAACCTAATTTGTTTTCTACAGGAAGACTGAATCCATTGATGTTCTAGATGCTGTGGGTAGTAACATTGTGGTGAGCACTCGTGGCGGTGAGGTGATGAGAATCCTGCCACGTCTTAATGAGGACATAAATGAGGAGTGGATCTCGGACAAAACCAGGTTCCTTTCATATCTCACAACACAGACCTATATTTGTGTCTGATGTTGGCAAATTGTTGATCTCTACACTGCTTCCATCCTGACAGGTTTGCTTATGATGGACTCAAGAGACAGAGGCTTACTCAGCCGATGGTGAAAAATGAGTCTGGGCAGTTGGTTCCCACAACTTGGGAAGACGCTCTGACTCAAGTTGCAGGAGCAGTAAGTGATTTATAATGAAGCCTCCTTCTGTAACAGTGTATGAAAACTTGGCCAGCCTTAAAAACATCTGGTCTTTGACAGTTGCAAGGAGTTGAGGCAAATGATGTTGCTGCTGTCGTTGGAGGGATGGCGGATGCAGAAGCTCTAATTTCCCTTAAAGATTTGCTGAACCGTTTGAATAGTGACAACCTGTGCACTGAGGAGGTGTTCCCAATGAGTGGAGCTGGGTGAGACAAGACAGAGACAAACTAAATACACTGCAAAACTAGTTGAACTAGAGCTGATAGTAGGTTTCTGTTTTGATCTTGGCTTAGATCTGACCTGCGTTCAAACTATCTTCTGAATACTGGGATTGCTGGCATTGAAGAAGCTGACCTGCTTCTTCTGGTAGGCACCAACCCACGCTATGAGGCTCCTCTTTTCAATGCACGAATCAGGAAAGGGTATGTTCGATGCTGTTAAAAAAAACGTTTTTTCTGTTTATTTAATGCTGTTGAAGTTGGAGATCTGATTTTAAATAAAATAGCGTGTTTTTTTTTAGCTGGCTTCACAATGAGTTGCAAGTGGCTCTTGTGGGAAAGGAAGTGGACTTAAGTTACACCTATGACCATCTTGGGGATTCTGCCATGGTTCTTCAAGAAATTGCATCAGGAACTCACCCATTCTCACAGGTAATACTCACTTATGTAATGAATGTTATCAGTCAACTCAAATGTCTCTGTCTTATTTGTGTATTTTATCTCCTCTTGCAGGTCTTGGCTGAAGCAAAACATCCTGGTATTGTGATTGGTAGTAGTTGCCTGCAGAGAGAGGACGGAGCTGCTATAATGGCAGCTGTCTCAACCATCGCTCAGAACACTCGTGTCAGCAGTGGAGTGGAGGACAGCTGGAAGGTTCTCAATGTGCTGCACAGGTAATTGTCTGGGAAAATTAGAGGGAACGCTTCCTGTAGCAGGGCAGTGTTCACGAGGGATTTTAATGATAAAACATTCTGTTTTGCCTGTATCCTCAGGGTTGCCAGTCAAGTTGCTGCACTTGATCTTGGGTACAAGCCGGGAGTGGACACTATCAGGAAGAATCCGCCCAAAGTACTGTTCCTGCTTGGGGCTGATGCAGGCTGCATTACTCGCCAAGACCTCCCTAAGGATAGTTTCATAATTTATCAAGGTCAGCTGTCTTACTGCACAGCAGCAGAAGGCTCGTTCACAGCACCTCTCATTTACATTAATGTATGTAGTGAGGCAGCCTTAATTCCTGACATACAGTTATTTGCAGGCACAGAAGAGTTACAGAGAAAAACCAGAGTAAGAAACACATTGAATGCAAAGCACACAAAGGTTCACTTAAAGGTTTGATGAGTCATCGCACCAGATAAGCATTTAAACACAGACAGTAGATGGTGTAGGTTAACTTAAAGATACTTCACCAAGATACTTAATTTAAATTTTCTTTTCATTCTGTATATATTCATGTGAGGGTTAAATTTCAATTCTCTGTGCCCTAACTGCCCAGGTCACCATGGTGATGTTGGTGCACCCATGGCTGATATCATCCTCCCCGGAGCTGCATACACTGAGAAATGTGGCACCTATGTGAACACTGAGGGCCGTGCCCAGCAGACCAAGGTGGCAGTGACTGCTCCGGGCATGGCCAGGGAGGACTGGAGGATCATCAGGGCAATTTCTGAGGTGAACTGCAGCACATGATATATTACATATAAAGCAGTAAGAAATTAGATTAAATGCTGTGTAATCTCTATTCTCATTAAAGCTTGCCGGAGTGTCTCTGCCCTATGATACTCTTGATGAAGTGCGCGAGAGACTGGCAGAGGTTTCCCCAAATCTGGTGCGATATGATGACGTTGAGGAGGCCAACTATTTCAAGCAGGCCAATGAACTGTCTAAGGTCAGCTGTTATTTTTTTGTGTATGTTTAGTTAATCGTAGAGATTTACCTAATTAAATGTTGTATAAATTTTAATGTTAATTTATCTCAGTTAATTTCATGCTGTTTGTCTTGTTGATGTTAATGTGTGGCTTATTTATTTCAGGCAGTGAACCAGGCTTTCCTAACAGAACCATTAGTCCCACCACAGCTTACAGTGAAGGACTTTTATATGACAGGTGAGTCACTGGTACTAAAAGTGTTTCTTCTCTCACAAAACAACAAATCTCCTCTCTATCAGTTTTTTTCTTTTTCAATTTCAAAATCATCTGTTTCTCGTACTATATCAATGTTTGTAAGTAGATATTATTATGTATCAATACATTTTATTAGGCCACCATTTTGAAAAAATCTTCGGAATGATTTCTCTTTACTCTGGTGAAGCTTTTACTCAGATTAACTAAGGTTCCTTTTAAATGCAGTTATTGTGATACCATAGTCTGTGTGGATACTATAGTACCCACATTTATCAGAAGTATTTTGACATCGTGTGGTTAATCTGTGGTTGGAGAAAACAATGATAACTGGTGGGGTAATGTGGTTATTAAATCAATATTTACTTACATTACATCTGGATTTTAAATTGTGGTCAGCAAATGTCATGGCAGTTTTAGTTAAATGATTTTTTGTGTTTTGCCAGTTTTGACACAAAAGCAAAAACCATAAATGACAGAAAAAATGAATTACTTTCAAATTAATATTTAATAATATTTGAATAAAATAGCTTAGAGGCCATTTCTGTAGGGGAAAATAAAAGCTTTATTTTGGTGGCTAAAATCATTTTATATATGGTTTTAAATGAATATGCTTATGTAGCATTAAATGTGTAAGTAACACTTAATTTTAACAAACACACAGTAGTTTCATTGCAAATTTGAAATCTGCTCTGTCTTCACCCACAGATCCAATAAGCAGAGCCTCGCAGACGATGGCCAAGTGTGTGAAAGCCGTCACAGAGGGAGCACAAGCTGTCGACGAGCCAGCCATATGCTAATGCGCACAATGGATAGTCATCGAGTTCTTTGAAAAAAATATACGCACAACTACTCTATTTGCACATCCCTAGGAACATATTTATTTGCACTTGTGTTTTACTGTAGTAGATGTTTTACCATAGCAGATGCCTCGTTTATCCCGCACTTTACTTACCTGCAGTATCATGTCTTATGCAAAGTGGAAATTCAAGCTTACGTTTGACAAATCTCCAGATATTCAGTTTATGTTTGCACATTTATGGACATTCTAACTCAAGTAGTCGCGACCAAAGGTTTAAAATCTTTATCCTCCAAAGTTTAATCTAGAGTCTTGTCTCCCTTTAAATTTAAAAGTGTTACATTTATATTTTTCTAAAAGATATGAGTTTTAGTATTGCAAGTGTAGCTATTTGTAAATGTGATATTTAATAAATCCGTTTTCTGTAGTGAGCCTAATTAATCTTTGTAAACCGCCTATTTAACTGTTGCTACTATTTAAAATGAATGTAAAAGTATTAAAAATGTTGCACCGCTACCATAGGGCATGTCTGCATGTTTTGACACTTCTCAAGTGTGGAGCTCCGGGATGGCACGTGGTCCATCACCAGTGAACAGCAACAGTGTGGCAGCAGCAGGGCTGATAAGTCCTTCATATGGAGGATGATAGCCGGGGTCCAGGTGGATTTCACACCGCAACACATCACTGGATCTCTCCCTCAGTGTTTCACACCCAGTGACTCAAAGTGTGGCTCATCCAAACAAACACCACCCTGCACACAGACTCATTCCCCCCGTGACACGACGAAAACAACACTTGTACTCTGCGGAGGCTTTTAACAAAGTTGAATTTCCAATATGGTAGGAGAGGTTGTTGTTGTTGAGCGGCTTGTTGTCATGTCCCCGCGGTGCCTGTAGTGGTGCTGTGAGGAGTCTGCTGTGGCTCCAGCTAAAATCCTCAGCAGCCTACCTACTGCTTGTAATTCGCTCCGGATAGCGAATATTTCCATGCATCCTTATTTCAAGATACACCGAGCTCGATGAAGATAACTGTTCCTCTCCTGTCGCGAATATCGATGCACGGAATAGCCTAGCTGATTCGAATAGACATTTCGGCCGACTATCTGGAGCGAATACCTTACACAGCCCATACCAATTCAAGGTAAGCGAAATCCTATCCAGCCTCGGTCTCGATTTCTGGTAGTACCGTTTCGCAGAGGCTTCAGTCGGCCAGCTGCTCAACGAGAGGCCGCTGTGCTACCCAAGCTAACAGGCCTCTCAGCTATGACTTCGTTATTTTATAAGTTGTGGTCAAACCAATCGACCCAGTACTTTAAGAGGATGTGTGGAGTTGTGCAGTGGTGGCAGTTTTATGTCTTTTAGCCTTTTAACGTAACATTATGTGGCTATGGTTCATATCGATTATTACCGAGGCCTTCGATGACAGGCCTGAAGCCTATGTAGACCCTTTGTTTGAAAGTATTTTACTATAATGTTTGCGTACATTAAAACCCCACGATGAATGGCGACAGTGTACTGTTTCCGTCTGATGATTTCAGCCGCATTTTTTAAATAAATCATGACAGAAAATTGTCCTTTACAGTGTTACAATATGCTTATGTTTCCGTTTCCTGGTTAGCTACCGCCTACTAATTTATGTTTTTAGCTTCGCTAGCGTGCGAGCTAACACGGATCATTTGACTATTAGCGTATGTTGTGTGTCGACAACAAGTTATTTCTGCCTGGAGATGGATTCATTTGTGTTTAATGGGCTCATATATATGTTACACGTAGATATGTTTGTATTAATATACTACAAATATTAGTATATGTCTATCGGCTCCAAGCTAACGCTGGCAAGCTAACTCCCCAGACTCAAACGGTAGTTACGCTAGCGGGCGTTAGTATGTTGCCCATCCGGTTCTCCTTATTTGACCAAAGATTTTACTTTAAGATAATCGGGTTAGTATCAACGACTCAAATGTGTCCAACACGCAGCTGAACCAACTTAAAAACACAAAGTTACCAGGCAGCAGCAAAGCTACAACTGGAGCTGAGCAACTCAAACTACAACTGGGATCACGGTGTGTTGTGATAAAACAAGAGCAGTCTGACTGTGCGGCTGTTTCTTATGACGTGAAAACAGATTGTGTGTTCCTCGTTGGTTCACTGGAGGAAGGAGGCTTTCAAAGTAGAGAAACGCCTGTGGTCAGCTGACCTGTAGCGATGTCTGCACAGTAGTGAGTGGTTTGTTTTTGGTTCTTAACTGTGTCTGGCAGACTGATGTCATACAAACGTGTTTCACCACCGTCTTGTTGTCCTGTTGGTGTTAGAATCAAAACACTCTCTGGTTACTAGCAGTTTCTCAATAGGAAACTTTGGCATAACAAAGTTCTACAGTTTGAGAGGAAACTGAACTAGCAACAATGAATTCAATCAGCCACAAGTCTTTGAATGTCATTTAAGTTCTGACTTTACAAAACATGTTTGAGCAGCAAATATTTCATAATCATCTTTGCTTTCTGAACTTTTAATCTGATTAGAGACTGATATTAATTAGCAATTTATTGAAAAAGCAATCACCTGTAGAGGTGATGATATCCCTGCCTCATAACTCTGCATGTGCATGCATGGTAACCTGTTTGGTGTGAAATGTTTGTGATGTAATTCTTGGTTTTCCCTGACTTTATCCCATCAGCTGATGTTGTCAAGGACAAGAGTCACGTGATGTACGAAGGCAAACACATACACTTCTCAGAGGTGGACAATAAGCCGTTGTGCTCGTACAGCCCAAAGCTCTGCAAGCAGCGCAGACTGAACGGCTATGCTTTCTGTATACGGCACGTTCTGGAGGACAAGACAGCCCCCTTCAAGCAATGTGAATATGTGGCTAAGTACAATAGCCAACGATGTACCAACCCCATCCCCAAGTCTGAGGACCGCAGGTCTGTATGATGTGTGAATGTGTGAGAGATCCCATATGTTACATGTGTGCACTGTGTGCTGAAGACGTGTTCTTGTTTTCCAGGTACTGTAACAGTCACCTGCAGGTCCTCGGCTTTATCCCCAAGAAGGAGCGGAAAAAGAAACACGATGCTTTAGAGGAAATGCGCTCACGGGCTCACCTGGAGTCCGTGGCTCTCAACATAACTGTGCCCTCTTTAGCTCTGAAAGCTCCCAATGGTCTAGATGAACTTCCACCATCTCCCCCATGTTCACGTCTGTTACCCCTCGCTGATGGGGAACTCCCGGACCCTTTTGCCTTTTATGAGGACGACACTGATGGGGAGGAGGTGGGTACTCCTCGGAAGGGCAACGCCATCAAGAAGAAATTACAGAGTCGTCTGGTGCTCAACCAGAAACTCTGCCATGACAAGGACCTCTTCCAGCCACCTCCTGAGCACTTTAGTCCCTCCCCTGTCCCCCGGGTCCACCCCTCCTCACCGCTCAACACTCATCTCCCACGGCAGCAGTCAGGTCTTCTCCAGCCACCCCAGCACTCCAGCGCAACATCCTTCATCTTCCCAGGACAGCAGCAGGGTTTATTATGCAATCCACCACCACCTCAGTCAGTCAACTTTCTGCCTCCAGGGATGCCCGCAAATGCAGCACCCAGTCCAGTGCAACTGTCTGGGCCATCACTTAGCAGGAAAATGCCTTTCGCTGCTACTCACTTGCCGGTCAGTTGCAAGGACAGTGTCAGTAGCAATCAGCGGCAAGTGGTTGTCATGCGTCCTGCTGCCTTCTCACCATCTGCCAGCTGTTTAGCCAGGTTGCAACATCTGGTGCAGCTCTGTGCCAAGAGACACCGGGAGCATGGAGACCTCTTTCCACATCTAGGTATATATTTAAATGTATTTACAGTTTTCCAACTCTGTCTGTTCGTCCTTATATAACAAATAGATGAGTTGCTCTAACAAGTTGCATTTTCAGGCTTGGACTGGTCAGAAGATAGTGCTGATGAAGAGGATGATGAGGAAGAGGAGGCAGAGAGATTTGTTCCTTTTCAGACCTCATGGAGACCACAGAATAGGTTGGTATCAATACTTCACCTTGCAGCATGAACTTTAACCTGATACATTTTTTGACTGCTTTCAAATGTTTCCCAAATAGGTTGGAAGACGACTGCGGTTCCTCTCGGAGAACACGGTTACTTCGGCTTTGCTCGTACCTGCGGGAGAAATACAAGCACATGTGCAGGCAGGAGAGGGCAAGTATCCGCCAGAAGAGGTACCGCTATGCCTTCCGCAAAGCCTTGCTGCATGCCGCCAGTAAAAACCCAGACTGTGCTGGGCAGCTGATCCAGGACTTTGGTGGTGCCTCTCGATGCTCTTCAAGGTACTAATGTCATATTAGTTAATTTTGCTATTTTATAATTATTGTATCTTTGATTACTATTTTAAATGCACAAAACATGACAAATGTGAAGCGTTGTCAGTTTTCTCAGTCCTGCTGTTTGTCTTCACAGTGTGGCTCCAATAAAGCAGGAGAACACGAACACAGGGACCTGTACGGGCAGCACTAAGGGCCAGGCCTGCAACAACAGAGCGCTGCCTTTCACTCAGCACTGCTTTCAGCGTATCCTTCACTGTGCCACACCACAGCTGGTGGCACACTGACATCAGTTTTACAGGGTTTTTTTCTGTGTATGCTGTTATGTACAATATCCTGGCTTGATGGAGTGGCATGATCACATGTCCTCTCTCTAGCATACTATGTTATTTCCTTTACTGTTCTCTGTAGACATTCTGTTGAATCGTTCCCAGCAGCTCTTTGCTAGTTGCACAGCCAAATTTGCAGATGGACAGCAGTGCTCCATCCCGGTGTTCGATATCACGCACCAGACGCCCCTCTGTGAAGAACATGCCAAAAAGATGGTGAGTTCAGTGTGTGTAGGAAAAATTCTTTGGGCCTTTTCACTTAGAACTGGAAACGGGAAAACAGATGGCTCGGTCCAAAGGTAACACAATCTGTCAACCAGCACATGTTAAGCTCACTGATTAACAAGCATCTTGTATTCAGTGATACAGCTGAGACTCCAGGAAGTTACTGGTTCTCAACAAGAAAAAGTCTGACTCTGTTAATGAGGGAAGTATAGAGATGCTGGAAGGTGCTAATAAGCTAAAGGCACATGCTAGTTTAATTACATTGCATACATGAGAAAGATTTCAGTCATCTGATCTAACCCTGGACTGAAAACGAGTAATCTTATATCCCTAAATGTAATTTTCCTTTTTTCTTGATTGTGAATGTTTTGATTTAATAATATCTCCATGTCAAGATAACTCACAGTGCCCCACAATTCTTTCCGCACAGGATAACTTCCTGCGTGGAGATGGAAACCGACGAGTGCAGCACCACCAGCAGCAACAGCGAAAGCCACGTAAAAAGACCAAACCCGCGGCGCTCACCAAAAAACACAAGAAGAAGAGGAGGAGAGGACCACGGAGGCCTCAGAAACCCATCCCTCCAGCGTTGCCACAGGGGAACCTGGGAATGCCTTCTACAAGCCTAGCGATGCCCTCACAGGCCAACATCAGGTGCGCTTCAGCTGTTCTCTCTACACTTTTGGGTTAAAGTGTTGGAGATCCACATTCCAGTAGAATTTCCTCTCACTACATTGTTTGTTGTATGTAAATATTTTTTTCATCATCTCTTCCTTGTTGTTGCAGGAGCCCTTCAACTCCAGACCTAAGTGCAGAGGAGCTTCCTGATGATATCACCAATGAAATGGCAGACATTCCAAATGACCTTGAGCTGAACCAGGAGGATTTCTCCGACGTATTACCTAGACTACCTGAAGACCTGCAGGACTTTGACTTGTTTGAAGGTTCTTACAGCTCATGCTTGTGCATCACTGTGCTTGTTGTGTGTATAATAACAAGTCCCCTTCTCTGTGATTTCAAATCATAATTGTAGCTTGTGTGTTTGTGTGAAGGTAAGAACGGGGAGCTCCTGCCCACCACAGAGGAGGCTGAGGAGCTGGTGCGTGCACTGCAGGCTATGGGGTCCTATCCAGACTCTTTAGTGTGCCTGACCTCCCTGGGAGACCTGGCCCCATCTGAAGGAGTGGACCACCGAGCCATGACCGTGTTCCCAGGTCCGGTCCAGCCGGGGACCATGGGGGATCTGCTCAGCAACCGCATCCCTACAGAGAATTTCACCAGTCTTGAGCTGGAGGAAAACATACTGCAGTCGACCGGGGGACACTTTCCGCCCTCACCGCCGTCTCAGCCTGCTAACCAGCCCCCAACGTCATGCTCCAACCTGACCTCATCTTCCTCCACAGTAGCCCCCCCCACCACCTCACTGCTCACTCAGACCTCCATAACAGAGCGAACGTTTTCTCGGACACACACATCCCACGTCCTGGCCAAGTCGGATGGGCCCACGTCGTCTCCCCAAGGCAGCCACTACAGCAGTGAGCATGTGCCATCCCCATACAGTGACCACATATCCTCTCCCCATGCCACCTCTTTCCAGACTGACTCCCCTCTTCTGCTGGAAGTCCCTCTCAGCGGGGTACCGGGACCCCCACGCTCATCATGGAATAATCTCCCTCTTCCCCTCACTGACCCTACACAGTTTGGCAATCTCATAGGATCAGAGACTCATCTCATATCCACCTCCCTGTCCACTCCCCCCGCCACCACCACCCACTCCGTGACGCTGCAGCCCATGGCTGCGCTCTCAGCGATGCCTCAGAGCGGTTTGACAGGTCTAACAACTCCCCCCGCCCCCTCGTCCTCCCTCCCATCGTCCTCACACGATCTTCTGACCTCCACACAGCCCAAGCAACAGCTCCCTCAGTTCAGCGCGGCCTTTGGCCATCAATTGGCCTCCCACAGTGGCATCCCAAAAGACGTGCAGCCCAGCCACAGCTCCACAGCGCCTCCTGCTGGCTTCTCAATAGTTAGTGCCACTGCTGCAAGTGCCAACAGCGCCACACCACCCTTCACGCAAAGTAAATGAGAGCAGGCGGCCCGCAGCTGCAGGACGACGCTCTGGACTCAGTCACTTACAATCCAGCCGACTGGCTTCAGATTGACCACCTCTCTTCATCTGCTACATGTGTGCAATGTGGTTCTAGTGCACTATTTGATTATGAATTTGCACAATCTCAAATTGTCCTCTATTTCCATTGTTTACTCTGTAGCCAGGCGGTTCCTTTGGATTTTAAGTCAGCGTGAGTCCACTCGTTTGATGCCTTGTGGTTTCGTCAGCAGCAGGTTAGAGTCAGATTTACCAGATTTTGTGATGAATATAAACGGGTGAAAATTGGCAGAAGGACCTGCAGAGATTATCTGTGTCACAGTGCTCAGAATCATTGAAGCTTCAGTCGGTGGTCAGTTTCGTTTTGCTTTGCCAGTTTAAGTCCTGTCTTAAAATGATAATCAACTGTACCCTGCCTTGCTCAGATGGCCATTGCGTTGTTTTTATTTCTCCACCTTTTTCATACACCGCTTCTGCCACCTCCCTGAGAACAGTACAAGTTGTGACATTTGTGACCCATCATGTTTCAAGCTATTTAACTGTTATCATGATATAGAATCTTACTGAGTCAGATTTCACAGTCATGTGAATTTACCAAAAATACTTTTAAACAGCTGTTTTTATATTGTGTATACTATATATGTGCTCATTTATTGGTTTGCTCAGACGTCAAAATCTCTGACCTCACCTTTGGTTGTGGGACTCCGAGTGGCCTAGTAGACACTTGAAGAAAAACATAGTTTCTTAAAGCAATAAACACATTAACATAACTCTAGCATTGTAAGATATTTTATTGGTCTCATTACATGTAGCTTCACTTGAGGAATCGGGACTGCATCGAGAACATTTGGCCTCTTTTCACAGACCCACGATCAGGTCGGCCTAACGTCTTGTGGACTTGTGAGGCTAATAAATGAGTTTCAGTGTTATAGCATGGGTAATGACGGGTAATCCAGGGATTTAAGTGTCTACTATCAAAGGTGCTCTCTGATCCACACACACAATGGTCTTTAGTGACTTGCATGTCTTGTAAAAGGACTCCAACTATAAGACGTCAAGGCCGTGAATTGGCATTGGAAATTGACATTTTACTCATTAGCTCGGTGTAGTGTGATGATATACACAGATGTGTTGTCGAGCAAATCTGGAGTTTTGAAGCTAAATGATGCAAACCTGGATTAGATTTTTTATAATAACAAGGACTCGGCTATCTGTCTGTGAAGGACTCATACAGCAGTATAACCATGGCGTTTGATGGCATATTAGACATTTGACAGAACTGTCAGACACTGTTGAGTATTAAGTATATAGAGTAGCAGTCTCTATCTTGGGGTTTGTTGGTGAATTATTGAGTAGCAATGGATTGAAATTGTTATTTTGCAACGTATCCAGTGGAATGTGTCTTGTAGAATGAGTCTCTTGTTTTTTAATGGCTATCAAAATGGACGTAAGTTCAGTTTTAAGTCTGAGGGATCAACGTTTCTATGCTGTGTACACCGTCATTATGTTTTAAAATAATGTTCCGATGGAGAATCTGTTTTTTGATAGCTATTAAACTCCAGAATGAAGTTTGAGATTGCACGGGGCTGTGACATTTTGTGTGAGAGGACTATAATATCAATATTAGATCATGGTTGTTTGAAACAGTGGAATATATGCATCGCCTTTTCATGTCATTATGTGGAGAAAAACAGATCAACGTACAGTATGTTGCTTTTTTTCTATATAGATTTGCACAGGAGTGGATGAGGCCGGTGGTTGTTTCACATGTCCCGTGTCAGTCTTTTCCCTTTTTTTATTTTTTATTCCTCTCCGCTTATTAAACAAACAGGTGCCATCATTACCAGCTTTCAGCCTGCACCAGACCGCCCCCCCCCCCCACCTGTTTCCAGCTGTGAGAAGGCCCAGTTCTGTCTCTTCCCTTCCAAAGAGAAAACACACATTACCAAGTGTAAACCTGTAGCTTCACCAGAGACAATGGGGCTTCTTAGTGACTGCAGTGTTTCTCACAATCAGGTTGGAAGAAAAAAAAAAAAAAAATGTTTTGCAAGGCAATACTGTTGTATCCACATTACATGAGATTAGTCGCTACACCAGTTCACTCTCCCAACAACCACGTAGAACAAAATTCACAGGGCTCATAGGCACATGTAACTGCTTGAATTCAGAGATGGCTGACAAATTCCTATACTCATTGAATGTACTGTATTACTGTTTTTAAAGATAGGATGAGCTAATCTAGTCACCTTTTGTTATTGGTCCTTGTTTAATTTGTCTAAGGTATTTTTTGTATACAAAGGTTTACATTTTTATGTATATTTTTCTTGTGTACAAATTATGTAATATGTGTACAAACACTGTATGTAATATCTGTATATAGTGTGAGAAATTTGATCTTCTGTTTTTGGATGTATAAATAAAACTTGCTGTGAGGTATTTGCTGACACAGTTTAATGTGTTTTCTTTTTTTTTCTTATCAGACACAAATCATTTCCACTAAACGTTGACAATGTTGATTCCCAGTGTCACATTTGTGTCCCAGAAACATCCCAAACTGTTTTAACATCACAAATCAACTGTTATGCTGCATTAGTAGCATTTACTTTCTCATAACCTTTTCTGATCACTTTGTGTCACTAGCCTCTGATATTTTACATACGAAATAAAAAAATAAAATGTATTTTTAGATTTTTAGGCCTGAAACACTGAACCTCGACTGCTTAACAAACATGGAAGAGAGGTAAGTTTAAGTGCTCAGAAAAAAAAGGCAAATTCAATCTGTTTCAATGGCAACTATCAAACTCTGCTGATGAAAAAAATCATGTCATAATCAAAAGCTGCAGAACAGCTGCAACTACATGGACCTTGCTGTAAGATACTTTGGTCAATTAGTGCCAGCTAGCTTGGTTTAGTCTACAGCAAAACAACATTCCAACTAACTAAATGCAAACAAATATTTTGGCATCAACTTTTGGTGCAAAGAGCCAATTATCCAGATTACATCCCACAAAAATACTGACACGGTTCATGAACTTCGAAAATGTAGGTTTATGTGTGTGAGGATTATTCACATGGAATTTAAAACCCCCGTCTGAGATCCTGCTGGTGTAGGTGTTTTATTTAATATAATGACACCCTCTAAAAAAACATTACGCTGCAAGATAATTATAGTTATTTTAACACTTCGGAATTCATATTGAACACAAATTATACTTTTCAGCAATACAGAAATTGTTTTAGTTATTCACAGAAATGACTGACAGCTGTTAACATCAGGAATTTGGCGTTTTTCTCCTCTACTTGAAGCTGTTTGGTTTTCTGCTCCTTTGTTCTTAAAGCTAAATCAGTCTCACTTCCAGCTCTCTGATGCTGTTGCTAAGTAATGTGGCCACATTAGGCAAAACACCCACACTCGTTTCTCCTCAGATCGTGAACAGTAAGTCACAATAAGTGTGTAGCTTTACATATTCAGAGTAATCACCCGAACAACTAAACTCAACAGTGCAGTAAATCAAGGAATATAAACTAGAACTAGTAGCATAGAAAAACATGGTTTCATGGGGTTCTTGTGATAAACCAAGTGAAACTAAAGGAGGCCATTGTCTCTGTGTGAACTGTTGAGTATTTAACAAGTATGTGAGTGTATTAGAATAAATTGGTTAGTTAGTCAGAGATGTGCTACTATATTTAACCGTTTATTTCTTTTAAATAAATGATTGAGAAGTGCACCTTGTCCTCACTTAAGACCCTGCCCCTCGAAATATCTGTACACGCCCCTGGTCTCTAACTGTTACATCTGTTTTTAGATCCAAACAGAAGAGAACCCAGACATTCGAAAGGAGTTTGGAGCCTTCACTTTGTGCAGTGTCACTGGGACTGGACCGAGTAGAGGAATCAGCAAGGGTGATATTTTCAAGACACTGTAGGTTGACACATACGTTTACATTGAGCCTGCTCTGAATCACAGGCAAACACATTTCAAACAGGGTCAAAGATGTGGGACTTGGTCAAATAAAGGCAAAACTGTATACATTTGTATTGAATTTTTATTATCCTCGACCATTTGACAACTTCCAATAAAACCCAACAGCACTGGCCCGATTAGCATTAACATGTATACTAGATTATAAACGGTCAGCAGAGTCACACAGAATGAAATGTACCTTTTAAGTGATTGCTATCCAGTGTTTAGTGAAACTCGAACACATCACAGAACCAAACGTCGACTCCCTCTATTACATAATGCTGCTTCTCTTGGGTTATAAAAATAGTTCAATAGAATATATGCCTACTTGTGCTAAGAAGAAATGACTTCTCACCATCACACTGCTTTAAACTGCCATACAACAAACAAGGAGCAGGTGGAACTGCAACATATTGAAGCCTTGTTAAGTACCGTGATAAAGAAGAGTTCTACAAAGTGCAACACATAAAAGATAAGAATCATTTCAGACCTCGAACGTAAAAGGTGCAAACGATGGTGATTTTGTGTCTCAGATTGGGGAGTAGGGCAAACATGGCACATTTCATATAAGAGGTTTGAACAAAGAGTCATTTAAAAACAAAATCAAATATAGAAGAAAATGATTGAGTCTGTTACCTTCTTCTTGATTTTATATCTTACTTATTTGACCATTAACTCATTTAACTGTAATTCCACAATTAGATTCATGTGTACTTGGAAATTCATTGACAGAATTGCTATCGAAACGTTGATTCGTTATATTTTGGGGGCTGAGAGTGAGATGAGGAGATTGACTTCACAGTAAATATCAAACTAAAGAGGGCAGCCAGTTGTCTTAGCTTAGCATAATACTGGAATGGCGGAAACAGCTAGTCTTACTCTTTCCTATCAGCTGTTATTGAGCAGTTGCCAGGCTACCAGCAGAAAGTCAGTCATGTTAATGGATACAACAGCACTGCCATAAAATCTTCATGAAACTCATTATGTTCAGGTTCTGTTGACGTGATTAGAAATTCAATAAATCATTATTATCATTATATACAACAGCAGGTGTACAGGTGACCATTATATATATTAAATGATGGACAGCTGTGACAGTGGTGTTAATATTCTCATCTAATTCTCAGCTTCAAAGTGAATACATGCGTTTCCCATTGATGTCTAAAGCTTCTTTAACTTGTGCCATGTAGTAAAAATAATTATTTATCTGACCCCACAAGATGCATCTCTGTTCTGACAATTTTTGATCTTTTCTCATTTGTCTTTTTAAGTATTGCCGCATTTTAATACCAGAGGGCAAAAAAAGAAATCACAACAAAAACATTTGATCTAACACTTTAAAGCTGACACTATTCATTCCATTCACAACAAATACTCTAAGGCTGCGTCAGCTCTGTTTAGGAATCGACATTACTCCAGTGCTGTAAAAGTATGCTACAACGCATACTGCTCAGGCCGACCAACGGGCTCCATCATGCACATTCATTTTTAACGAGTCAGAAGTAGTAGCAATGCCGCTGGTCTCTGAGCACCTCCTGGCTTTAATATGTACATCTGAGAGCAGTGTCGTCTACTGTGTGAGAAGTCTGTGTCTATATGCATCTACTGTACAACTAAAAAAACTCTCACACGTCCCAAATGGAAAGACACAGCCAGGCAAATTACACTGCATCACCAACTCCAGAGTCCAAGCTGTGAGACTTCAGGTGGACCTTTGTGTCCCAGGTAGTTTGGTGCATACCTGCAAAATACTCTAGGTCTCCTGCTACTGTTTTATGGCTACTTTGTTTATAGTAAAAGGCATTTTATACTTGAAGTGCAATTAAAGATGTAGGTACGCTGAGGAGATAGTACCACTGCAGCTCCTAGGAAGACTAACAGAGTCTTTATGAGTGATACAATACATGATGGCGCCGCCCTGTTAATTGAATGAATGGACAAAACCTCAGTTTATCTGATCAATCAAAAGCGCACAGCAAAAAAGATGGGAATGAGGCAAAGTCCAAAAAACCAACTCAAGGCCTTATGAAATCAGGACTGGAAACAGAGCATCCAGTGTGAAAACTGGCGTGGGCTTACATGATCCAGCCACTTACATTCTCATTCATTATGACAGCCACAGACAGAGTATGAAACCAAACAATTAAAGAGAATTAAGAAATATATAATAAATCTAAACATGATAGAGGGCAGCCATTTTCATTCACTGGATGAGTACTTAGAAATCAAAGATTGATACACAAAAGAACAAGTACAAAGGCAAGGCAATCTCATATATGGCCATTTTAGTCTCTCAAAATATTTACCTCACAACCAGTATCTACAGTCGCATTTGGCCATTTGTACACAGTGGTTCCATTACAAACGCTCCATTATTTTTTCATGAATCTGTAGAAATGTGCTTATCTACAAGTTTGTACAACCACCCTATAGAGCTCTTTCCATCTCCCAGAGGACCCAATCCACTTAAAGCAGGATACCTGAGTTTTCAATAGAACGCTTCAGCCCACTCCACACTCTTCACTGCAGGATATCTCTCACAGCCACACACACACACACACACACTATTAATTAAGCAAGGAACTTTCTCCAGAGTGTAAACCTTTGTGAAAACCCACAAACTCACCAAAAAAAAAAGAAATCAAAGAGTCCTTGCAGAAAAGATAGCAAACACCACCCTTAAAATAAAGCCTTTGTGGAGGAGGTATTGAGAAGGGACATCTTACAGTAGTTGGCAGTCATGGTGGCAGCTCACAGGCTGGCCACTGACTGTCCTGAATGGGACCCTCTGGTGGTGCGCTAGCCTAAAAACAGACATTAAGTAGGGCCAGGATTTGCTTCAAGCAAATGAGCAATGGAGACCTTTCTGGGAGACTTCATCCTGGCCTTTGGAGGTCAGAGGAAAAGATCTGACTGCGGCCACCAGGGTGGAAAAACAGAGCGGAGCTGGATGTAGCTCCTCTCACTGAGTGGCAGCTGCATGTGGCACAGAAAACCTGACAAAAAGGAAAGAAAATATTTACCTACTGAACAGGCTGCAGGTTAAAACAAGACTAAACATCTATGGTAAGAGCAGTGACTGTAACATACACTGGGTGGATAATAGCCTCTATTCCTTTGTCCATGTGGCAAAACATATTATCCTGTATTGAAGGTAGCACAATGTTTATCTCCTGTACAGCGTCCACTTAAGAAGTGTTTTTGGTGAGGCTCAAGTCTACATGGCAAGAGCTGACTTTTATCATCCCGAGATTAACTCCCTACTCAAAGACATTAGCATGCTAACACACTTACAGCGAACATCCAAACATTAAGCATATTGGCAGCTAAGTTTTGAGGTAAATAGTCATTAATAAGTGTTTGCCTTTGGTCAATCACACACATTATTAAAGTCTACACTCTAAGAACCATGAATAACCAATATAAATGTACAGATTATAAACCATGCTAGTGACATGGCTCCTCGGTTGATGTCGGTTTGTTAGCATGTCGACATACGACCATCGGCGTATCTCAAAACTTATTGGATGGATTACTTTTCAATTTTGTCCACACATTCATCGTCCCCAGATGAGCATTAGCAACTTTTCCACGAGCAGCACCATAATGTTTAAGCTAGTGGTTCTGCATAAATCATCTGTACAGCTGCTGGATGGATCTCCATTGACATCTGATTCAGACAGGACTATAATCACTTTGATGATGCATCCACACATCTGCACTTTGATTAGGACAAACTTTTAATCTGACATTCCCATCAGCCTCTGCTTCCATTAGGGCTCCTTTGTAAATGTTATAGCAAGCTAACGTGTTGCACTAACATGCATTCAGAAGTTAGCCTTTAGTTCAAATTACCACCGTGCTCCTCACATAACCACAAACCTCAGCTGTGCACAGGTTTGACAGGTAATCAATACAATGCACTAAATGCTGTGGAGACACTTCCCTGTGGAGCAAAGTCTCAGACTGATGGCCTAATAAACTATGGAAATCCCTTGATGCTGTTAAATATAGCATAAAATGGGGACTTAACACTGCGTGGAAAATTGTCTACAACAGTGCATCTTTAGTGAATGACCTTTAATGACCTTATGCTGCATTTAAAGATCCATCTCAGTCTCACCTGAACAACCTGTTTCAATCTCAAACACTTTTTTAACTTATCCATGAAAAATAACAGTTTAGTGGGTTGTAATAATATAACATGAATTACCTCTGAAGTCTCTGCACTAGTTCAGCCACCAGCGAGTCACAGATGCCAGGGTGTGTTTCTTCTGCCTGGAAAATAGCCCTCCGTAGCTCCTCTGCAACCTCTGGCTTCCCATTACTCTTTTCCTTCAGCTGTAACCACGAACACTTTTAGATAATATTGTAATGTGATGATCTATCCAAATATATTTTCTGTTAGATAGCTTCAATACTGGCAGAGCATTAAAGGACTTATTTACCTTTACTTTGATAGTTTTTTTTTGCAATTACCCATGCAGCAAAGAAGATTTAGTGTTGACATTACCTCAGAAAACAATGGAGAAAATATTGATGATAAGCTTTGTGACAAAGGCCTCTTTGGACTCTCCTCCACCTTTGGACTCTCCTTCACCTGGAAAAAAAAGATGAATGAAAAGGGAAATCTAAGAGACACAGACAACTTACCAAGAAGAGATGCTTCACTAGAAATAAATTATGTTCTTCCTCTACAATGATGGAGCAACCTACCTCTGTCCTCGCTGGCTCAGCAGGCTGTGCTGCCCCATTCAGAACCTCTTCCAGGTCCTTCTCCCTGATGGTGTTGAAAATCCAGTTAATTGTATTGGTGCCTCGAGATGCTTGGTCATCTGACTTGCTGCAGTGACACATGATTTTAGGAACCTCATCAATGCAAGCAGCTGCTAGTTTTCCTTCAGGCTGTAAACTTGCTGTGTTCTGCTATCACTGAGCTGGATAATGACAGTGCAGGCAACTTACCCATTATATTCATCATTGCTTGATTGTTCTTGCGATTGCTCTGATTTCCACCTCTTGTATCGGTCGATCAGCTCCGACAGATAGGAAGTCTTTTTGGCGTGCCTTACTATGTACTTGTGCTTTAACAGCTCTTTGGCAGTTGGCCTCTAAGGAAAACACACATATGACAGTGAATATCAAAATCATAGCTTTCTTTGCATTGTGTGTACAAGAGTCTTTTTAACTTACAAAACTAGGCTCCTTATTTAAACAGGCTTCAACAAATTCTTTCAGTGGTTTACTGTAGCTTCCTTCCAGTGTCGGGGGATTGTTCTTTGGGATGAGGAATAAAACCTTCATAGGGTGAAGCTCAGAGTGGGGGGGCTCTCCTTTAGCCAGCTCTATTGCTGTTATTCCTAATGACCAGATGTCGGCCTGTAAAACAAAGAGATGAGCGACAAAACAATGGGTTTATCAGTGCAAAAGAATCTCACACACAGACATGATGCTGTGTGATATGACATATAAAGTGGCTGTCTGTAGCTGCATGGGTGTGTTTGAGGAAGTTCAAACTAAAAACAGTGACATAGTGGTTCTGTTGACGAGCCACACTGACTCATTTTGTGGCTATTCCAAAAATATGTTCACAGTCATTTCTTAGTTAGAAAAACAAGCAGGCAGCATGTAACAGCAATGAAAAGACAAAGACATACAGAAAGTATAAGCAAATTATCTTTCTACTGATTCGCAGTACCCTGCACAGAACATATTCATACATAAAAAGAACTTTCCTACATATTCTGCATATTTACATGTAGAATATGTTAAAGGATATTATTAATATTATATATTATAATATGTTTCTCAACTGCGTCTCAACATTGGAAATAATTAGGTGATGGGTGTGAATAAAGTGCATAGTCATCCATTCAGAGTTTGGTTCTGTTTTTCCTCTTCACTGTCAATTTCTTGCTCATTGCAGGAACAGTTGGATTTCTCTCTTTAATATTGTAGGATCAGTAAAATGCATCTAGATAATATTGACTGTTAGTTAGTGCAATATAAATAAAATTGAATTTTGCACGCAGTCAGCAAAATTTATACATCAGCTACATTAAATTTCCATTTCCAGTAGAGACACTAGGACACCGGAACCTTTTTGATAGTCCTCACTATGCTGATCTTAATTGAGCATAACACATGTTGCAAACATAACAAGTTGCTCAAGCTCCCACTACTCCCCTACGTTCAGTCCAACACAGCTGATGTGACGGTAAGCTTTTAAAACCAAGCTGACCACAGAGATGCCCAGCTGTCAGCTTCATAGTCAACTTACAGCTGTCATAAGTAATGAAGTGTATAACCTTCACTGACACAATATAACTCACAGATGACATCATACATTTAAACATGTTCAAACAACATCATTAATCAATTATTTTCCAGCACTGAACTCGACTGTGATAAGACATTGGGAGAATTTTAACCTTTGAATCGTAGGCAGATTGCTTTATAACCTCAGGTGCCATCCAAAAAGGTGTTCCGACAAATGTGTTCCTCTTTATCTGTGTGTCTGTCAACTGGCCGGCAACTCCGAAGTCTGCCAGCTTCACGTCGCCTTGTTCTGACAGCAAGACGTTGGCAGCTAAAAGCAAGACACACCAGAAGATGACATGATTTTAGTGCTTATATGAACACATTCAGAACTTTAAAAAGACAAAGCACCAACCAGTTTGGTAAAATCATTGTTCCAAACCTCTGGCAGTAACCTTGTTTCTATAATGGAACATTAATGTTGGAAAAACCTGATTATCTGGCAAAGTAAACTGTTAACCTTGTTGCAGAATGTTTTTGTATGCAACACAAAAAAGGACATGGAAAATAGACAGGAAAACTATAGCGGGCTGGATGATGACAGTTGGGAGGGTGCTCCATCAATGAGGCCTAGGACGCATTTGTGTTCACAAAGCTAAAAATATGTGGCAACATGCATCCCAGACCACCTTCTGATGTGGTCTGAATGACTGGCTCACAAATGCATTCACACCTGTACTTAAAGTCTATGTGTGATGAGATCATCAGAGTCCAATGTTAATGCCAAGTCTGAACAGAGCTTATGAAGCATTGTTCAAGAAAAGCTGTATAAACTAAGCTCCTATCTACACCGCTCTTAACACAGCATATGTAGCTGTGTGTGCTTCAGTGCTATAAATGTAAACAAATAAAATGTCTTCCTCTATTACCGATCACTGTTATAAACAAAGGTTATTTGATCCTACAAAAAGACACATCATTGACAGACTGCTGCATTTACATTCAAAAGTGTGGGCAATCATGATTTAAATGACTGTCTGGATCTGATAAAAACAATCCACTGAAACAAGGTTTATTAATAATTGTCCGTCCTCTGAATTATGAAAACAAAACACGCCAGAGCACAAAGACCTGCTTGTGGTAACAAGGTTACCTTTGATATCTCTGTGGATTTTCTTTTCAGAGTGAAGATACTCAAGACCTTTGAGGATTTCTCTCAGGATCGTGGCAATCTGTGTTTCATCCAGAGCACCTGGCTCCAGCTAGAAGATATGACAACAGGTACATTTTGAAAAGATGGCACAAATGTTACACTGTATTTGAACAAAATAAAACTGTAATAATTATCAACAAATTTAAAAAATCAATTTTTTTTAGATAGACTTACCAAATCAAGGGCTGATCCTCCACCCAAGTATTCCATAATAATCCATAATTTTGTACCCTGAAAAGTAAATCAGAAATCAGCGACACAGTCTAGATTGTGTTCATAGTTTCAGCTGTAATTATGATAGATTGACAGTTTATATTCACCCTTTTCACTATTCTTAAATTGTATTGGAATATATTGATGCTAAATTCCCCTTTTTCACGCGTGTCATTCACTTGAGCAGTTTTGGAGAGTAGTGTAAGGTTGCACTGGCTGTGGTTGTGGTTATATAAACGTCACTGATGACATGAAGGAAACATTAAGACTAAGTTACATTTGTGGTCAAGCCATTTTGTATTAAATGCTACCAGCTTGCCTTAGGAAAATACATGTATGTGATATAAAAGCAACTAGGAATAATGACATTCAACATATGGTATATGGCAATTTGCTTTATTATGTATGCAGTAACAAAGCAGAGCCTTTGTTCTGTACATGGCTGAATTGGTACTAGTCCGGTGGACATGCTAATGCTCTGTGTTCAGTCTGTTAGAGAAACTGACACTACTTAATATAAAGGTCAGTTGACTGTTGGCCAGCATAATTCTTATTTTCGCCACGTCAGTCCTTTGTGAAGCACTTTGTGCTGCACTGTACAAAGGTTTGATTGATTGACATCATTATCTGTTTATTGACCAACACTCCCACTATTAATAATTAAATATCTAACTAGAACAGACTGGTGTAAGCTTTTCCAGCAGCTAAGTCTACTCCTCATTAATCTGTCCCGTGCATTTACACCTAACAAGCAAAGCAGGTTAGTTTAAATTCAAACCTTATAACAAAGGAAACTATAAGAGGAAACCAGAGGTACAAACAATCTTTCTTCATAATCTCTACCCAGAAAATAAACAATCCAGATAATTTAGCCAATGCTCAAGAAACATTTTTAAAAGTCTTATCATCAGTGGACAGTGCGCTGATGGACAATCCTCAGAATATATGATCATACATTATGAAAAAGGTTTTTTAAAGTAAGAGCACATCCTCTCTCTATAGATGAATCCTGCGTATGTCTGAAACACCAGATACATCTCATCTGTCTGATCCACTTGTGCTCAGGAGTCTTGTGTAACACCATCCCCACAACTCCACATCTATGGATATGACATCTGAGTTTATGTGCTGTGATTTCCAGGTGCACTCAGTCATCTTAGGATGTCAAACTCACTCAGACTGTCTCAGCGGCTGCCCACACTGACAGGAGCAGTGACATCTTGATGAGCCTTCCACTGATATATCAGTATCTGTTTGTTTCTTGATATGCACAGATATGAAAACTTTTATTTTACCGAGTAAACCATGCAGACAAGATTTGCATTTATGTCACTTTCAAAAATGTCAGATGAATATTGCAGGGTCTGTGCACTTGTAGGCCATGCTGCACTCTTCAATGCATTAAAGGGCTGGAATGTATTCATTGTTCACCCTATATACCAGGATTTTTCCATCAAATTTCATGCTGCGTCCCTCACCCAACAAAATTCTAGGAAAGTGGAGAATTGTGATCACTTTTGTCCCAGGCCAAATTCATCACTTTAATATATATATGTGTGTCAGCAATGTTGGCCCTTTTCTGGTTATTCAACTGTAAATTGTGCCAAATTCATCACAGGCCACACTTCTCCCATGAGCCATAGCTATTCTTTGCAAATTAGAGCATTATGTCAATCAGGAGCTATGACAAGTTCACAAAATTAGGTTTTTTTCAAAGGTTAGAGCTTACCTTGAGATAAGAGCCAAAATACTTGGTGATAAATGGACTGTCACACTGGCTGAGAACTGTGATTTCCTGTTGAATGTCCTCTATTTCGTCCTCTGCTTCTTCCAGATCAATAATTTTAATAGCCACAACTTTCTGAGTCCGATTGTCGATGCCTTTAAAAACTTCTCCAAAAGAGCCCTGTCCTATCCTCTCCAGCTTGGTAAATAGCTCCTCCGGATTGGCTCTGAAATTCTGTGTGACAGAGAGAGAATGCATTTTAGTGCATTTTAAATAATGCAGAACACATCCTGTTTGCTTTGTTTGTCCAAACCACAGTCTAAACCTTTAGTATACAGTGCTCTATTACATGACAAGGAAAAGCAGCATCATATCCTTATATTATATATACTACACTCACGATAGATGTTTTTGATAAGATTAATAAACCCCGCAGCCTGGCTGCAGCTTACTTTGTCTCTATAATATACAAAGTCAATGCAAACACAGATGGGTTAACACATCAGCACAAGTTTATAATATTTTGGTTGTGTTGTGAGCAACATTCTCCTGACAATACAACTTCTGTACTTTGCAGTTCATCTTAGAACAAATAATGAGGATTTTAGTAACACTTAAATCATTAGACAGCAAAACACAAACATAAATAAGGCTTGATGACCTCTCCCATAAAGGCCAAACAGAAAACTGAAGCACTACATCCTCACTTATTGACGGATCTTAATGGCTTATTTCCCCATGGAACACCAAGGAGGGAATAATGGTCTTCTGGTTGGCCAGTTCAATTTCCCTTTGTGCATCATTAGCCTAAACTGTCTGAGTAGTGTTTGCAGTGCCATAAATGTTATGATAAAAGTTGTGCAAAAGTAAGTCTATCAAGACAAAGTTGCACTTTCATTAAAAAATAGAAAAAAAATAGAAATCCAACTAATTGCATTTTTTGCATTAGCTTTAATTATAAAGAATTTAGGTAGCAGGTAACCCTGCCAGTAGATAATGATCTGTTGCCTCGGGCTGCACATTGTTTTGGAGTCCCCTCAGAGAATTGTTTCCTGTAAAAGAGCTAATGCATGGTGGTGAAGCCTATATGGAAATGGAGAGATGAGCAGCTGCACTTTGAAAAACTGGCAAAGAGGGGGCTGCAGAATAATCAGACAGCAAAGGGAATTTACATCAAAGACAAAAAGGCAGAGCGCTGCAGAATAAAGCAGAATAGAAACAACACAGCCAAATTACTATCATAACACTGGTGCGGTCAGTCATCCAGGTGAAAATTAAAATGTTGAGGCTCTGTAAAAACAATGGGAAAATCAACAAGGGCACTGTGACCACAGACTACACACGATGGGAATGTACTTGCCATAGCCACAGTCAGCAGGTTTACAGCAACAAACTAAAGCTGCCTGAACCTCGCTCTAAAAGCATGTGTTTGATGCTCTCCCATCTGAAGCACACAACTGTGTAGTCTAGTCCTCACAACCCTGAAAATTGAAGGCTTGCTGCCAGTTCTCCATCTGCTAACACCACTGCATAGTAACCTGTTGGTTCAGATGTGCTGCTTTCCCTCTAGACCTGTATTTGTCTGTGCATATACTAATGAAGCATTCACAGCACAAGAAAAATAGCCATATAAATGTGCTGTGAAAGGAATAATCATGTATGTTCTGGTTATGTCCCTCGGGCAGGCTGTCAGCACAGGGACAGTAGTGTGGCCTACTTTGTCCTTGATAGTGTTTATAGAAAAAAGTACAAAAACAATAAGTAAACATATTAGTGGGTTGGTTGATTATCACTATGTTATTATTAGTTAATAATTGTTATTTTGAAACATGCTCTGGTCTAAGCTTTCAATAAATAGAGATTAACTGCCTCTCTCAATTTGAATTCAAATATTTGGAGTTTTTTTCCTGTTCTTACCAAATGAACGCCTTAAAGGTCAGTGTGTAACATTTAGGTGAAAGGGAACTATTGGCAGAAATGTAATGTAGAATAATCCTCATGATGTTTTCACTACTTCGTTTCATGAAGATATATGAATTGTAGTCCTTCAGCCCAGGAAAGGCCCTTTATATTTAAATACTTTATATTTACATCGAGGGGGTCCTCTCTACGCAGGCCACCATGTTCTTTACATTAGTCCAGACAGAACAAACTAAACACCTTTTTGAGTTTTTATGACAACAGAAGCTACCACAGGTTATTTGTCATGTTTGTGAGGTGATGGGTGTTAGCTGCAACATGCAACTTCAACACTCACTATCACCAAACTAGGAGACGACAACTTGTGATCTATGAAACTGTGACGTGCATTTTTAGTCTGTAATGGCTGCATGGAAGTCTATGAATTACGATCAGTCAGAATAAAGAGCATTGTGGTTACACGGGCTGTCTGTCACTTAGTGGCTTTAGGTTGTAACAGAGAGACACACAAGATGACAGCCGTGTCTATGGAAAGCTTAGACCACACACAGTTAATCTGCACTTTGACATAAGAGCCTTTATCACTGAAAAGCTAAGGTTGGTAGTGATGCAGGGGTTGAGGTTAAAATAAAGTTAATAACAGGGTGATCCTTCAAGTTCCGAGCTACGGGAGAGGGAGACATTCAAGTTAACAAGTGTTGTGGCTCTAAACCAGAAGAACCGACCTCTGAAAGTTAAAGTGACAACATGATGTATTTACCTGAATCCCATGCAGTCCACTCTGAATAGGGGAGTGAGCCATGGCGTCAGGTCGGCAGAGATGATGCCTTTCCTCGGCTTTTCTGTTTGTCTTATCAGTGGTTAAACGTTGATTTCCCCGCGAGCCGCCGGTTCGAGTGACCCTGTCCGCGTTCTGTGCTCGTTAATGTCTCAAACGGAGATGTCGCCAGCTTTTCAGAAAGATAAACTCGACTTGTCAGCTCGCACTTTGAACTGCCTTCCCTCTCCCCACTCGCCTTCCGCAGTCAGCTAGCCCTAGCCGTGTTAGCTACTTTAGCAGCTAGTTAGCAAACAGTTAGCTGAACGATTATATCTCCCGCTGCGGTCTCTCTCGGCGGCTGGTCGGCGGTTTCCCGACGCTGGGCTGGAGGTCTGGTCTGAAACCGTCGCACACGGCAAATGAATGCTCACTGTTGTGTGGTCTATATCGCTTGTTGTTGTATTATCTTCTCACTTTTCCTAGTCGCCCGCCGCCATCTTGGCTAATGTTATTTTCATTTCCCAGAGGACCAATCAGAAGAGGGCGTGCAGGTGTCGTCATTCGTTAACTGACATACGTCACAGGAAGAAGGCCGTTCTCACAGGTGCCGGAAACACGTGGTCTAACAATGTTCAAGCTGACTGAGCCGTTTTACAAAGTAACTAAGTACATTTATTAAAGTCAAATACAAGAGTACATTGTTCAGGTACTTGTTGTATCTGATATTTTTTGCTACTCATTTCGTCACCACCATTCAGAGGAAAACAGTGCACGCTTTTTATGTGTAAATTGTAAAATAAATTTTCATTATACAGCTTCAGTTTTATGTTCAAGTTGATTCACTGTCATGGTCTTCTGTAATTGCGAGTTACACTTGCACTACGTTCACACAACCTGATTTAGTTTTTCTTCTATGTGACATAGATCTGATTGTTTAATGACAATGTGAACAGCACAAATTACATGGAATCTGATGTGTTTAGGCCACTTTCATATTTGGTTTGAAATCTGATACAGATCCGATTTTTTGAAAGTCTGAAGAGCCGTATCAGAATTCAATGTGACTTTTACGTCACTCTATATCGACATTCCTCATAATTCTGAGCAGGAGCAGGGGTGAGTGAGTGTCACAGGTGAAAAAACAAATATGGAAGACAGCTGGGACAAGTGGTCAGTGGAGGGACAGTGAGGTGACATGTCTGTGCGAGCACAACGTATCGTAACCAGTCTGTTTGAAAGCATCAAGAGAAAAATTAAAGCGTAAACGCTCACATCTGCGGCCTCCATATTTATTACAGACTTCTTCTCCTTGTTTACCTCTGTACACAGCATGCTGCGTGTGATCTTGTTGTTCTTCAAACTGAAAAATCAGTGCCAGACTAGTTCACATTGGAGTCTGATATTAGACACATATTACAGGAGAGTGTCAATAGCTACATAAAGAAAATAGCATCTAGAAAAAAATCCGAATTTAGCGTTAAGGTTTCCAGTGTGAATGTAGCTTTTCTTGAAATGTAGTGGAAGGGTGAGGTATGTTTTTGGTTTCAATTTGATTAAAGGGCAGGATTCAATTTTTTTTTTACTTCACTAGGTAGTGCATTTTTCAAAATTTCTGTGAATATAAAGATCCAGACAAATCTGCAAAACAAACCTTGGCATATTTATTTATTTATATACATATATGCTTTTTTGGAGAAAGATATCAAGAAAAGTCTTGTTAATGATAAAACAGCAAAAAATTAGTTTTATTGTTTACTTTAGCATAACTTACACATAAGTACAAAAGAGGAGTTACATCCAATGATATGTCAATGTTAGGAAACAATAGCATTCACCTGCTCTTGTTGTAATTTTACAGCTAACATTAATTCCTTATTTATTTAATATAAAGAGCCCAGTGCGCATTGTCATTTTCCTAGAATATAAAATATTTCTCTCGCACGCACGCACGCACGCACGCACGCACGCACGCACGCACGCGCGCGCACGCACACACACACACACACACACACACACACACACACACACACACACAAAATTACTGTACGTTGATGTTAAACTTTGAATAAAAACCCATTGTGGACATTATGGATAACTTGACTGTTCATAATTTGCCATCCATTTCATCTTCAATGTCATCTGAGTCTCTTCTGTGCATCTCAACCTCTGTCTTTTTTTTATCGTCCTCGTCATCTTCCTTAATGCTCTTCTTGATCTGGCCCTCAATTTCTGTAGGATCGATGTAAGTGTAGAAATAGGCCATAATGGAGAAGATGATGCAAACTGCAACTAGGAGGGAAGCAAAGAGGACGTACTCTGCCCACTGTGAGAGACAAAGGGACAAACATGGTATTAACGCATCATCATGTGTTACTGTCATTACATGACACATGTCTGATATATATACTAGAAATATTTAGTCACTGATAATTACTTTAATTAGTGAAAGTATATATTTTTTTTACCCGTTTGGGAATCTTTGCAACTTCGGCCACAATCAGTACGATCATGTTGCCGATAGCAACAGTGAACAACCAGCCTGCTTGCAGCACTGCTTTCATGTTACTGGGCGCCTTTAAAACAGAAACGTACATACAATAAAACAAAACAAGAAAGGACATTAACAAGAACTATGAATTGGTTTAGGGATAAAGAAAATTAAATATTCTAATTAATGTGCCCTTTACTTTCTTATATGAAGTTACAGTAATGGAATAAATTAGTGGGAATGTCTCTAATACAATTACCTGTGAGTAGGAGAACTCCAGACCAGTAACAGAGAACATCACTTCACCAACAGTAATAAAGAAGTACTGTGGGATCTGCAGGGCCATGTGAATTGAGTTGGGCTTGATGTCTTCTGCTGCAGTAATGGACTCCTGACACTAAAATAAGAAATAATCTTAATAGCAGTAGTTATAATAACTGCCAGCGCACACCGATGACAATGTCTCCATTCTGTTTGTACAGTTAAAATCTGTGTTGGACCATTTCTGTCACTTTAAGAAAACAATAATTTGCCATTTTCACTCCCACTTTATGTAGTGATTGTCCAGAGGAGAGAGAAGTGCATATTTTTTGACCTGCTCTTCTCTAATACTTCATGCCTGGAAAATGGGTCAAAACGTTGTAGCTATAAGGTCTTAATGACTGCCTAAAACAGCTGGCATTGAACTTGTTTTAGTCAAATTATACTTAAAAAAGGAGGAAATATTGGATTTGTTGGTGAGAATTTTCAGCTATAGATTCATGCTCATTAGGGAATATTTATAAAACCAGGACAGTGTATGGGTGTGACTCATGATAACAAGTTCCCTTGTTGATTTAGTTACACATTGGAGAAAATTCAATGTGTTTTTAAAGGTATGAACAACAATGGAGCTGTGGTGCAGAGGAATACGATATAAAAGGTTTTGACTATTCAGAAAATACTGAGTAAAAACATAACACGGTAGGACAAATATGGAACATCAGCATTCTTATCCTTGATAACCTATATTAAATATATTACAGACGAAATGTATGAATGTAGTTAGATTTAACTGAACTGTTCTCAATATAACCGCAAATAAATAAATAGAATACACAAGAATGATTTAGCATGAAGGTTTAGGGAACTATGTTGCAATGACATTTAACACAGTCGGATGACAGTGCACAGCTAACTGAATTGATGATATCAGAAATCATATGCAACACTTACGGCGGGTCCAAAGACCAAAGTGCTGGGGATAAAGAAAGTGAATGAACTTCCATATCCAAACTCTTTGCTATATTCACATGACTGTGATCCACTCCACAGTTGGAACACGACCCTGAAATAAGAAAAAGATCATTTGTTTAGTAAAGTGTATTGTTGTTTGAAAAAAAGATTTTGGAATAAAAACAGTAAAGATGAAAAAAAACGTTTCTTACTTTCCATTTTTTATCTGGGAGTAGTTTGAGTAGTAAAATGGCTCAATTGTTCCAAAGGAGGCCGCAGATGTCGATATATTCACTGTTGTATTCATTCCATTTATAAATCTAAAAGTGTGAGATAACAAAGTATTAAAAACAGAACATTTTTGAAAAAACATGGAATGGCAACACATTTTCTCTTGGTCAACTAATCAATTAATTGTACATTAATTTAAGATTAAATACTTTACCGAATTGCATTGTTGCCTTCATCTGGTTTGGAAATCAAACCATCAGTCTGAAAAAGTAAGATTTTGATTCATTTTATTATGAATAAAAAATACCTGTGTGTCTTCATATTTGTTGTTTTGTGTGTCACACTAACCAGTAGCCATTCCTCAGAGATGTTTAAGGGAATGAGAAGAGTTTGACGTTCTCCATATGCCAAGGAAATATTATTTGTCACTTCTCCAATTGAAACACTGATGTTTCCTTCTTCAAATGTGAAGAATTCATCACTGGCCTGCAAAACAAAGAACTTACTGTAACCGGGCAAACACGGTGGACAGTGTCCAGTGGTGATTTGGGTTCATGCAACTGATTTTCTTGAAATTTTAAACTTGAATCCCTCTTTTGTTTACATGTCACCAGTGATGATAAGAAGACATACCTGAGCTGCAGGAAGAGTCAGTATGTTGTTGCCAGGCAATTTAACTGTGACTGGATTAGTGCCCATGTTGAGTAATTTCACCTGACTCTGGGAGGCTGATGGGAAGGTGGGTAACGTTGTCTGAAGACAAGTAAAGAAGTCCTTGTTATGAACTCTAGAAGTATTACTTGTGTTGCCATTGGTTCAACCGGGATTTTAAGTTCAAAATAAAGTAAATTGCTGAACTGGTGTGTATTTTACAGAACATATAAAGATAAACGTAGTAAGTGGTATGTACTTACATCAATTTGAATCTGAACCAGAGCAGCGCAGACGAAGGCTATAGCTGCCATAAGCATCCCCACTGTCATTCTCCTCAGAGGTCTGTTAAATGAAGATGAAGTTCCCTCATTAGATAATCACTGTGAGATCAGCTTTTCCAACAATGACATGGCTGTTGTGGAAAACTTACGTGAAGTTCAGGCCACATTTTTTGATCAGAGGGTAAATGCAACTGTCCATGATGGGCACCAGAGTCAGGATCAGGATGGGGTTGAAAGTCTTTCAAACACATAAATTGCACATTGACAATTTCCTCCAATAAAATCCAACATTTCAGTTGAGGCTGACGTGATAAAAACTCTTAACCTACCTGCATCTGATCAGGCTGTATCACAAGAAACCCCTGTAGACACAAGAAAACCATTAGAACAGGATCATGTTGCTATAGTTAATATGAATAGATTTAGATTTGGGCTCATCTCCAAACGTACAAAGTTTCCATCCATGGTAGTGGCTTGCAGAGTCCATCTAGAACCCTTTAAGAGAAACGCAACATTAAGCATAGTTTCCACAATGACACTGCCTTTAAGGAAATAAAATAAGGAAGGTACCTTTTGGTCAAACAGGGTCCAGAACATTGGCAGTGGGATGTATAAAAACAGGACCTTCAGCACCATTTTGATTTGAGCAATGAGGAGTTTCTACATCACAGAAAGATGGAATATAAACAACAGTTATTTCTTTTTGAAGACACAGCGTTTTATTCACATCAGGGAGATAAATAAAATGAAACATACGCTATATTTTCCTTCAGCCCAGTCCATCCAGTGCTCCTTCTTTGGGTATTGCTTGCTTCTGTGCTTGTAGCGGTTTTTAACGGCAAACTGATCAGGAAAAAAATAAAGTTAAAGAGAAACATGTTTTTAGAAACACAGATGGTACACACTCATATAAATGTGTTGGTGTAAACCAGACTCACCCAAATGCATTTACACACATCCATCATGATGTTTCCCTGTGGTTCAGCTTTGTAGTACATACCGCTCCCAATGATAAACACCACTGTAAGGGCATCACAGGCAAAACATTGGTGTTAATGTAGAGTATATGTTCCACACCTTTATATTTTTGTATTATGTATAGAATTACAGTGTCTGCATGTGTTAAAGCGCACCCAGTGCAACCAACATCAGCGCTGCAGGGACGCCGAAGGCCAAAGAATAACACTTCTGCTGACTGTAGATGCCACAGCTCTGAGCTGCAGATGGAGACATTGGTTACTCCGGTACAATCTCAATTTCACTCACATACCAGCACTGGTATCAAACACTCATGTTTATGGCACTGTTTGTTGTCAACTTTATATCCTTCTTATATCTACCTCTGAGGATTGGAGTGATAATGGTCGACAGGAGACTTCCACCATTGATGCACAGGTAGAAAACCGAGAAGAAAGTTCTCCTTTGCCTTTCCTGCATGTAGACAAATGTCAGTGAACTGTCATATGCAAACATGTTATGCATGAATTGCTGGATATTAGGTCAGTCTGATTCACTCAGGTCCTATTACATAGGAAAAGCTTTTCATGGTTCCCAGAGGATGAATTTATACCTGCTATACACCACACTGTCACTTTCATTGTGAGCATAAAAATGTTTTTGAGACTATTTCTATAGTTAAGGTATTTTAGCATTCCTGCCTATATTTTGATGGTGGATTAAGCGTCAGATCAAGATTGGAGCAAATGAGGAGTAATCCTCTAACCTGGTGGTCACTGAATTGGTCTCCACCAAAGGCAGCCACACAAGGTTTGATGCCACCTGTGCCCAGAGCGATGAGGAAGAGACCCAACATAGACATAACACTGGAAGGAAAGAGGGACATGTGCATGAGCAAGGAAGTTGATAGAAATATGTGAAGGAAACTTCTTGTCCAAGTGCTATGTCCTTATTATCTTCGCAACTCACACGTGAAAGGTCATGTTGTTTGGTGTCCCATCTCTGTCTGTGTCAGTGATGTCATGGATCGCACTGACAGCCATTGTAACCTGACCGATTGCATAGACAACGGACAAGTAGATGATAGTCCTGAGGTAGAGAGGGGAAAAGAGATGGCAATGGTGGATGAAGTACTCACGTGTCCTTACGCCAAAGTAACACTATACTAATGAAGTATTGCACCTTTTTAAAAAAGGCTCTCCTTCAACTAATCCCAATCTGCAACAAGCTCAAAACTATAGCACAACAATATTCCTCTAATCGAGTTCTATAAACCGGATTTTCCATTCTGAGGAGTCATGTTCTGAGGTTTGGGACAAAATACTTCTGTGATCAGTTCTTTACAAAATTTACTCTTGCAAAGACTCCACTCAAAACTGACCGACCCAAACCTGGAAAAATAAGTGTGTGTAGTATCATCATCACTACCATTTGACATCAGATGTCTCATCCCATCACTTTTGAGAGGTCAGTGTGACATATGCGTTTAGTATTAAGAATAATTTAGTTTGTCCATCAAAGGTTGTTATTGAAATTGAAATGGAAACTTCTTTTAAAAAAACGAGCATTCGTATAATCATCAAAGGAACATTAGACAATCACTCACTTAAACTTTCCCAGCCAGGAGTCGGCCACGATGGCCCCGAGGATTGGTGTGAGGTAGCAGAGAGCCACAAAGGTGTGGTAGATGGAAGTGGCCAGGTCCTCGTCCCAGCGCAAGAAGTACTTGAAGTACAGCACGAGCACAGCTGTGGACAGGCAGGGAAAATGTAGGTTTCTTCTAGTTTTATGAATATAATTATCAATTCAGATTTTGTCCTTAACCCCAGCCTTATCTCTGCCTTCCTTCCAGCCTTTGCATATATTGTTTCCACCTGGTGCCCGTATCTGCAGAATGCCATGTTTCGTCTTTGCCACTTAAAACTGTTAATTCGTTTTATTATGTGAATTTGATTTCTCTAGGGATCATGAAACTGTTGGTAATTAAGGGCTTTTAGGAGAGTTATGTCATCATGGTTACACAATCAATCACATGGTTTAGATTGTAGAAGGAAATATTCTCACCTCGCATTCCATAGTATGAGAACCTCTCACAGAACTCATTCACAACGATAAAGAAGATGCTGAGTGGGTAGCCACACACCTCTTTGCTCTGGTGGATAAATCAAACAGCAGCATTGTGTTAACCAGTGCGAAAGTACAAATACTGAAGAACAAATATAAAGCGAGTTGTCTTGAATTCAAAACTGTAAAAGTATTTACATAAAAATTCTGAATGGTCAATTTCAGAATAGTGTATATAATATTAATCAGTGGTGAGATAAGATGTTTATTTAGGTCTATTCTACTTCTGGGTATTTTGTGACTCCTCTTTCAGATCAATACAGTTCAATGTGACCCATAATATTACATTAGGATTTATTGTTGATAATATTTTTTCATATTAATCTGAATCTGCAAATTAACTTGTGTTTAAAGTTATCAAATAATTGTAGTGGCTTCGAAGGTACAATGATTATCCAAGCAATGATGAGTAGAAATAAAATGAAAATACTCTAGTGTACACGTAAAAGTGCAGCACCTCTAAGTAAATCTACTTAATTACTTTCCATTTACAATGGTCAGTATATAAAAAACATCCTTTTTTATATAATTAACATATATTTGATTTCAAATCTTTATCTGCAAAGTGATCAGTAATAATAGCTGTAAGATAAATTTAATAAAACGGTAAAAAAGTACATTTTCCTTTGAAATGCAATGGATCAGCATGTGGACATACTCAAGTAAAATTCAAGTAACTCAAAATTATTCTTAGAAATCAATAGTGTGTACTATTATTACAGTAAGTGGCATATTGAGGCTGGTTGCTTTGTTCTTACGATTATCAATTTATGTCACTGAGCAACTATAGACGACATGGACGTCCAATAAATTAGATAAATCAAGTACTCTACCGTTCCTCTGTACTGCTTCCTCTTCTTTGGATCCTCATTATCTGCACACAAAAAGAAAATAATGAAAATAATTTGAAAACATTAATACATGTATATCCCTCATGCTCTACAACTCTTCTGACGCTTGGTATTGTTTGAACACAAACTCACCTTCCATGGTGTCTTCGTGAGAACGCAGCTGCTTCTTGCTGCAGTTGTAGAAGTAGATATTCCTTTTGAAACTCCTGCAGGGAGCAACTGTTTATCCTTCAAGGATCACCAGTGACAGTGGGAGTGTTTCTTGTAACATTGCTTCTTATTAGAACCTTGATCCGACTTTCACTCTGCTGACTGTGTTGCTTTTACGATGTTTGGGAACATGTGATACAGCAGATAGTAAGTCTGCTCTATTCTGTCCCTGACAACTCATAGAAAAGAATGTATTCCCAAGAACTTTAGACCTGAAGCAGATGTAAGCGTGAGCTCAAGAACAAAACATTTAATCAGCAGTAAATCAATAAGGACTCATGAGTATAAGTGCAGAGAAATGAGTGCATTTTATTTAAAAGAAAAGCATAAAGGAACATCTGTTTACAGCAGAACAATGAATTTGTGTTAAATAAAATGTTTATAAAACCATCGTAGTCCAAATATAAAATTTTTTTTGGAACATTTGAACACTACAACGGTAAAAGCTTCATATCACTCCCACAGTAGGCAAAGTTTTTGGTTCCGCACCTCGTCGCTTTGGCAAGAAGGTGAACATGTCTTTACAGTGTATAAGCCCCACACAGCAAGATACTTTGCAAATATTGCACGCACTCCTTTTTTTATATACATTAATAACAACTTGGAATATACTTTTTTGTATGCAATGGCTTTAAATATTTTTAAAAACTCTCCCGCTCTAAGACATTGTAGTGATTTAATGTTGAATACTAAACACAGGAGGCCCTTTTTCAAATTTGCAGACCGGTAGAAACAGAACTTTATGTGCAGGTAGATGAGCATCGATGTATGCAGCCTATACTGTTCATCAAGACATCAATACAGTGGCTTATAAAAGTGGAATACTGCACATAAAAAACACAATGTGTAACATTATCAAAATAACCAGAACAATAGGCTGTTGAGAGGGTGTATTGTAATGACATGCATATGGAAGAGCCCAACGTGAATTTCTCTGTGGAAAGACTGCTCAGTCTTCTCAGGTACAAACGGGTGAAGGAGACAACAGGTTTGTCACGCGTGGTGATGACGCAGGGTCTCCTGCTCAGCCGCCTCAAGGCTCATGCCTCAACCAAAATGTTTGTCGAGGAAAATGAAATTGGCCATACCGAGCACATCCAGTAGCCACGCCTACTGCATGAATTAAAAAGATCCAGTGCCTTGGTCATGGTACACTGAGGAGAGTTAGATTTGTCTGTGCCTTTGTCGGTTTCTCTTTGAGCCGACAGAAGAGACTTTAGAAGTGACCATGTGGATTCACAGGCATGTCTGGTGTAGGGGGCGCTGAGGCCAAAGTTAACCCAGCTCAGCATCACACCACAGAGGAAGAGCTGGGGATGCCCTGGATGGTGGCGCTGGTTGGCGTGCCACTGATAGCGTTAAAGATGTGAAGCGAGTCTGGAAGAACGCTCTTCATGCCATCTTCCACAGGACTGATCTGAAAGGAAAAGGGTGCAGAGGAGGAATGAGAGATTGATTTAGATCCACGAGAACCTTAACTACTGTAAAATCAGGCCCTTATTTAAAGGAATAGTTTGACATTTTTGCCTTCTTGTAGAAACATAGATGAGAAGATCAATACCACTTTTGTATTTTAAGGATAAATAATAAACTATCTTTCATTGCCTCGAAGACTCAGTGACAAGAGATGTGTCTATGACTTGCCTATGTGCTGGCAGGGATTACTAAATTGCCTGGTAAATAGTCTTTTCTGGTAACTGCTTCCAGCCAAGAAATACACAATCCCCACTCGTGTAAAACCACTCTTTGTTGTTCTTTCACTTCACCTTAAGATGTGCCAGTAGGCTATTTTGGTTACCTTTGCACAGTCAGCCAAGCTCTTCCCCCTGCTGTCATTATTTGTGCTAAGCTAGGTCGCTGCAGCCTATTTACGCACACAGATCACAGATACAGTTTGAGAGTAGTATCAAAGTTCTCATCTGACTCTCTACAAGAAAGCGAAAACCCGGTGGGAACTCAGAAACCCTTAAAAACTGAAAACAAATAAATAAAAACCACCTATACATACAGAAAACCAACAAATCTTTGTAAGTCACATATACACAAACAAAAGTAAATCCTCAAACACACACATTCGGATGCATGTACATACAGTATTCTGTCCATACAAGTACAAACGTACTATATATATATATATATATATATATATATATATACACTGTATACACATGCAAAAACATACATTAACGCAAAGAGATAAGTGCAGAAGTAAATGTTGGTCCAGCCAGTTAGATTCAGATAGTTAGTGGTAGAGGAGGATGTAGTTTTCCATTCAGATAGTGGACATGTTGGCTGCGATGTGTCAGAGTACTTTACCTGTAGCTGATCTCTTATTTATTGCTGTTGTGTAAAGATAAGGCCGGTCTCAGATCTAATCTGGTAACTGTCATATATTTTCAGTGCTCTTTGAGGTCAAAGACTTTAGCATTAGCTTGAGATCAAGTCATATCATATGATTCAGTTGATTCTAGCTGCAGACTTTTGTTTTCACTTGCTGAATATTTTATTTTAATCAAACAATAAATGAAAGTATTGAGGTTTTTTTGCTTTCACCGGGTACAACAGGTCAGATTAAAGATATGTTTTGTGGAAATCTAAAAGTGTTGCCTTAATTGAAGGGTCAAGAAGTTTATCAAACATGAAGATCTGTTTGAAATGAAAAGTCAACTGTCGTCAGATAATATCTGAGATCAGGTGTCTGTGTCTGGCTGGACCAACAATCAACAGTTCAGCTTTTATTTAATTCTAATGGTTCTTGTATTACCATCCAATCTGCTTATGTCAGCACAGGAGAAAAACAGAGAACAGTGTTGTCAATAACATGAGGTAACAGTGTCATTATCAAATATTTTATGAAAGCAGATGACTTCAGCTGCCACGACCTGTCTCAGAGGAAAATTACAGCTGTGACATTAGTGATGCAGACAGTAATTACACTGCAAGTTAGGTTACAGTTGTCAATAATGTACTTACTTGCTCATGCATGATGATGGACAGCTCTCTGGCAAAGTCTCTATAGTTGGCTTTCATCTCATCTTGGTACTCCTGTTGGTCCTCTTTGATTAGCCGCTCATTAATGCCTAAGCCGTGGCCACACGCCTCCACAAAATGCCTGCTCAGGAATCATGGAAACAGGTGTTAAAGAGAAAAGTTACACCAAGCTGATCAAACTTTGCACACGCACACACAGACACACACACAAACACACACTAGAAACCTTTGACATCTCACCTGAAGACCTCTTTCAACTGTTTGACCTTGTTATCAGGATATTTTTTGGCGCTCGTGTCATCCAGAAAAGCTCGGGCATATGCAAGCGGCCCTGCATTTACCTGAAGGAGGATGTGGAAGCCGTGTTATATATTTTTGTCATGATAATTTCATATGGTATTTCCTGTTTGTGTAAGTGTTTTCCAAGCAGGCACCTGAACACTGATGCTGCCCTGCAGTTTGAGCTGCAGGCGAATCATGTCCACCTCACTGGAGGAGCAGAGCTGCTTGATCTCAGCCACCTTCTTGCTCATCTCATCGATGGCCACCTCGATGGGGCTCAGGTCAGTGTGGTGCTGATACATCACTGCGATACGTTTCTTTACATATGGGAAGCAATGTGTGGCTGTGGGACAGAAACAATATGAGGAGAGGAGTTAACAGTTTGCTTCTCAGTTCAGGAATCTTTCTGCATGTTTTACAACTCAGGATCTACTCATTTGTGAACTGGACATCCTTTACTCTCAGATAATGAAGATAAGGTTGAACCTTTGGATGTGTTGCACCGTAAAATAATAAAACTGTGATTAAGAAAGGTCCTTGAGAAAAAAGCTGACATGTCGAGAATCTAATCAAGATCCACTCGTGCACGAAGGTGATTATTGTTTTACAGCTGTGTTTTATTAGACGTTACTATTGAAGGGTTAAAGTGTTACATAATGACACAATGAGTTTGTGAAGTAATTTTTTGATTATTTCACTTGCAAGTCTACAATTTTGTGGTATTGCAACAGTAAACTGAGTTTTCCCTTCTTATGTTCCATAGAGGGTCACGTACTGGTTAGTATAGTCCTGCGTTTGCACTGCTCCTCCACACCGCCTTGCTTTTTGCCCGATATGGTGAATGGCATCTCAAACACAAAACGACGGATGTTGTGGCTCTTTTCAAAGTCAGTCTTCCTGTCCACCAGCTCCTTCTCTTCCAGGTAAGGAGTCACATGTGTCACTTGGATGTATGCATACTTTGAATCCAAGTCTTTGGGATTAATCTGCAAAAATATGCATATGTCAATACAAGAGATCAATACCAGGTTGTGAAAACGTCCGTTGCACAAATTAAATATCGAGAAAGTCTCACCCTTCCAGAGTCCTGAATCATCTTCACGTTCTCCTGGCCGAACTTGTCAGAGTAGAGTTTGAGCAGCCGCTGAGATATTTCAGACAGGGGGGTGAATTTGGGTTCTTTGTAGATGTACTCTTTCCCGTCTTCATCTTCAAAGAAGCCCTGAAAAAACATTGAACCGACACTGAATGCATAAAAAATGATCTGTTTATCTAAAAAGAAGCAAACAGTGCCACGTCAAACCATACATGGGTTGTGAGCGGGAGTCATTATGACAGTTTGTTAAATAAAATGGTAAAAGGTTCCGGTCTGAACAGTTGTGTCAGACTCAGACAAATGCACAACCCTCTACCATCTAAAGTCCAATCAGAAAGAAAACAGAAAACTACACTGCAGACGTCAACCAGTGTCAGTTCAATGAGATGCAAACAAAACCAGAGGACAGAGAGTGGGGGCATGGATTTCACACCGTCAGTGGGAACACTTGAGGTCAGTTTCTTGTACGTGAATGGCAAAAAGTCCCATGAACTGATGAGGTGAAGCCATGCATTCACCCAGTGACATATGAATCCTGTTATTAGCCCGTTAGAGGGGTTTCATCTTATGATTAGGAACAGCACACAGCTAGAGTAGAGTGGGAGTTAAAGGGCTGCACGATAAGCAACACACCAACTGCATTAACGAAGGAGCACAAACATCACAGCCTAAAACATCACTGCAGACTGTCCAGCTGCTTTCACAATGATTTACCTCAGCATCAGAGTCAGTAAACTGGTACTGCTACAAGGTGTGTGGACAACAGAAAGCAAAATCATTATTTCATGCATAAATTATAAATGTAAAAAAGACTACCCTGTCGAGACAGACGTGGATCTGTGGATCTCTATAGCTGCTTTCAGACATGCACTGAAGTATGTGAACGGGCAAATGTCAGAGTGAGGGGCTCCAGACTTTCTGCGGAGTTTCTCCTGCTAGTCCCTTAATAGGAACTCTGAAGAATAACACAGCAAGAGATCCTCCCGAGGACTGAGATGTAAAAATGATTAAAAACAAACTAAAAGAAACCAAATATCTCAGGTGATGATGTAATATAAATAAAAAAATGTGATCTCCGCAGCGGGATTTATACTATGTTCATGTTCATGTCTGAAACAGCTTATCAAAGAACACAAGAAGAGGTCACCACACCCAATGAATACTTTCTAAAATTAAAAAAAATAAGGGTCACAACTAAACTCTTACACAATTAAAATCTGTAACACAAAAACAGAAAAGCCGATATGAGTTGAGAAGTAGACAGGTGTCATGCAACGTAGTCCCAAAAACATCAAGCATAAGAGGTGAGTTGATTGTTACTGTTACTTGAAGCAGCAAACTATGATCGAGGAGACAATGTGCAATGGATTACAGCACCGACACCACACACAGACTCAGGCTGCTCGAGAAAAGCAATCGAGGGCTACCGCACAACTTACCGCTGCCTTCAAAGAGGACGGGAAGCAGAGAGGGGGATTAGAAATGCCACAGCACGTGATCATACTCTTAAATAAAAACAGCTCCTGTGTGATTACTTTGCCAAACCAGCAACAGAAATGAATGGCTGTGCTCTTTAGTGGAAACACAGTTAATACATAAATTAGATAATCCTGAGGTTTAGGAAAATGTATTTATCTAACACACCGTGTGAAGTTAACAGGTTTTAGTGTAGCTTAAGATTTAAACTCACCTGTCCAAAGAAAGCCACTCTGAAATAGGTGCCCAGCAGCCTCTTGCCCGTGTGCATGACCTCTGTAACCTTGCTGTATGCACGATGCAGCGTGTCATACAGGTGCGCCAGTTTCTGTGCAAGAACAACCCGGTTAGAGTCTGTACATGCTAATGGATATGGGCCGAGGCTACATAAGAGGGGTTGTTGTGGGGAAAATAAAATTTCCAGGTGGGATAAGTTTGCACCTCAAAGTCCCTGCGCTTCTCATAAATGGGGATTATGAGCTTGTAGATGTCGGAGATGAGCTCGTAACGCTCGGCTTTCCACAGTCCGTCCGCACACTCCTCCAAAAGCTCCATTAGGACATCCTGAGGGAGCAAGAGCAGGGACGAATGAGAATTCAGCTTAAAAAAAGTCTGTGATAAGAAAATTCCTCCTCTGTCATGACTCAGTGTGATGACTAGAAGCTTTTTAAAAAATTGCACATCTGCATGTACAGACATCTTGAAAAATGCCGTCTTCATTTTCAATTTTCAATATATAGATAATATTTTTGAAGACAGCAATATGTAACTAAACTTTGATTCAAACAACTACATTATACTTAACAATAGATTATCACATTGATGGTCTCTGCACGATTTTAAGTTTTACAAGAAATGTACTTCAAATATTTCCTATTTCAAAATGATGTACTTCATTGAAATGGACATCCTGCATGCCGACATCCTCCATCATGGCTGCTTCTTCATCGATGTTTGGAGTCACGACACGGAAAGATGAGCAGCCCTGCTTGAACATGCCTGCACACAGAGATGAGACACTGCTTTAACGTACGAGCTCCAAAACTTTCTTATGACAAAATAAAAAAACATTTGTATGATTTCTAGAACCGGTCCAGCAAATGTAAATGTTTTCCATACAGTTTTAAAACTGCACATGCTGCTGCAGCTGTGTGGCATGCAAGAGAAATGGATTATTACAGCACCTTTTCTCCGCAGGTATTCTGCCACGAGCGCTGCAACGTGCACGTAGCACATTGCCGCCTGAAAACAAGGAGAGCATCTAAGGTCAGATAAGTAAAGATATGTTGCTAAATGTTACTTATTATGCAACACAACAGTATCAACCACATCAATGCATAATAAACCAGATTAATATTAAGTAAGTACTTGATATCTGAAAACATATAAACCTATTATTAGAGACAAATCAAAAGCTACTTTATCCAATGTCACAATATCCTGCATTCGATGAAAGCTCCACCTGTTCAACCACACACTCTTATCACAGACCTCTGACAAGTCTCCATTCTTCACGTGGATTCGGGCCATGCTGTCCAGCCAGGTCTTGCGTAGCTCGGGTGTGCTGGCATACGACTTGGCCAGGCTGTACTGCAGGTCCACCAGCATCTCCGGGTCCCTCTCGTGCTCCTTCATCTGAGCCGTGGCCATCAGAACGGTCCTGATGCGTTTGGTCAGGTCCTTCACATCCGACGGGAACGCCGTGTTCTGTTGCGGAGCAATTAGAGCAGCCAGATGTGGTGTTACTTGCTTAAGCACTTATTTATTTAATGTTTATTTAAGAACATGGAATTATTAAGAATACAAGTGAGTTGCTAACTTTAATTGTCTTGTCACTGTTGGCACAGTTGTTGATGATTGACAGAGACTGCTGGAAGCGGGTACTTCCAATACCAATGACGTCAGCGATCAGCTGACTGACAGCGATCACCACCTACAGGAAAGGAAAGAAGAATTATCAAATATTCTTGTGTTGATTTTGGCTTTAATTTCTTCATCCAACCATGAAAGCCTAGTTGTTTTGAATCTGTTGTTTTATTTTTCGATCTTACCTGTAAGTGTGTCCGGACAAAGGATTTGCGACCCGTGTAGTCAAAGTTGCTCTTCATGAGGAAGTACAGCAGATGGGCTGCGTCGCTGCGAATGGAGCTCAGCTTGGAGTTACAACACTTCAAGATCTCGTAGCAGAACGCGGCACACATGTCAGAACGGCCCTCGAAGAATGTGCAGGGAAACTAGAGGGTGGAAGACAAGTCATCAGCCACTGTGTTGAGCTAATAGAGTATCGTTAAATAAAACAACAAAGGTGTGTCAAACCTTGTAGATGAAGGTGCGCAGGGAGGTGAAGACCTGCTTGAGGGCCGTCTCTGACTGATTGATTCGCAGGAAACAGAGGTGGACTTCAAACACCTTCTTCATCAGTGGACTGTGGCCGTGGTCCGAGCACAGCTGAGTCTGAGGAGACAGACAGCATCATCTTGAAAACAAAGTCTCATTGAGAAACTCATGGAGGAGAGTTAATATTAATTAGCCCTGACATAATTGTTACACAACCTAGATATGTATTTTTGAGGCATTTCGCCTTTATCATAAGGACAAGTGTAAAATGGGGGAAGACGCAGCAAAGGGCAGAGTCACCACCGACCTGCAGGGGGACTCAAGCCTTCATATGCAGGGTGTCCACAAACCTACATACTGTATTCAAAGAAGTTATTGAAGCACAAAGTAAGTTTAGAAACAACATTAGTTAAAAGTATTATTCTATATGATAAAAAGTTACCTTGAAACTCATGATGAAGATACTGAGAGTGTCCAGGACAGTCAGGCACACTTCAGTGGCGATGTTAGCTTCCAGCAACGACTGATTCAACACGTCAGCATCCGAGTGACTGTAAGCTGAGAGGGGACATCATATCATATCATATCATATCAAATCATATCACATCACATCACATCACATCATATCATATCACATAAAATATGAGACCTTAGTGTTAACGGCAAAGCTGTTGATAAAAGGATGGACAATTGTATTAAGTTGAAATGATAGAAAGTTTTATTCCAAACTGACAAAAATATGATTGTTACAAAATTAACACATTTTAACAAATGAATAGTGGCACAGTGACACCTTTAAACAAACTGTAACACTTTGCTTATCTCTGTGTTTGTTTGTTACATGGCAGACTACTGAATGGTTCACCACAAACATTGGTGGAAGGATGTGGAATGGGTCAGGGAAGAGCCCATTAAATACTGAAGCAGATCCAGAGAGGGAATATTGTATTTTGGAATAAAACCTTTAAACAGATTTTTTCTGAAATGTAAACCGAAGTTCAGAGCAGATGAGCCGAGCAGAGGGATGAAAAGTTGTTGAGGATGATGTTCAGTTAAAACAGTCATGCTCTTAATTCCACCAAATGAACAGAGCCAGTCACAGTCTGACTGTAAACCTGACGCTGCACATTCTTACCATGTTCTACAGATATTCCAAGAATACTTGAAATCTTTCTTACACTGAAAACACAGAGAAACTGTATTAAATAAAAAAAATGCCATAAACAGACTCATCACACAGTTTAGGTCAAATCAGTGTAACGCGACACACAGCTAGTCTGGCCCCAAATCTGTTTAATTAACTGATGACGCTCTTGTGTCTCCTGCAGCACTTCCTGCTTTAAAGTGGGCTGGGTTTAAACAGAGGATGAGGAAGAGGATGATGCTGATGATGTTGAAAAGTATGAGGAGTCAAGACTACACAGGGTGAGGCGGAGGAGGATGGGTTGGGGTCCCCTGTTAGAGGATGTTTGCTAATGCCGTACAGCATGGTGTCACTTACTGTGGTTAAAAGTGTATGAGTTATCCAGGCTGCTGAGCTGCTGTAAGCGGGCATGCATCATTCCTGCCCTGTTACGGGACACAGGCAGAGTCTGAGACTTCCGCTCATGAGCTACGGGTCCTGCCCCTTCCTGGTTCCTGACGAGGAAACAGGACAATGTTAGATGAATGGCTGATGAACAGCAGAGCCAGAGTTAGTGAAGCGCAGGTGAATAACACACTGTTTTTTGCATGTGTGCTACACACACACAAACACACACACACACACACACACACACAAATGTCCCTAGAGCTACAGCAGATTTAAGAATAATTGATTTAAGACAGAAATATCAACTAGTAAATATGATACATGAACATTTTGGGATTTATGCATGTACCTATTGTATGTAGCAAAGATTGTGATTGTTATTAATGCAGATTGCTTGTTTGGCATGCAATTTATTATACAATGATAAAAGTGGCACAGCAGCATCAAAGCAGTGAGTTACAGCCCGAGCCATGCATGTGAGAGTGAGAGGCTGCATGTGAGTTTAGAGAGAATATTTCATGCAGCTGCTGGTTTGAGAGAGTCAGTTCCACCTTCAGGCTTACCCAAGCAGGAGGGGGCAGGAGCCAGGTTTTATTTCATTGTGTTAAACTTGCCAGCATTTAGGTGAATAGAGATAGAAACAGTGGTGACAGGTTAGAGTGAGTGAACACCCAAAGCCCCGAGAGCCGAGACCAGAGTTCCCAATACATTAGAGAGAGACTAAACTGTATGTGTGTTGGGATACGTTTTAGTTACTTCAAGAAATAACCGTGTTGAACATACAATCACACTCTGCAACAATCACTTATTATATTTAACCCTTGACAAAGTAGCTATAGTCCTGTCATATGCAGCTTTAAGTTTAATGGACAATCAATGTCCACTGGAAAACAATATTTTGTCTTTTTATAACAGGTTTCCAGATCAGTGATTTCCAAACAGGGGTGCTGCGCCCCAGACTGTAGTTGCTGAGGGCAGAAGTTCTCACTTTCTTCCCAGACTAGGGCAGGAATAATTATTAATTAATCCATGGAATAATTTGACATAACCTAAATTTCAACTTCGTTATGTGAGAGAACAACATAGGCTGAAAATGAATTATGTTTCAACTATGTAAATACTTAACTAAAAGTAATGGATTCATAGCTGACATCAATAACTAAAAATAATGCAAAACATGTGTTAAAGCTAAAAGTAACAGAACTACTGAAATAATGTTGGATAAATGGTTGAAAACCTCCAGCTTTAGTCAGTGACAGTAATATGAATCCAACACAATTCAATTATTGTTACATACACATGTATATAAATGAGGGTGTTAAACAACATTTAGCTTCAGATAAATTAAAATGAACACTTTTGGAACATTTGGACAAAAGAAAGTTGGAACCCACTGAACTGGAAGCCTGAAATCTCTGATCAAAGAATTCAACAACATATAAAAGCAAAAAAGATTAAAAACATTTGTATCCATGCAACTGATCGAAACAGTGACACCAGAATTACCTTGCGATGTATCTCTTCCCCATGTATCTGAACTGATGGAGGCAAACTCTGAGAGGGAAGACAAGGGAAGAATCGGTCAGGTTTCATTTTTCATTGTTACTCACGTCACTGTGCACAATGGAAACATCAGAGGTCTTACTCGACGAGAGTGAAGAAGTCCATTAGCTCAGCAGATGAGGCCTTGTTCCAGTAAGTGAACAGAGCATCTGGAGGAGACAGTGATTAAGACGACAGTGAGTTTTCTTGGCTTGTTGACTGAACAGTATTTAAGTCTCACAAAGAAAGTTGAGAGAAAGATTGTGATTCTTACCCTCAGACATGCTTTTAAGCACATGTAAGAAACACATGAGGAGGCTCTTGATCTCTGCCTGGTCCAGTTTGTCACATCGCAGCAGGGGGCTGCCCAGGGTGGAGGCAGCCTGGTTCTGAGGGACAGAGAGGACGGTCAGAACCGGACATGATAAATATACATAATGCTGTCGAGCTCAGAGTACAGAAAAGACAAGGGGCATTTAGCACAACAATTCTAAATCTTTGGGAAACTCTGTCTATGTGCTATACTTGACTGTTTTTGTTTTGTGTTACATTAAAAAACACAGAATCAAACTGCACACTTTGCAGATTTACAGCACAGAGTTTTTATGACGTGATTAGTGCGAGTTCTCCTGAGGTCTGAGATTACAGCAGCGAAGCTACGCGAACCACACAGTGATCTATTTGTGGTGCGCAGACTGCAAATGGTAATTCCTCTGCAGTGGAGTAACACCACAGCAAGGGGTTGGCTATACACCAAGCATGTTCCTCTGCCAGCACTTAGTCTAGACCATGAAAGTTGTTGGGGATGACTTCATGGAAAGCATAAGACCGTGGCTTCGGCTTTTTATTGGGTGTTTTGAATGTTGCATGAAGGCTTCGAGGCTAAAGATAGTTTTTCTGAAAAGCTGGAGTGTGGTTAATTTTAATATTTTCATGTGTCTTTTTTACTTTTTGAGCTAAGAGATTATCGAGTTTGTACCATGCGTCATTTATACCCCTTGACATACCCCATGACTTCTTATATATGTTGTGATAAATGTCACCTCACATCAGAAATCAAAACGGAAGATGAAACAAACAGCAGCACAGACAGAGAAAATATAATCCTTTGTGTTTAATGGGCTTCTCCATAGATTTAGCTCGAGGCTCTTTATAGAAGTGAAAAATGACACTGCACACATGAGAAGAGCTGAAAAGTGAGAACTCCCTCACGCATGCATGCTCAAATTCAACATCTGGAAAATGAGCAGAGACAAACCCTGTGAGGCCCTGTGGTGCAGCGCGTCTGCCTTATGGCACCAGAAAACAAACAAGCAAAAAGCCTGAGAATCATCGGGTAAAGACAGGGCTCAGAGTCGAAGACACTCTCACACACACACTATCACATGCCCAGAGGGAACAATCCGAGTAGGGAGCGTGACTGTGTGAAGGAAAGGGGAGTTTTTGTACTTGGAGTGAAATGCTGGGGTGCAGGACGCTCTCTGACACACGGGGGACAGAGAGCAGGGAGAAGTCCATGGTGACACGCTTTGTGTGCACAGAGAGCTCCTCTGTCTCCGTAAAAAAGCGCAGGACGTTGACAGAGTGTCTCCGTACAAACTTCTCCGTCTGCCACGACCAGCCGTACGAGGAAGGTGGAGGGAGTTAATTGTACAAGTTATCATGAACTGACTTTCTGTAGCACTTTGGTTATGACGGGGGGGGGGGGGTGTGTGGTATAAGCCTCAGGCACAGTGAAATGGAAAATTATAAATGCATGTTACAGGAAGTTGAATTTTATTATTCAGGCACCTTGCAGCACTTTCTGAGATGTACCTTGTCCAGAGAGTTTCCCTTGTCCATGTTCTTCTCATGCAGGCTGTTGGCCGAGTCGGTGCTGATGAGGGAGCCGCGAGAGTCTGCGTGGCGCACAGAGCTGATGTTGGGGGTGGATGACGTGTGAGGGGAAGCTGTTGAAAGAAAATATCAAAACAGAAATCATTTTATATTAATATGAAAACAAACATGTATTTATTTTCAGCCCCATGTCTCCTCCTCTCTCACCGGTGCCTGAGATGACTCCAAACACATCTTTGTGTAAGCTGGTGTCCAGGAAGGTGCTGGATCTGGGAGGAGTCATCAACGCATTGGTAAAGAGTGACTCTTCTCTTCCGTTCTGAATGAAAAACAGTGAAGGAGTTTAATGGACACAGATCCCAGTAAAACTCTGTAGGTTTTTATAAAAAGTCCAGTGTGTTATGTGTGTTCTCATTGGGCGGTGTCCCCTGACCTACAATCTAAAAGTCCTGATCAAAGGTTTTCCACTGTTATTGGAACATGTACGATGGAATTTATCCATAATCCATAACTTGCAATCTTAGGTTGGTAAATGTTTATATATAATAAAACATTAAGGGTTCTACTAAATACATATATGCTCAACCATTTTATTATTATTTTTTAAATATATTTTTGGGCTTGAGTCCTTTATTTGAGAGGACAGAATGAATCTTGACATGGGAAGAGAGAACAGGGATGACATGAAACAAAGGGCCGCCGCAGGATCAAGCCTCCATAAACACTTTTTATTGCGTTGTGATTTTTGTCTGGGACACTGTGTGAGATCAAACTATGCACAGAGTAAGATGTGATTAAAATACTTACAATCTGAGACTGATACCAGCTCTTATTATTTCCTCTCTATATTGTTCTTTCTCTTTGAATATTGTATTTATTTTTAAAGGTGTGGATGTGGGTGTAGATGTTCCTCTGTGGGCAGTGTGGAGCTTGGATGGTTATAATTCAGAAGAAGCCACTAGGTGGCGCCCTTACATTGTTGGAGTGGTTGATGGGGAAAGGAGTTACTTCCTTCACATTCAGCCTGTTCACGTTCTCCTGTAGAAGACCAAACAAGGGCAAGTACAGGGTGGCCATCCTGGCCTGTTGGCTCTGGAAAACAAACCAAACCATTCAGCAGAATATCTCCAGATCATTAAAACAACACACACCCCACACACAGACACACACACACACACACGTCTGACACTAACACCACTTACACAAGTTCACCCTGGGACCAATAAAGTATTTCTGATACCTTGGAGGTGTAGCGGTCATCAAACGTGTGTTTGACCATCAGGTTCTTCAACACCTGGATGGAAACCTGACGAATCTCCCTGAACTCCAGCAGAGCTGCACCGACCTCTCTGAGCAGCAGCCCGACCAGGAAGTGGTTCTTACAGAAGTCGTCTGTCAGCGAGTAATCCAGCTGAAGGTCTGAGGAAGAGGAGGAAGAAGAGATTAGAAGGGACTGACAGAAAAATGAGTTATGATGTGAGGAGTCACAGACGGCAGTAAATAATGAAAGCAGAAAAATGTGTTATAATAATTATCAGACTGCATTTTTTATTTATTTTGGTGTTTTCAGTGACAACCATTACAAACTAAATGTAATCGAATGTAACATGTAAGTTAAAATGTAACTATATGAGAAGCTTAGAGTTTCATGTTGAACACATGAAGGCTGCTGCTCCCTATCACCAGTGATCAGCGTGGAGAAAGACCAACAGGATTAAAGCTCGTGATTGAACGGCAGTAGCTGTTCACACATACACAAACACACACACATGCACGCACACACACACACACACACACACAGCAAATCACAGGCTGTGTTGTCACAGTATAATGTGTCTGTGCCATGTAAATCATTCCACATCAACCAGTTCACATTAGAGATGGAAGATGATTTCATCTGATTGCAGAAGGGATTTGCAACTTTCTGCTCAAGGCTTATTGGTTGAATTGAAATTGGTTCTTTTTGGAGAAGACATACAAGCAGCACACCTCGCACCTACCTACTGGAGTATCGTATGACTCCACTGTGTCATATGGAGATAATAAAGCTGGTTGAGGAACACAAAAAAATAAAACAGTACCTGCTGTAAAAATGTACACAAAATGTAGAATGTTGCTATTTGACTGATGCTTTCTTTCTACACTTAAACAAGCTGCCTCTCTTCTTGACTCTCAGATAAATGGGATCATCTTCTCACCTTGAAATCTCAGTATCCTTCCCTTTCCAAATGGCATGGGCAGGTTTAAGGGGACGTAGTGCTCGTGGTTGCACACCACACGCAGGAACTCAAACTTGAACTCAAAGAGCGTCTGCATTGAGAAAGAGCAGAAACGAGTGAGGCAGCTTTAAAACAACATGTCCTGCACTGGGATGCAGGCAGACTTTAAGTCTTTCTTTTAATAGTCATCTTTATGAATTTATTACTGACTGTATTGTCGTACCTTTGGGTCTCCAGGCATAAAACAGTTGATGTAGTTGTTGATCTGCTTGAACATAAAGCCTCTGTCCATCAGGTTGAAACAACGCTAAAGAGGAAAGGAGAAGGATTCTTTTATTATTTATAGCAAACACAAAACAAATCTATACATTTACATAAACCAGGACCGTCTGCACTGTAAAAAACTTCTCCAGCTTTTACTGGAAATGTTTTCCTGAAGACGTCACTGTGGATCCTGACCTTGATGAAGACAGCCAGACTGTGGTTGGCATTCCTGGCGGCATCCAGGTTGTCTTTGTACTTCTGTGTGATGTGTGGCATCATCATGTTGACCAATGTCTCCACCGTGTGATGGAAAGATGCAGAGAAGCGCTGATTCCTGGACAACTGAGAGATATAACCAGAATGTTGTCATACAACACACGACTAAACCTTAACTTTAAGATAAGGTTAGTGATATTCTGTATTTTTGTAGTTGTAAATAAATCCCATTAAAAATAGTTGATCTTTGCCAGTGTCCTTCATTAATATATTAATACGTTTATTTTGAGTCAGTGGCTCACACACAGTCCTGCTGCAGTACATGCTCATCAGAGCACCAGATGCTCTATGAACTCTATGTTTTAGAAAATGATTTCATGTCTTTTCAAATTGAAATTATAAAATAACATCTCCTGTGTCCATTTAATTATTTGTTGGTTTGTTTGCTTGTCAGCAGGATAACACAAAATGGATCCAGATAAAGCAGCAAATCAGGAATTGTTTTCCTCAACTTCTTTCACTAGTAAGAGTTTGTTTGATGACATTCACCAGTTTCCCAGAGAATAACTGATCAATCTCAGGCATATTTAGGAGACTGTTCAATTTCCTGGGGATTTAAATAAAACTCTGGATCTGGGGAATTTAAATGTGGAAGTAGAGAAAGACTAAAGTATTATTGCTTTTTCTCTTTCTATGGGATTTGTTGATAATAATCATAAAGAATATCACCCGCCTAGTAATGCAACTGGAACATCACAGAACACGGCTGCATTTTTTCTTCTGCTTCTGCTGTTGCCTCCACATGATGCCAGTGGAGGTTAAACACAGGGATGTGGTTGTTTATGGGGTACGGACAAATGCAGCCAATTAAACTGCACAGCTGTGTGGGACAGACCGCGGATACACGATACTCTGACTGCGGTGCTGTGGCTGTCCACAAGACTTGGCATGTCGGGAGCTACAAGTGAGGAACCTAAGCTGTAATGAAGCAGACACTTGTGAGTCGAACGCACATGTTGAGGCAGACGTACCTTCACTTTACAGCTCTCAATCAAGTACTGAGCCATGGACTTGACTAAGGCTTCAAAGAAATACCAGGAGTACTGCAGGGCACACAAACATCAATCAGAGAATAAGAAAGACGATATTCACGTCAAATATAATTACACACCCTGTCATCCTTTAACACTGCACACATGTTACCTTCAGCAGTTTGTTACTCGTGAGGAAGTCAGTGGAAGGCTTCAGGATGGCGGTCATGGCTTTGGCCAACTCCTCGTGCACTGATCGGGCGGTGGACGACGTGAACGGCTCAGTCTTGAATACAAACTGCAGGAGACACAGCGAGAGATGTGAAAGACCTCCACTGCAAACATGACACACACAATGTCTGTATATAAAGATGGAGCAAAATGGCATGATTGACAGCTGAGACTGACTCATGATTGGGTGAGCTCTGGCTCCAAATGCACAAGATGGCAGTGTTCGTATCCAGGATATTCTAGCATCACCTCTGGATAGTTGGAGGAAGTGGAGACACTTCATCCATCTTTATTTACAGTCTTGTGACATGTAGCATGACATTTCTTACCTTAACGTATGATCTCAGATAATGTTCCAACCCCTCCTCATGGCACTGGGCAACAATGTGAATCATGACTCTGAAGGAAACAACAGCAAAGGAAAGAGTGAGTGAGGACTTTATCATATTCTCAGTTCATAACAGAATTCAGGTTTTGTTTCATATTAAAATCATTGTCACAAAGATCTTAGACACCAGAAAATATAATTGACAGATGTGTTGGATCAACTGGAGTGTAAAAAAAAAACTAGAGATCTGTAACTTTCAGAAAAAATGTTTTTGTTCTTAGATATTAATCAGGAAAATAACAAAACATATTTATTAATATTTGAATAATTACATGAGATGACTCATGTGAAGCCGTTGTTGGTTTCAGAGACACTTGCCTGGTGACGTTGACTGCCACGTCCTCTTGGGTGGCACTGGTGAGCACCCTGAACAGCTGATTCAGGGTGGTGGGCAGGAACTTGATCATCACATGACTCTCCATGGCGTGAAGACTCTGACGACGCAAACGTCAAAGACATGTGTTTACGAAGAGGTCAGTGACACAGCTAATGCACAGTTAGAATAAATGTGAACATAATCTTGTCTTCTTTTATGGCCTTAAAAAAGAGCACAGAAGGTGGACACAAAATAACATGTGAGGAAACTAATCAGGACACGAGTGAACAACATTGTGTTTATCTCCCTCACTATCTGCTCCAGTGTCTGGAACATGGCAGAGAGTAGGTACTTGTGCATCCCTGCCTGTGTGCAGGAAACTAACACAAGCACAGCCAAAGTCATTTGGCGAGCGTCCATTCCACACGGCTGACCTGCTGTTTGACCCTCCAGCTATTGTTCATGTTCACTGCTGTGTTTACATTAGAACCCAAGAGATACACAGAACAAGTGTGGCTTTCCATGTCAAAGTCCACCAGGGGAACAGTGAACTGAGATTCCCATGGACTGGAGAGAGGGCAAGAGACAAAGTAATAATCGAGCTACTGCTGCAGCAGAATACAAAAGAAATGGAAAAGGAATCACGCCAGCTATGAACAGACTTCTGACAGACTTACTGGTATCAAACTAATATTTGCTGGTAAGCTACAAATAAATTGTGTATCGATGGCAATGGAAAAAAGCCCTGCACAGACTGTCCAGAAGAATGTGCTTTTGGCAAAATGTGGCACAAAGTAGAGCACGTGATTCAGCATCAACCAAGTGTGACTGGGAGTATGAATTACTTTTAGCTGGAAAATCAAGTGTGGAATAGACTGAACTTTCCCTTCAGTTATCCAGTAAAGTTTTAGATGTCATTCTGTTCAGACTGAGCTCCCAATCCTTGATTTATACATTATTTATCAAGCATACGTAGACTTAATGTCAGCAATACAGATTGTGGTTTAATAAAAAAAACAAGTTTACTGTAGCAGTAGCAGTATCCTAAAGAACAATCCTTAATCTAATCTTATTCTCATCGTTTTACCTTCAGGTATTTGACCAGCTCTCCTCCTGAAGCCTGGGCTGCAGACGTGATGCTCTGACAGTGATGAAAGAAATTGTGTAAATGTTGATCCTGAAATGTTGAGAAACAAAACAAAAATTAAAGGTTAAAAAACACAGTAGGTTGTTCATAATGAAATCACAGCACAAGTTCAGATGTGACGCATTCGATTTCATAGGACACACAAGACACTTTTACAGCATGTATGTTAAAACCAACCTGAGTGTAGACAGTGGAAACAAGGTGAGTGGACACCTTGAATAAAGGCTTCCCTCCATCCACCCACTTGACTTCAGGACCTGACCCATGCTGAAAGAAAACAGAGAAACAATCCCTGGGTGAGTAACACAGTAAATATTAGGCACCACATCCATTATACCATCATCTCCAAAGATATTTTTGATTTAATATTTTATTTAGTTTATATGATGTTGGCTGTGACGTGTTTTTCCACCTAAACTTTTCACCTCCTCCAAGGGGGTTAAATTTTTATCACTTTCTTTAACATGATCTGTTTTACTAGAGAATAGTTCATTGGTCTTGATGAAAAAACAACCAGGCATATTCAGGGGACAGATATCTATGAGTGGGTTTACTTTGGGGCAGCTTGATTTAATTTGAGGGGAGTATTGGGCCTTGGAGGAGGTAAGCGCTCTACTCAGTACCATTCTAAAGAGATTCAAAAAGAAACTCTGAGTAGGTGAAGCCAAGTCATTACTGTTCCGCAACTTGACGATGGACTCTACCTTGCCAGCTCCCTCCTGACTGCTGAGGTATCCAGCCGGCAGGTTGGCAGCCACAGGGATCTGACTCTCATTCATGATCACTCGGCCGTCCTTCAGCAAGGGGAGCCAGGCATAACCCACTGAGAGCGGAGTCAGAGGAGAAGATACTCAGCTTACAGTCTGACGCTTCAAGCCAGAAACATCAATAACACACCCAACTGTATTCGCAGCAGTCAGATGGAAAATACAGATGAATATAAAAATGTGGTTTTGAACTGTGAAGACTAAGTGCTGCTTTTTTTTTTTTTTTACCTTGCGTCTCAACCAGTTCTCTCTTTTTGGTGCTGGCCTTGCTGTTGCTGTCACAGCTGACGTGGTAGAGGGTGAAGAGCAGGTGGTGTTTCTCATGGAGCTGCGTCGGCAGCTCAATCTTGAACTAATGGATATGAGGCAGAGCAAGATGAATTTATTTATAGCACATAGAAGTCATTCAAAGTGCAATACAGAAATAAAAGATGCAAAAAAAAAGCATAAACACACATAGAGCACAAATAAACTTCACAATAACATCCAGCACACAGTGTCCGACCTCATCATAAAATTCAGGGTTGTGCTGGTGATGCAGGACAGCAGCAAAGGCATTCTTGGTAAACAATGGTCCTCCGGGTCGACCGTAGATGCACTGTAGAAAACAATACTTGATTAGTTCCTGTGGCGGGTTGGGATTTCCTTCAGGGACCCTCTGAGCTCCTCCAGGTCACATTTGTGTGTTTACCTTCAGTGAAACAGCCTCTTCTTCATCGGAGTCCTTGAACTCAATGCAGACAGCGATGTTTCGAGCCTAAAGACAATGAGTCGATCTAGTTAGTCACACTGAGGAAAAGAAGAAATACCCTGCCTCTACAACCCAGTGCAGTTTCTGTCTTCACACTCTGCTACATACAAGAAGTCCAGTCTAATTTGAATTTGAAGCAGGTTTGAAGAAAAATTCCAGCAAGCTCAAAGATGTGTTTGTGAGGTCGCAGCGACCTTGACCTTTGACCTATGACCCCCAAATTAGAATAAGTTCTGTACCAAATCTGTACCAAATTTTAAAACATTCCCTTGAGGCATTCTTTAGATATCGTGTTCACAAGAACAGGGCGGATGGATAACCAGAAGACATGACTCATTCGGCCACCGGATAAAAAAAAGAAGAAAAATGAAAAAACAATTCCTGCTCCAATGACAACGTGCAGTAGTCATGTGTTGTACCTTTGCGAAAGACTTCTGGTTGTCGTACTTCAAGTGCTTCGGGTACACGTAGAGGTGATTGTTGTAGATGGTGAAAGGCTGAGAACATTTGGCTATGCACGGCACAAACTCCTCCACTTCGAAGAAGACGCTGCTCTTCTCGCCCAAGTCAAACTGCTTCACAGGAATGTAGGATGAGGTAACGCAATCTGCACACAGAAGCATGAGGGAGAGAGACCAAATAAACAGCCTGCTGCAGACAACATGGACGATCAGGTCTGATTGGCTCAGAGCGATCTTAGACGACTTACTTGTCAAGTCAGGGGCTACGCTGTCGATTGTAACATCAAGGTTTCCGAGGATTACAGGCAGCTTGGCCATCTTCTCTGGCCTGAGGGAAGGAAAAATAAACTCTGGTTAAGCCTTTCGATCATCTACCAAAGCCGGAATAAGAAACAGGCAGACAGCCTGGACGTGAACAAATATGACCACATTCACAGATGTGAGAAGCAGTCTCCAACCTAAAGGAACATATTTTCCATACTTTCATTTCCAGGAAATCTATAAGATTACTCAAATTATGTATAACAGAGTGCACTCATACAAACATCACTAACTTTCTGAAGTCAGCCAGCAGCTTGAGCATGTCGTCGTTGGACAGCTTGTTGCTGTCCTGTCTGTACAGAGCTGAGAAACGGGCACTTTTGTCAAGCGTCCCTGAAGCGTCTTTGAACAAAGGCCTGCGACAAAGAAAAGACGATCCAGGAACATTTCTCTTCAGCAGCACAAAAATACATCCGATATTATTTCATCAGACAAAAGAAAGAATATGTACAACTAACAAACATTTATAATTTCACTCACAATATTCCTCAAATTGCTTTATAAATACAGTATATTTAATGTAATGTTTTTATTTTTGTCTGATAAACGACTTTAGGGGTTAATTGAATATAAAAATGACTACCAATTGAAAACAGTTATTTCCAGGAGAATAACTGTGAGGGAATAAACTGGTTAGGAAGTTTGCTTAAATATACTGCTACGGTTAAATCCAACACTTTTGATTTGGTCTTTGTACAGTTCAGACAAAATGGTAAATGTGACTTTTCATCATGGCACAATGACAACTGCTATTTTTGGGACAGAACCCAATTGAATGTTACTACGTCATTCTCAGTCAATGCGTTGTTACCTTGCTGCCCAGGCAAAAGGCATCTTGTACTGGCCTAACCGGCTACATGCCAGCTTGCCATTTTTCAGGACCTTCTGTGCCACCTGGTGGAAAACAGGAACACACACTTGGAGCTTCAACAAAGACACGTGCACTGTAACATCGAGTATGCAGCATGTTCCCAGTCTAAACACAGGTACACACACACTTGAAATGAACAGAGATACTCTGAAAAACCCTCAGTCCTGCAACCACTGAGTGTGTTTGCTAGCGATGAAAATTCATAGGTTGGTCAGTACCTTGGTGGAGTCTGAACTCTTCATGTACGGCTCGGCACAGTGGTTGATTCCTCCCTGAAGCACCTTCTCTATACGAGCCACCAGGAAGATATCTGGGTGAGGACATGTTACTGAGAACACCCCCTGCAGACAAATTTAAATATGTACATATTTACATAGTGCTGTTGTCGAGCTGCAAAAAAAGCAAACAATATATTATTTCCATGTTTTAGTGACGTTAAAAACATAATTCACCTGTCTAGGATAGTGCATGGCTGCCTCCGGCACCCCATGGACCAACCGGGGCCCCTCAGGGTGGGCGTCCCCTCCTCCGTTCATGTACTGGCTGATGTTACTGGGCACCATGCCCCGCACAGACGGGTGGTTCAAGTCCACGTGGAAGTCAGAGGAGATCTTCCTCCCATTCTGGATGTCAAACAGTGAGAGATTGACGTAGAAGGGCTCCACCTAGACATCGAACAGAGGAATAATTCTGCATTAAGACGTGATGAGGATGATGATTATTTAAAAAAAAAAAAACCACAACACCATAAGATAGTGTAATGTTTGTTATTCAGTTCAACGTTAGCTGTTAACTCAAACTGTTGCATTATAACAGAATTTAGGACTTGAAGTAAAAATCCACTTTTGTGAAATAAAACTGGTGCATTGAAAATACACTATGGTAAAGTAAAACTCAACATAAAATAAAAAGGTAAACTAAAACTTTACTTTGCTAGTAAAAGTCCACTATGGTAAAGTGAATCTTTCTCTTTGGTATCATGAAAATCCCTCTAAATGGGGCTCAGCACAGTCATGCACTGTTTAACTCTCTTATCACTCTGTCATCTTAAACAATGAGGAACACGATGATCCCCACCTAAACAAAAATAAGGACATTTTTAACTACACTTGATTTAACAGACAGCTTCTGCTGGGAGGGACAGCAGGACATCAGACTCCATTATACCCATTGTTCACCATAACTGAGTCTTTAGTGTGGTTTCTATGTCAACACGAGTCCTCCAGCATTTCAAATAATGAGTCAGTCCGGTCTGCCATAACAAACCGTATCCTCCGTGCTTAATCCTGCAGATAATGATATTTCTGTTATTCAGGGCCAGAGAAAGATTTAGTCTTACGTTGGTCGTCGGCCCTTCTTCGTTTTCGGCCACGCAGCTTTGCAGATTGAACGAGAGGTCGTTGCAGTTCACCAAAACACGTTTGCCAAACTTCTCCTCAAACTGCTTCACATCCGGTTCTATTCCTGAGAAGTCGAGTTTCTAACAGAGAGCACAAAAGATTTTATTATGGGGTGTTAGGTTGGCTCCTGCTACCACCTGGGAATGAGTGAACTTAAATGCACTTTAGGTTTAATTACCTGTGTGTCAGGGTCCAAGGTGAACAGCTTCAATCTGGTCTCGCTCCTCATCCTGGACTCTATCTCTCTGGTGCTCTGTGGAGAGGAGAGGCATTTCCTAAATCCATTTAAACCAAAAGCCGTCTGAAGGCCAGAGGCGCTGTGTGAGAGATGTGCACTCGGTTGGTTTTATCATTAAGACATTTTTCTCTTTTGCGCCCATCTGGAAATGAAGCTTGATATTTTATTGGCTCGGTGGGGAGAGTCAGGTGGTACCAGCATACATTTCTGCACACTGTAACCTGTCAAGCTGTTTTCCAGTGAACAGTTACCACCAGTTTCCATCCACATATGGCTTTACTACACAGCATACCACTCAGCACTATGAGCTTTTTTCCTGAAACATCAAATATCCATTCAGAGAGGAGGGAAAACTCCTCTGGAGCTTGTAAGTCAACAGTTTTTAAATCAAGAAACAGATTATATGAGACAGTTTGTATCATCAAGTTTCATTAGTATTGATGCAGGTGTCGTTATGTATGTATATTAGGGATGTATGAAGTTCTTCAGATTTTGAGAATAGTGTATTTTGTTATTAGTGAAACAAAACCAAAGTACAAGTTAACGAGATGCTCCACATGACATGTCCAAAAACAGGAGACAGGCCGGTTCCTATGACACATAACCAAAAATTCAGACGCAATATTATGTCTTTATTGCCGTAAAAACATTTTCTCATGAAACTACAACTTTATTCTTGAAATGTCCAAATCTTTTTTCCCTCTAACTGGCCCTAATACTCGATTGTAGTTATGTAAAAGCACGTGCCAGCTTTCTCCACTTCTTTCTTTTCTTTGGATGTTGATGGATGAATGTTTAGCCGCCAGATGTTTAATTTGCTGTGTTAGTTTTTTGGATGAAACACAAAGAGGCATAGTGTAAAGATGCATTTAAGTATAGTTAATCACCTGACAACAGGTCTGTGTGTAATTCCAGGTCTGAGCTGCAGTAACAAATGAATGCCTGAGCAATTAGGTGTGTAACCAGTGACTTTTGAACCCAAATTCAAGCCAAATGTTTGTGAGAGAGAGGCCGTTGAACTTAGAGCCTCAGCGAAGAAGAGTGGTTTAGTGCTTCAGCTCCGTGTGATGACGTAATGAATGTGTGAGCATCGTGCAGAGAGAGCAGGACCTACCTGAAAGCTGTCCATGCTGCCAGAGGAGCTGTCTGACTTTCCAAGATCATCATCTGAAAGAAAAAACATAAGAAATCTTGGGGTCCAGACCACAAACTATAGATTTAAAACTCAACCACCTTTCCTTGTAAAACCTCTTTAATCACTTACTGACACGTGAAAGTTCAGTAAACACTAATTCAACCGTGCAGGACTCAGTCAGGACTGAGAGACAGATACTGCACGTCTCAGTGGTACATTTTCAGAAATCTACCACATCTCCTCAAGCAGAATCATTTCTTTTCTTTCTAATTCACGGCGAGATGAATAAAAGCTGGAGGGAGCTGGAAAGATTAGTGGAGCATTATTTTTGTGCAGAGGTATTCAGCCTCTTTCCTCCTCAGCTAAGCCCCCCATGAGACAGTAGGTGAGTATTAAAAGCCTGGGTGGTCCAGTATCACATTAACCACAGGAGAGAGAGAGAGACAGGAAGCAGTAACAGAGAACTGGGAGGAGACATTGTTGTGAATGAGCAGCGTCTCTTTAAAAACATCCTCAAGTGCAGAGGGCATCCCAGAATAAATAAACCGATAACAATGAGTGGATTTACTAGATCTTATAAGTAGTTGATTATTATTATGGATAAAATAACTGAGGGAAATCTTCAACTTAGACACTAAGCTTACATAATTGCATAATTATTACCTCTATTATCACATATATTAATGAAATACTTTCTAGATGAAGTTAAATACTAGAATATCAAAGGTTTATCAAACTTTTCAGGCTACAACTTTATATTTCTCTTCAGGCCAATCTTTTATGGTTTTAGTTATTTGCTTCTTCTGTTTTCTAACCCATGTAAACTGTCTTTGAGCATTTTAAAAGCACGATATAAATAAAATGTTTTATATTACAATATATAATTTCTTATTTGTGTGTCCTTAAAGTGAACTCACGCACCATCATGAACGTCTCCATTCCGCTTCTCCTGCATGGCGATTTCAAAGCTGCTGTGCAGTATCTTGTTGAGGGTGTTGATCCAGTCCTCCATCTCTCCCTCGCTGTCTGAAGCCAGCAGGTATGTGCTCTTATCCTGCATCTTCAGCTCAAAGGCAAACCTCCGAACCTTGTTGTTCTGCAGGGAACACAAGAAAAGAGATTAGATATGAAGAAGAGAGCGAAGTGAGCGGGGGAGGAAAATCTCAAGATACGAGGCAAAAGTTACAGACGGACTGGGTTTAATTTATAAGATCTAATATCCCACTGTTGAACTGTGGCAGGATGAAGGAAATGTCAGTGAATCCTCGCAAGCTCACCAGGAGGCAGCTGATATTCAGTTCAATTATTTTTTACTTAAATAATGACTTTCTCCACTTTTACTCCTCCCTCATCCCTGCGTCTTTGCATCCTGCTGTTTTTAGCCTGTGAACACAGAATGTTCAGGTATCTAAAATCAATAATCCATTACAAACTCTGAACTAACACTGGCACCACTAGGTGACGAATCGGAGTCATTTCCAAAAGAGGGAAAGTTAAACTAAGATTTAATTTAACTGCAGCAGAAAGCAACTGGACAGAGTGAGTGAAGGCTGGACAGAGTGTTTCCATCTGTGTAACGAAGCCTCCAGCTCTGCCAGGACCACAACAGACACTTTATAAAGTCAGATGAAGTCACAGAGAATGAGCTGGAACTGCAGAAATGAACTTTGATCTCCAAAACCCACAGAAAGAGTGACGTCAGTCTCCCGTTTGGGCTTCAGCTATTTCAGCCCATTCAGAACCTGAAGGTGCTGCATCAGCTGGAGTTTGTCCCCACTGACTGTCCAGTTTAATAACATATTCAAGCAGTATTTCTTATCGTGGAACGGGGAAGTCGACACATTATTGTCAGCCGTGAGTGGATTGTGGTGCTGTGGTTATCACAGCGTCCTGCAGGCAGTGTTGAACCAGCCGTGTGGGAGTGATGGGGAGGGAGAGTGATTATCTGCAGACTGGATGAGTAAATATGGAGAGGGATGTTCAGGACAGAAATAAAACTGGAGTCAGGATAAACCGACTTAATCACCTGATAGACAAAAAGGTCCTGTCTCAGTTTTCTAGACAACACATCGCACAAATCCCCAGAAAACCCACTCAAAATGGTTTTTCATATTGTTAGTATCTGTGTTGTGCTTCAGAAAACGAGTTAAGAGAAGACAAAAAAGAGAGATAGAAAAAAAAGGCCAAATCGCACTTTATAGCCATTTCGATGCATTTTAACTTCATTGGACCACGCTCTGTATGTTTAATGAAACAATATGTTGGCATCTTCTTACAAGTTGAGGCCCAGTGTGATGTCACTGCACAGCTGCAGAGTTAAACATCTGCCGCTCTGCTCATAAACACCCCCCCCCCCAAAAAAAAAAACCTTGACAACCATAAACTGTATATAAAGATGGACTACATGACGCTTTCCCAAAAGTGAAGCCAAAGCAACCCCCTGGTGGCTGGCTGCAATATAGATCATGAATCCTGCCTCCTCCATGTTAGTGTGATGTGATGAAGGTACCAGGGATCAAATAAGCTTTTGGTAAGTAGACGACCCGCTCTACCTCCTGAGCCACAGCCTCCTTTGCATGTATCCCTTTGTATTTTAACACAGAATAAAAAGAAGAATGGAATGGAACTGAGAGAAGGTCTGTTGTTAAAAGTGCTGTGGAGGTCGGGGATCTCAATGCACAACACTGCATTCAAATATGTAAGTGCACCTCAACCCTCCTCCACATGATAAGAATCAGACAGTCCTGTCAACATTCATGACGCCTGATCGACGTCAGCTGGATGCCTCCTCAGTAAAACCAGGTTCTTTCCCTCTGCTGACGCGATGGACAGATAACAGTGCACCCTGTGAGTCTCGGCCGACATTCAGACACGTGGCATTGATTGTGGGGCTGACGCAAAGTACATGGGAGTGAGGCTTTGACATTCACCTTGTTTCACCAGATGAGAGTCAGCAGTAAAATGTGACCTTGGGGAGGAGAGAGAGCTCAGGTTTCAGGGAAATGCACCAGAGATGGTCTCACGGATGCTTTTCAGCAGCCGTCCATCACAGTCAGAGCCATTTCTGTTGATGCTGCGCCTGTTATAGTTTATGCTTTAGCCTACATGTTGGGAAATTCATTTATAGACACCGGAATTGTAAAGAGGAAATGACTATGTCCATACTCTCAGTCTATTCCTGGTTAATAGCGGTTTATTTTCCACTGGGGACCTGGCTACACCCTGTGCTAACGCCAACAGGGATATCCCGTTTGGCAAAGCAGGTGACGAATCATCTGGAGTCATTGTAGTTTAACAATCACTGCGAATGTGCCAGAGATGGCTGGAATTTCAGAGCATACCTGAACCACACCCATGCAGGAGTCCAAGAAGATGGTTCCTTTGGGCTCTTTGGAGATCTTCTCGTCCTTGTAGAAGTTTAAATTGTACGAGCCGTCCCCGAGCTGGGTTAGATGGAAATACCTCCTCTTGAATGACTGAAACAAAGAGAAGAAATAATATTCAATTTTCATCATCTACACCCTCAGTATAATATCATATTAGATTAAGACCTTTTTACATGTTACATTAACACAATTAACTTAGAGTTAAAACTTAACATGAACACAATTGGTTTGTTCTTTTTAAATTATTTATATGTTTGTTTTTGAATGCACCAAATACGGGAAGCAGTCCTAAATTAGTTATATGCAGCACTTACGATGACATATTTTTGTTAGTCATCATATAAAACAAAGAAAAGCAGCAGATTCTCATATTTGAGGAGCTGGAACAGAAGAATGTCAGAGACTCAAATGATGAAATCAAAATTTTACCAAAACACTTCTGTCGACAGATTAATTGATTGACTAGATCATTTCTGTGGTCATCACCACTATCTCACCCTCATGGTGACGCTGATGGCACTGTTCATGTTGCCTTTGTACAGCCAGCCATGTTTGGTGATCCCACCTTTCTGGGACCCTAGCGAGGCCGTGTCCTTCAGGAGACACAAAGACACAAGATCAGGTGGTTATAGAACACATGCTGAACACACTGCAAAGAAAAAATAAATCAATAATGGATCAAATCGTGATGATCAGATCCTGTCACCTGTTTAAATACAGTATTTACAGATTCTGTGTTGATAGGACTCAGACTGTGCAGGAAACCTTTGATGCTGTGGTTTGAGACGACACAGAGGCCGACACCATGTAGGTCCGTCTCAGTCAAAACAAGCAGGCGGAGGAAAATTACACAAACTACAACTGGAAATCCAAATAAACACCTGGATCTTCATAGCAGATCCACGACACATTGACAGCATCATCTCGCACTTGTGAGGTGAGTAAGCATGAGATCACGCACTGGCCTTGCCCGTATGGCTAAGCTACAATGATCCAACAGCGATCACGGTTTGTTCAAATAAACCAATTAGTGAGGGTAATGAAGGAAGAAGATCTGGGGACGAACTCCGCAGCCCTGCTCTGGTTTGGATCACAGCTGAATGAACAGAAGACGTGGCGTCTGCAGTTACACTTCCCGACTTTGAAAGTGGACAGAAAGGAACCGTTTCGCGCAATGGCCTTTCAAGATGTCATCGTCCTGATCCTGCATCACTTCTTCTTCTCTCATTCTAATATAGCAAAGGTTTTTTTCAAAGCGCTGGCAAGAATATACAAGATATTCGATGTGCCTTGTGGAGTGATCTAAAAAGCATCTGGAAAGATTCAGTGCCTGTTTCTCTTCATCAGTGTCTAGACAACATTTACCGGTCCTCAGAGAGTCCGAAAAATCAAAGAGTTCATTCTTCGTGAACTCCAGTTTGCTCTAGAAAACTTTGTCGTGGATTAAAAAAAAAAAGTAGCAAACAAACCAAAGGTAGAGAAGATGAAGCAAATCACACAACAACAACAACAAAAAAAGATTAATTCTGGATATTATAGGGGAGAAGTTAAAATCCTGTACTTTCATCTGTAAAATATCCTCCCTGTTTGACAAAACAACAACTTTATAACAGCTGCTGTGGATAGAGGGAGGACAGAGGGAGCGGCAGGAGATAAATGAAGGTTTTTTTGGATCTTGTCAATAGCTGCTCCTGCTCTGTCAGAGGTGAAGTTGACTGTGAGGCTGAGCAGGACAGACTCTAACCCCTGACCTCCTGGCAGCGCCTCAGTCTGACGAATGTTTTTCGCTCAGTCCGGAATAAAACACAGTCTTTTACAATCTTTTCTGGGCAAGTTGGTATAAATAAAACATAATCTAGAAACAGGATTACTCACTTTTATGCTCTAAACATGCAACTAATTACTAAGTGCTTTTTTAGCATTTAAGGCAGAATGGAGGATATCATTTTCACAGCGTTAATCTTTTGAAAGAAGAGGTAGAACGTGAACTCACCTCATCTTTGTCAACGTCCTCGTCCACTTCAAACACATGGACCGCCAGTTTGTCAGGCCGCGATACTTTGCTGTGAAAACATGATCAATTCAGTCAATACAGTTCGTGTTAATGAGACATGGTGCTAGAGATTATTACAGGTGGAGGCCTATAAACACTATGGTTGTACAATTATGACACTTTAATATCTGCATTTTAAGATTTGACATGTAAACATACAAGCTAATATCAATCAATGTATTTAAACTGTTGACATTTTAGAAGAGACAGTTTTCTGCATAAGAAATGTGACTTTTGATATTTAGATACTTTTTAAAGCTAATGTAGCAGGTTTGTGTTTTTTTCAATTATTGCAAGTCATTTTTACCAGTAGTCAGCATGGCGTGCATGTGTGTGTGTGTGTGTGTGTGTGTGTGTGTGTGTGTCATGAAAGTTCACAGGTGTTCAGTTGGATCTGAGCCAACACCTCAGAACTGTGTGCTCGCTTGTGATGACCACTGAGTGCTGATAGGTTGGATGGAGAACATGTTGACGGACATCGTGACCGGTTTAATCACATCATGAGACCAGACGTATTTTTCTCAGGGATTGAGAAAGTAAGGCAACATCCAGAGAAAATGCAGATTCCAGCAGTGATGAAAAGCACTCGGCCGCTCATGGAAACACATTATGGTGCCAAATGTAAGAAACACTTGAAATGAGTGTCTTTAACAGAGCACGTCACAGCATATTGTTTCAACTTCCACAGATTCACTGTCTAGGTCACAGTCAACTCGTATTCTGACATATTGTCAGTAAAGCAGATACTCTCCAGGGAGCAGGCTGGAACTGATGACACAATCTGCAGACAATAAGGGTGGTTTCCACTCTGGCTGCAGTCGGGAATTATCCAGTGCATCATAAAAAAGGAAACTCTCTTTTGTTGCAAGGAAATAAGAATTGCTTTTCTGCTGCGTGTTTCCTTTTCCTTGTTATTAAGTCACAACAACATCGCATCAGAGGCAGGTGACAAAAAGTTCAAACTGTGTGTGATTGTGAGAGTACTGTGTGTTTTAGTTTCAAATCTGTGGAGCACATGTATTATGTAGAGCCGCTGTGTTGTTACTTGCCCCTCATAAGAATGTCTTGGCACACGACCACAGTACCTCTGTAAACACAGAGTACAGTGGTGCAGAGGTTTTTAACTACAGACTTACTGTGGAAGCTGTCGAAAGTCCCCTGAATAGTCCTCATACTTGTAGTTGACCACATGCCAGTCAGACTTGTAGGTCTTGATGCACTGAGGAGACACAAGGCAAGATAATTACAATCCACCATGACACAGAGCAGTTTTACGACAAGGTTGCGGTAAAGTATGTTTGAATCTAACTAGTTCCTAAGATGTGTTGTCCAGTCACGCCTCACGATGCTCAGATTGGCCGTCACAGAGATGAGAAAGATTCTAAATAAGTTAAAGATTTTTGAGTTGTGTGGAGGTGAACATATGACAAACACTGTGACTAAAACCTTTAAAGAGCTCTTCACTGATTACTAGTACTGTTTTTATTCAACATTGTCAGACTAATGATTGATGGATTCGTAGGCACTTGAAAACAGACTTTAAGTTTCTAAAATTATCTTTTATGAATCACAAAGAAGCAAAATAACAATGAATTTAATTTGGCAGGGATGAAAACCTCTCTGCAATACAATCCTGGAGTAGAAGAAGAGAGCACTGTGTGGTGACCTCAGTCTGTCCATTCACTGACACAAACTCAGAGGGAGTGAATCTCTATCAGCCTTTACTTGGAAAGCAGACATCTGTTCATTGTTAGAGTCGGTGATAGGCGCAGCGCACTGGTATCATTCTACAGAAGTCCGTGCCTTTTACAGTAACTGCCCTGACAGGAAGACGAGATGCAACCTGATGAGGAGAGTGATCGGAAACAGAGATGGGCTAATCTCCACAGCTGTCCGGGTGATGTCACACAACACTGCACTGGGAGTTTTTGTATCTTTATGACTTCAGATGGAGGCTAAACGCTGACCTTTGACCTGAGAGGTGAACTGTCAGCAGCCAGTTGGTCTCTGGCTTAGGGAGTCAGTGTGAGCAGTGTGCTTGGGCTGGAGGGTAAAACCACTGCGCTGGGTTAGAGGAAATAATTACACTTCCACCCTCACACAGTCATAATTCATCATTTTATCAGCAACAACGGAAAATATTCAACTTTCTTTTCTGTCCAACTGCAATTACATCCTGAAAAAAGATGAATGAACTGCAGCTGAACCACTGGACTGTCGACATGCTCACGACTCAGCTGACAGAAGATAACCAGAGGTTTGATAAACCTGGGTTTTAGAAATTAATTGCACTTTATCATTTCATAGCCCCCTGGTGTACATATACTTTCTGGTGAAAATACAGAAAAGAATAGTCCAGTTGCCTCCTGCAAAAGACATAATGAGCCCATTTACTCTTCACACAACAGTTTCTGGAGGCAACACACAGTTAGATGAATCCTGTGTTGAGCTGCACACGTGTTGTGTACTTGTATGTGACTCAAGTTTCCATGGCCTAACTTCTTGGACCAGAATAAGTTTTATAATTAAAGCAACACTGTGTAACTTTCACTTTGCAACAGCGCCCTCTGCAGCCCCACATGGTGAATAATTCGGTTGGACTCCATCTCAGAGTGATAACACAAAGTCTAACTAAGTGTCTGACGGAACTAATACATAACAGTGGATATTACCCATGATCCCCAGCTCCCTGCTGTAACGAATACACCAAGATTCTAGAGTCTAAAGATTTAGTTTCACACGGGAGGTCGTACCTACTCACTTACAAATAAGAACAGATGTTCAGGGTGAGGAGCGGGAATGAAAAAGAGAACATTCTCCTTATCCCAAGACAGTGGACCAAAACTTTTAGACAGAATCAAATATTTTTGATGTTATGGTTTTGAAAAAAATATTGTTTAGTATTATTTGGAAAGAAAATTCAACTACTCTGATTCAGGGCTGTGTTAGTGTGTGATTGACGTTAGCCTGGTATCAGATTTTGATTAAAATAACCCAAACTTTGACTCCAGTGCTCAGACTAAAAAGTTGATAGAGATAACTACATTTTTCAGCCTGTTTCAATCAGCTCACCTCTTGGACAAACAAACTCTGGGCTCCTCTCTCTGCGTTTTCAGGCACTGTGGGGTAGAGCGTTCTCCCCTGCCTCCTCAAAGTCGAAATCTGCAAAACAAAGAAAGATTTCACCTCGCATGAGAAACAAAGACATTACAACTAACAGAACACAAAACATAGTAAAAGTGAAATTGAAACAAAATGTGGAGGACATTTCGCTTTTTTCGTTATTACAGTTTGTAGTCACAGCTGGACACAGTTGCCCTGGGTGTTCAGTCAAATATTATTCTGCACTGGGGAATGAGCTGATGTCTTCCTGAGAGTTCAAAGAGGCAGAGTGTGAGGGAGGCAGGATGCTTATCCTATCCATGCTGTTCAGCTCCAGGACACAAGGACACACCCTGAGTCTGGCTCTCAGCCGCTGTACAGACACTGTGGGTAATCAGCATCCCAGCAACTCCAATGTTTTGTTGAAGCCTTTAACAAATGACTAACAGGAATTTCACAGCAGAAAACAAGGTTCCACGGCAAAAAACCCACGATCACATTGAGAAAAAATGCAATTCAACATATAAAGTGAAAAACCCTTAAACATCACAAAGAAACTTTTTACCTCTGCTAAGGAGATTGATAGATAGATTCACACCTGTTGGTTGGTTTGTTTGTTAGATAGCAGGATTATGCAAAAGCTTGTCAGACAGATGTGGTTCAGAGAACAACCCATTCGATTTGGGTGTGGATCCAATTCAAGGGCAGATCCAGGACATCTTTTCACTTTTTTTAAGATTGTGAGATCTTTCAACATTTTCACTGTTTTCTCAGTGAATAATTCATGGATCTTGATGAAAAACATCAGGATTATATGAAATTCTCCAGAATTCAACCCACTTTTTAACTTTACAATATCTCTTTTACATGTAGACCCCTTATGACAAAACTATTAAGAGATGTGTTTGTTTCTTTTTCATTTACAGAACAAGAAACAGATACAAACAGTGTCTTGGAAACCACAATAAATAAATCCAAACACTAATAATCTCCACACTCCTTTCTTACATATGATGTTTGTTATACTTCAGGACCTCTGTAAAGAAGATGTACTTGCTGTGACTAATGCCATAACCATAATTGAGATTACAGCCGTATTTCAAAACTGAAATAAGCTTTTCAAAGTACATAAAATATTACACAGCAGAGTGAAAGATAGAACTCATTTTGAACTCTGAATGCCCCAAGTGAAATACTGCAACCAGCAGCATCACCATCATCAGGCCTTGGCAGGAGGATTAAGTCAGACTGTAAAAATAAAGAGCATCTGATCTCACGTTAATCCCTGCCAGTGAAATTTAAATACAACCATTAAGTGATAGCAGTGCAGCTGACCGAGTTGGAGGGAAACAACAGACTTCTGGTTATGTGTAAGGTCAAATGCTCATCAGCTGTAAGTGTGAGCTGCGTTTTCTACGACTGTGGGGGATTTATCACAATACCTCTATAATCGTTATCTTTTATAGATCATCTTTTTTCAGTTCTAACTCTTCGTTTATAATTTTTTTACAATTTCCAAAACAAAACGACAAATTAAGTAAAACTAAAGTACTAAAGAGAGAATTAGCAGAGGAATCTAGTGAAGGAGCATAGCACAGCATGGATAACACAGTATGATAACGTAACACAACACAAACATAAGTTGGTCTCACTTAATGTAGCATAACATAATGTAGCATAACATAATGTAGTGTTATGCAATGTAGCATAGCACAGCATAACAAAACATGACAAAATAATATAGCATACATAACAATACATCGCAAAGTACAAATGAAATACAATTTTCCCATTTTAAGATCATATATATTGTGTAGTAAATTGTTAACAGAGTGACAGTGTATGTTGCCATCTCTTCCCACATAGAAGTGATAACTTGTTCAACAATAGTTTTGACAGATCAATCTAATGCTAATAATGCCAAAAATGCTAAGTTGCTGCCATTATCCCCTCTTCACAACGACCTTGCATTTGGTGTTGTATACTTATTCTTGTAAAATGGTTGCGTCTCAACACATTCCAGCCTGTATTTGTGAGCCAGAGGTCATCTTCTTCCTCTCTGCCAGGTTTCCTGCAGGGACGATGCTAATCTTTACAGTCCAAACAAGAGAAATAAACAGCCATGGAGGTGAGAGGGAGCCAGGGAGTGGGAAACAGGAAGTGTTTAATTGGGCTTAAAGTCACCGGGGAGATTCTTTTATGAAATATGTCCTGAAATCAGCTCTGATTATCAGCAGAGCTCCATCAACAACATTTAAGGATCTATTTTAACAATCTATGCACATGGTCTACAGTGCATGGATCAAGTGCATTTAGGGTGTGTCCAAATCCACTTTTGCTACTTTAATGGTGGAAAAACAGGTTGAAGGGTCCAGTGCATGGTTGAAATGGGTTGTACTTAGTCTTAATGTTTATCTCAAGTAAGGAGCATAAGTGGAAAGGCCAGGGGTTTGCCAAAGTCATTAAGATACATTATGTGTATCCAATAGTCTTTGAGATATTTAAGCCTGGACCAAAACAATGGAGCCATATGAGCAAAGCTAATATATATATGTTTATGTGACCCATTTTTTATTTTTAGGTTTGTAGCTAAGATCTCGGGGCTGAGAGCCACAGACATCAGTAAGTTCTGAGAGACTCAAAAATACAGAACATTACCAAAGCTAATCTGTTCAAGACTCACAGCATGTGATGTTTTTCAAAACCCTTTGGAAACTGTGAAATGGTTCAAGAAAAGAAAAAGAAAGTACTCTTCTGATCTGTGGTCTTTTATTGCAGGGATGGGCCTTCACCTCAATTCCACCTCCAAATTGAGGAGAGAAAGGAAATTGGGGCCCCCTCCTGGAAATCCAGGACAAATTTCAACAGAACTTTTGCACAGAGAGCACACACAGACCTCGGAGTACCTTGTGCCAACAGCTCCCAGATCCAAAACAGACGGAGATGAACACTGGCTCCACTAAAGAACAGTACCAACACATGACTTTAGATGTGCCAGTGGGGAAGAGACCTGATATTTGTTTTTACTACTGAGAAACAGCCAAGGATTTATACAAAAATAACACAGACAAAGACGCTCTCTCAGTCTGTTTTGGCCTTGATTTAGCACCAACTCTTTTCTATGAACACACTCACTAAAAGCACCAACCACTGAAAGCTCCTTGACTGATTAAGCACTTGCTTGAACAGGAGCCTGGCGAGGCAGAAACAGATGTTACGTTCAATCACTGTGCCTCTTGTGTGTGAGGGTTTTTTTTATTTTCAGGCAGAATCACCTGTCCACCCCTGACAACGCACCGTCTTTGTTTGACGCTGGTATGTTGTGTTCATAGCAGCGGGCTGGAGGAGTGTGATACAAGAGAAGACAAAGTCAAGGCTGCCCTCGCTGTCACTGAGCACCCAGCAGAAGGCCAGGCCCTCCAACACTGCTAACAACCTCTGACTTAGAAACAAACTTTGTTTCGATCATTTTCACCTTTAATTCTATTCCACACTGCCACTGCTATGTCTCATTAATGAGAGTTTGTACATTATACTGTGGAGTATAGAAGATGTACTGCAGTAAAGACAATATACACAATTAACCAGCATCACTGTCAAGTTTAGTTATCGTGGTTGGATTGTGGTTTTGGTCAACAAACATCCCTAATAAAGCCCCCATGTGATAGGACCATCTGATTTACTGTACTTCAAATAAGCCGCAGATGCGTTTACAAAATTCTGTTCTATTTTTGTAAAAATGGTTACATGGTAATACATATAAACATATAGCTCTTTAAAGCCAGCGACTCACAAAATAACCATATATATATATAATTATATGGTTATTTTGTGAGTATATATATATGAAAAAAAACTCTTATGACAAAGTAAGGTAATTGAGGCTTGATATTATACATCCAGAACTATTATTATAAATATGTTATGTACAATTTAAACATAAAGACATCTTTTCTGAATTATTTATTCTGTAAAATAAAAGTCAGGTAAACATGAACACAGAACACAGATACCGATATGTCAAAGGCTTCAATCAGTTGATCAGGCTCTAGTCCACATATGTATGATGTATGAGTAACAATTAAAAAAGTTTGTGTCCGAAAAAAAGAGAAGACAGAGAGTTAGATGACAGTCCTGAGTGGATGTTGTAGATGCTGTGGTAAGTTTCTTTACCTCACAGCAACCGAAAAACTTACACTATGTTTGGATATACAATATCTGTCACAGTATAAATCACTGTTGTTTCTACCGTTTTAATCTCCAGTGTGTAAACATTCAGACAAAGGATGTGTAAGTCATTATGGTTAGTGAAACAAAGACTTCTCTCCCTTCAAGGGCAGTAATAACAATAAAAGAGCAGACTCAATAAAAGTTCCAGTGGAGCGTGAGACTGGTTGGCAGGGTCAGATGTGAGGATGCACTCTATGTCTCATCGCTGCTGTCGGTACAAACATGTTTCAAAGACACGTTGTTTCCTGGAGTACCAGCACTGAGGCCAAATTTCCATTCTGGACTTTCCACCCTCAGTGTTTGTGGGGGGGGGGGCGTACATCCCAGCTAACATTTGCTCGATCACAAACATGGGAGACAAAATGAGCCAATTAAACAGATGGCCCCTGACTCCTTCCTCGCTATAGCATGCGAGGATGTAAACAAAAGGAAAGGCTCTGTGAGCGACCCCACCCAGTATTCACAACAGCGGCCACGCCTGGGCTGAAGGAAAAGACTGCGAAATCCAAACAAACACAACAGAAGAAAACACGCAAGTGGGAGGGAAAACAATGATGTTGGACGGATAACAATACATACTTCGACCTTGTATGGTTATAGAGCACTGTCTCAAAAACTTTAAAGATTTACTGTATAGGCAGTTGAATTGATTTCTACCATTATTTATGAGATGTTTTTCTCCCAGAATGCCTCCAGGAGTAGTTGCATTCTGTCACTAAAACCTTATTCCTCACCAGTATAAGCCAGCTACATCATCCACAGCCATATTTACTCTAGTAAAAGTTTTTTTTTTTTTTTTTTTACCAGTTTGAGGATGAGGACACTTTCTAGGAAACAGGAGATAATCAGGTGTGAAACTCACCTCGAAGTCCTCCAGGGGGAACTGCAGCATGTCTCTGAGGACATCGCTGAGGATCTGTGTCTTTCTTTGCACCAGCACATTTTCATAGTCCAGTGGCTCGATCACCTTGGGTTTCACCTGGAAAACAAAACACAGAGGAAGCACTCTGTTATTGAAGTGATTTTTTAAAGTTTGTAAATGATTTCCAATTTAAAACAAACTAATGAGCATTGAAAAAAATACAGATTTTATGAGGAAAAATATTGTCTTTTTTATGCCTTTCTTATCTTCATGAGAGGATATGAAGGGATAGAGAGATGGGTAATGAAAGGCAACACAACACAATCCTTCATAATGTACTGACCGAGACTTCAATTAGCTTGATCTGTGACTACAACTTACATAAGGTGAGACAGTCACATGACTTAATTAAAATATAAAAAACTATTTATGATAATACTCTAAACTTTATTCTAGATTCATTTTAAATCAGCTTTATAGGCTTAGAAAAAAAGAAAATATCCCTTCTTTTTTCTGGCTTAATTTCATATTTGTGAACGATCCAAAGTAAATCCAAGAATCCCGTAGAGAACTTTCTGATTCAAACCACTGGATATGCACAAGTTTCGATAAGGGCAAAAGAGTAGAAGTTTTATAGTCAGAGCAATAAACTGTACGCTGCAAAAAAACAAATAACATGGTATAATATTCTTGGTCCAAGCATATACCCATGCAGAGAAGCAGATACTTGACTCTAGATTGTGCCCGAGTGAACTAACTGTGCTGCCATAATGGGTAATAGCACTAACACGCAGTCTGTTAGATACAATGTGATAAATTGATCACGGCGAATACATCAGACTGAGCAGTGGTCTTGACGAGCTTATGACTCCATGAGCATGACAAGAAAACAAGAAAACAATCACGCTTCACTTTAAATACACACATGATTCTCCTCTGCAGTATAAAACAGACCCTCCTCATCCTCTTTCACTTTAGTGTCCTCACAAGAATCCATAATCAGATGATAGTTTGAGTTCATAAACTCTATGTTGTTTTTATAGCTGACTCTCGAGAGCAGATGTGGCTATACGATCCAAGGTGATTATGGAGTTCTGGTACGTCAACTCATACGATCTGCATAATGTTAAACAGGGTTAACCCACTAAACTCCAGTGGCCAAGTAAGCTGCACAGACACCATAGCCATGGAAAATAAACTGTCAGCACTTGCAGCTGATGGGACAGGACAATAAATGTCACAGCCGGGGAGTCAGCAATGCAAAGAATAAAAAATCAACAGTGACACATCGCTAAAGTCTCAAGACAGCAGGGCTCACGGGTTGTGTCCACATCTGGGACTGATAACACGAGCATGATCTCAGAGGGAGAGTCATGGATATTGACCTTCTGAAATACATGTTTCTAGCAACCTCTGATCATAACAGAGCTCCGGCCCGCGCCGAGGACGACAGGGGGGGCAGGAGCTGCATGTATCAGCTTCAAGGACAAGGAGGAGGATAGCTGAGTGGAGATGGTGCCACCGTGTCTGCCAGCTGAAGCAGCGCATCACATTATCAGGCAACGGTTCATGTGGATACAACACACATGTAGTTAAATGCAGTCGCACTTCAGTGGAATATTTCACCTCTACCACAGGCGAGATGAATGCAGGCAGGACAAGCCAATCAGGAAGAAGTTAAAGATGAGATAAGGTGCATGCTTGTGTCTATGTCGTCCTGGTAAAACATACGACAAACAAACAACTGCTTCTTCATTATTGAGCAATGCCCAAGAAACTAGAGTGCATACCTCTGTCAACAGTCTCCTTATGAAACCACATTTAAATGAATTCAGTAGATCCAGATTTCTATTTGGATCTGCATCAAATTGCTCACACTCATGATATTTTCTAATCTAGATCCAGGAATTATTTCTTGAACAGTCAGCAAAATCTAATGGGTTCTTCCTAGTGTCATGTCCATAGTCTGTATTAAAAAAAGTGCACATATACATAAAAAGTCATGTCCTACCCCTCCACAAAACGTCATGGAAACAGTTGAGCAATTTTTGCGTAATCCTGCTAACTAATCAGCAAATGCAGATGAAAACAGCCTCTTTGACAAGGTAATGACAAGAAGAAGCCTAAATAAACCAGCGGAATTACCAAACACCTTCTGCAAGTGAGAGTGGGTTTTTGTTTTGGAAGTGACAGGAGTTAATAATGAGCAGCCTCGGGGCGTTCAACACCCTCTAACCACAACAATGAGGGAGAGAAAGTCTTGCAGAGACTCCTACAGCACAAATACGTGGAGCTGAAGCAGCAGAACTTAGACCCTCTGCAATTAAAGAGCTTTAACTATTCATTTCTTTTAAAAAGGCAGCTGGTGTAAGATTTGACCTCACTGCAGGGACGGTGCCCTCATCTCACCAGTGATGGACTGTGTCGTCACTGACTATTGTCCCTTCTCGAGCCCTCTGGGCTCTTCCACTTTGCTTTGTCAGGGGCTCAAGGTGGTCAACCACACGTAAACTCAGCACAGAGTAAGAAACATAAACATTCACAAGCAAGAGCTCCGTCATTCCCCACAGTGCTGACACAGTGGAGTACCTATTTATTGTTTTGCTGTTATGGGAATGACTTTATCTTTGTCACTTTGGTTAGAAAATATTGCAACTTTGAGCATATACCTCTGCTACGGCCCAACAGTCCCCTTAAATTGAATCAAGCTGCACCAAATTTCATACACTCATAGATATTAGTCCCCTTAATGTTGATGATCTTGTATCTTATATGGTTTTTATTTCATTATGGTTTTATTTCTTACATTTTGTTTCTTTTATACTGACTGTGAGCTCTGTTGGATTTTATTCTGAAAAGCACTTTGTAACTGTGTTTTCAAAAGTTTATTATCGTGAATTATTTCCTGGGATGTCGGTGAAAAACGTCTCGTAATGTTATAGAAAGATCTGTACCAAGTTTTAATGGTCTCCTCCCTGAATCCTCCAACACCCTTCCACTGAGTTTTGTGATAATCCGTTTAGTAGTTCTTGCGTAATCTTATTCACAAACAGAGGTGACCAAATAACCTCCTTGGTGAAGGTAATTAAATCAAACCAAAACAATAGGAACTGCATGTTTCACTGTATCACTACACCCTGTCATCTCAGGAGGGAGCATAAAACAGAAACTTGTGAAACCATCTCCTCCACTCCTTCTCCACAGCAAAGCAGCTGCTAAGCTGCGGCTCCTGCTCCTCCCATCACTGCCTGAAACAATGGAGCTGTGTAAAGTTCCTCTCTGAGAACTGATACATCAAATCTGCTGCTGCTGACTGTCCAGAAGAGTCTCTAGAGACGCTGGGCTGACTTTTGAGCCGTATAAAAATGTTTTACTAGCTGCGGTAATGGTTCAGAATAAAATGAAGGACTGGTGCCCCACGTCCCAAGTGCTGGTAGAGTTCAACATTCCTCTCTGCCGGTGCACACGCTGCAGATTTCAAACGAGCTGCCACTGTTTTAAAGAGATGACAAACCACCTGACACCTGCTTCAGGACTTTGTGACTGACTTTATGACATTAACAGCACAGTGTAGTGTTAGATGTCCCTGTGCAGAAGAACAGCCTTGACAAACCAATGCAGATATCTCAAATAAATCGTAGACATCTATCTATAAGTGTACATGAAGTCCATGAAAGACTTACCACCACCTGTGGCACAGAGTCTACTTCAGCCTCCGCCGCAGTCAAACTCTTGTACTGCTGAGGACTCTCAATGACCAGCTCCTTCTTTGGAGCTTTACCAGCCCTTCCTTGCATTGTCAACGGCCACAGTGAAATATCTCAGAGCTAGATCCCAAAGAGAAGTGGACAGCCAGCATATCCGAAAAAGTTTCTCCCCTTACTCAGACTCGCCCTCTCCTAATCACACCGCTCCCTGCTCTGACTGAGAGCAGAGCACTCACTCACACACCCAGGCTGAGGAGGTGGCCCCTCCTACACTCAGCTGTGCAGCCTGGGGGAGTTCAACACACACAAACACACACACGCACACACACGCACACACACACATACGCACACACACACACAGCTATCTGACCCCACACTATCCACCTGCATAGTGACACAGGGTTGACAAAGGCAAACAAAAGACACACATTCCTCAAGTATTACAGTCTGGTCAGGGACCGTCCACACCTTGTGCAGGGCAGCTGAAATAAGAGCTGGATTCTATTTCATCATCAGCAACGAGCTAGAACGGAGCAAGAAAACAATGGGGTAGTTCAATCGCAGGGGTGCAGCAGTATCCGAAGAAATCAGTCAAAGCACGTGCAGATAAGACTGAGCACATCAGATCAGACGATATAAATGTTGTCCCACATCAACGGTAAAGTTTAAGATCATTCATCTACGAGTCAGTGAGGAGTGCAGTGTCACAAATCAGCCACAAACTGTGACGAGCGTGAATCACTACAGTTTAAATTGCTGGCCCGCTCGCTGCACGACAGGAGCAGGACCAATTCTGTGATTGCCATCAGTTAGTGTCTCACGCCTTGTTGATGCAACTGCTTGAGGGGCATTCCAACATGACGCAGCCCCAGTCAACCCACCTGGGAGTGGGCCCGACCTACAGATTCCTCGCTGGGCCACAGCAGGGGAGGATGTTATTTTTTCTCGCCTGCTTCTGCGCTAAAGGCAAAAGGGGGAGGGCAGCCCTTCCCCCTCCCACTGTCACATGCATCTACAGGCCCCACACAGTGATTGGTTATCAATAGGAATGTTTTCTCATATCATCATATATCAAAATAAAGCTAATTTAAGGACAATTACCTCAATAATCTAAGATTCAGTACAAGTATATGATCATTATAGATTGATTATACAGATCCATTGATAGTCAGTACATTTTGATATATAAGCTACACGAAAATTAGCGATTGACAATTTTTCACTTAAAAAATATTTTTAAGAGTAGACAACCTGAATTAAAACAACTAAACAGAAAACACTAATTAATCAATATCAATAATATTAGTTGCAGTCCTAATTACAGTCAGTCCTCAACCTCTTTCCATGGTCCAAATCCCACAGCTGACTTGTTACAGAACACAATGGCCTCAGGACATATGAAATATTTAA